CTTCTTCGCTGCTAAGCTGATGTAAGACTTATGACCTATTACCGCACACGTAATCGGCTTATAACTCATTAACTGTGCTCCGACCCCCTCATGGCAACGGCCCTTAGTAACAGAGGCGTGGCTTAGTTGTCAGCCTGACTGGGGCGCGTGCCGGTTGAAAAACTCATCAAAAGACACATTTTGCGATGCAAATTCATAAAAATTATTACATCCAACATAAGATACTTTTTTGATTAATATAAACACACAAAAAACTCAAAAACATGATTTTAAGCGTATTTAACCCTATCACCGGCTTTAAAAAGGCCTCTCTAACATTCTAACATTCTGAATATTATACTGGTAGACCAAATATATTTCAAATTTACCATTCCTGTCAAGGTCATTCCGCGAAAAAAATTACATTTGACTTAATTATCATTGTATCGAAATAGCATTTTAGAAAGTACAAAATTCTTTACCTGATATTGAATGATTACAAACTAGGTATTTCTTTATCTTTCTGCAGCATGTGATATACCATTGTATATACGTATACCCTTGATCACGAAACCACAAATCTCAGAAATAGTCATTGTTAAATGGGATTTATTACCTTCTGACTTGATAAACACTGTTTCAAGCACACCTCCTTAAAAAAATAAAATTCAGAAGTCAAAGTTGGTAACCAAAAAATTGAAAAGAAAAGCTTGTAAAAATGCAAATTACTATACAATTTTTTGAATGTAAACAATGTTACAACAAGGAGAAGTCATACACATGCACACCTTCTTTATAAGAAATGTAGATTGTTACTGACTTGTTAAAATATTGTTGAAACAAAAATGTTTGAGGTGTGCTTTGTCATGTTCATTTTGAATGGAGTATGCAATATTCATTTTTATATACAGATCTAGACCTGCATAAATAGCCATCTGTTTGTTGTTGCCATTGTGTACACTTTTAGAGATAACATGATACTGGTGGGAAACCGTTTAACTTACAGGGCCGTAGCCTCCAGGGAGGGGGGGGGGCAGGGGGGGCAACTGCCACCCCCTGGGATTTGAGGTGCAAATATGGCAAAACGGCAAAATGAACCCACAATTTTTGACTTCTGATTGAGCAATAAATAACAAATAAAATGCACCAGAATGCAGTATTATATATACAGTTTTTTAAAAATTTTCGCCCACTCGTGTCCGCTAACTGCCCCCCCTGGCATTTTGCTAAGGCTACGACCCTGACTTATTGATGTCAAACTTATAGAACTGGGCCCAGTTTCATCAACACTGGATAATTTTATCCTATGGATAAAATTATCCTTTGGATGCAGTTGTTATCCTCTGAAAATATAAAATAGCAGCCTTTTTTAACCACTGGAGAGCAATATCAGAGACAAAAATAAGTATCTAGGGTTTAGTATATATATTACTTTACCCACAGTGTAATTGCCTAGAGGATAACAATTTTGTCAAATGGATAGTGTTATCTAAATAATATCGCTATCCAGTGTTGATGAAACTGGGCCCAGATGAATAGTCATAAAATACAGGCTAAGATCAAAAATCAGCTTGATCAAACCATTTCTTCAAAAGTTTTTTTCTCAGCAATAAAGATAACACATTAAGTGGAAAAAATGGTTGACCTATTGTCTTCAAACTTGCAGGAGTGATCAATATTACTAAAATACAGGTCAAGTTGAAAAATTAGCCTGATCTGATAATTTTTTTTTATTATAACTATTTTTTTTTTAAATTTATAAGTACATATTATATTATAATGCAAGGAAAATTGAAAGGCTTATTGTCTTCACACTTACCAGAGTGATCAATATAAATGTTAATTTAAAAAATCAGACTGATTGGATTGTCTTGATATTATGTGGTATTGATGTGACTTGAATCCCTTGCATCTTTATTTTCTGCTTTTTGTCTGTACATTAATTTGACAGTTTTGCTGCTTTGTAGTTGCTTTATCCACTTTCCCACTTGCTTCTGCATGCATGCAGGCCAGGAAACATGCAGGTTATATTCAGCAGTTATAACTTTGCTTATTGCCTAATGCACAAATTTAAGTTGTACTGGTTAAAAATGGTGTACAGATTCAAGTTATACTGGTTAAAAATGATTTTTAAAATGAGCACTCTTACACTGGCCTTATCTTTTGTCGTATTTTATGTATATATCCACCATCAGTTAAAAGAAAGTGAGGAAGGAGTGACTGATATCCAGACAGGCAAAGAAGATGTTACACTAGACGAAACGGATCTGATGCAAGAGTTTGCCCAAGAAGAAGATAATGCTGGGTATGCTTGCTTTCTTTAACATGTCAATTCTCACTAAACATATAAAAAGTATTAGTGTTACATTTCTATATTAGCTTTTCCTATTTTTTCTGTTTATGTAATTAGCTTTCCCAGGGATGTTCTTTTCCTTAATTTGACCAAGTTATGATTGGCAAACTCCGATGGGGTTCAAGCAGTCATAAGATAACTGGAATCGAGATATTTAAACAACTGAAATCAAGTCTTGAATTTTGAAATATTGAAAACATCAATATCACTTCTTCAAGCTTATTTCACTTAGTTTACCACTTTTGAATTAATTTACTGCTTAATTGGTTCTTTGGAATCCAAAATACTAGAAGCTAGATAACATGATCCTTCACAGACAACCCGATGTCACCTAACTTTGGATCTTTTTACCTTGTTTGCTGCCAAAAATGTTTTATTCATTTAAATTCATGTCAAATTGCTTCATGACTTTTTAACCTGCACTTGTAGAATATATATATATATATATATATATATATATATATATATATATATATATATATATATAATAGGTTTATTCCAGTAATTCAAAACTCAGTAAATACCTTGAAACTGGTAATTAGTAGGACCCAGTTTCAGACTCATAATGATTAAAGGCAGAAAACATTTCAAGTCCCTTAAAAATTCCAAATGATGCAACTTTTAGCAGGTGCAATAATAATTTATTTTCATGTCATTTCGAGCCTCGGTGTTTTGAATATGGGTGCATGACAATAGTCTGAATGTTCATTGGTCTGAACGTTCATGCATCATGCATGTTAAAAACTAATGAAAATGTTATGATTTTTCATACTAGTGAACCTTAATTTCAGACTATGGAGATGCACATACCAAGATAATCCTACACATGCATGCTTGTATTTCATAGCATTTTTGGAGTTTTGGAAATTTGATTACTTTCAAACAGCCAGAAAGACAATGGGTGACTGACTGGCACCTACTGTTCATTCATCATATCATACTTCTATAACATTATTCCAAATGTGACTAAATGCCTTTACAAGTATTTGACACATGTTATAACTTTGCAAACCAGTTCTTTTGGCTTTCTTGGTGAGCATCCTAGTTTTGTGTTCAATTTTTCTATTTAGTAGGTTTCAACAAGCCAATTTGAGTGGTAATGAGTATAAATCAACAATATCCTGCAACACAAACAGTAATTATCATAGTTTTGCTTTAAAACCAGACCTTAACAATATTCCCATGCATGGTGTCTGTCTCTAAAACCATCTTAAGCAGACAGTAACACACAATCATGAACATATAAACACTTTTATGCCATGATAAGCAAGTAAATTTCTCCTGTGATCATCAATTTCTGAAGCTGTAAGTCTTCACCGTCAGCATTTGTAAGCGTACTGGTGCGTGAGAGCATTTCAATTTCAAACAAAATTAAAGGTGAATTAAAGGTGTATAAAAAGTATCATTTTAATTATTTAGAAACCCTCAAGTACCTGATGTACCAAACATGCACCTTGCAGTAGTGGCCTGTGGGGATAGACTTGAGGAGACACTGGTCATGATCAAATCTGCTCTTATTCTCTCCAGAAATGCAATTAAGGTCCACATATTTGCAGAATATGATCTTCATCTAGGTTTCAAGCAACAGGTAATGCTATGTTTACCAGTATAATAAAAAAGTGCCAGTACCAGTACCAGTATAAACATGTACCAAGTATATACCACATGCTGTGTAAAAATATTCAGACTGTACGGGTACATGTATAAGCAATAAAGGGGTTTATCAAAGGGCGTGTCTTGCCCCTTTGCTGTAATACTATAAATACTTTTTGCAAGCCTTTTCAGTCCAGTATAGCTACATGTAAAAGTTGAAAAATGCCAAAACAAAGAACACCTGCTAGGAGGTTGGTACTCTACCACTCATACAGGACCAGCCTTTTCAGCAGAATGTATTTGAGCAAATTCAGATTTGTCATTCCTCTAGGCCAGTAGACTTATAAGCAGCACCTTCATCAGTTTACATAAAAGTGATTTTAGGTGCAAAATTTATTGGTACACAAATTTATAAGTGTTTTTTCTTTACAGTTGGATAAGTGGATGGCAGCTTCTCAGGGCACATTTACTTACCAGCTTTACCCTATCACATATCCAGAAAATTACAATGTTGAAGAATGGAAGAAGATATTCAAACCATGTGCCACTCAGAGGTTATTTTTACCAGTAAGACTGCAAATTTGTTTAATTTTAAAAGCTCAGAGCTGCCCTGCGTATTGACCATTTAGGCATGAAAGTGTATGGGGCCATTCAGAAGGAGAAGATCCGAGTGCTAACTGGTCCACAACCTAAATATGGGGGACCTACGGGATACATGAAAGAAAGACCACTTAATCCTGTAATGGTCTCTCTGCCTGTTTCATGCCTCCCCCTGCATCGTCCCTGCAGGGGCACAGTAATTAAATCTCGGCTCAATTCAACCGGTCGAGGGACAATGCATGAGGAGTCGTGTGAGAGGCAGAGAGAATGGCCTCATAGTGGATTATTATTCAATGAGCAACTTGACTTAAAATTTCAATAATAATTATTTTTTAACTCTTGTCATTTTATAACCACAATCACTATTCAGAATACATGTACAGGTACTATCTGTTTGATAATCATTTGAAAATATTTGGAATTTTTAGCCGAACACAAAAAATTAATTGTTTGCAGTATGTCATGAAAGATGTTGATTCTTTGCTGTATGTGGACACAGACATTTTGTTTATGCGACCTTTTGATGACATCTGGAGCTTCTTCAAAGAGTTTAACTCCAGCCATATAGCAGCCCTTGCACCTGACTACATGGATGGAGAAGCAAGCTGGTACAAGATAGTTGCTGTGCATACATACTATGGACGATTGGGTAGGGTCTTATTTTTAGAATGGGGAAAGTTGCTGTGCAAAATGTTACATCTTTTCCATTATTCCAGTCCACAGGGACTCTCATTTCTATTAGTCATTAATTGTCTATGTACCTGTACATGAATACCACAGGCAGTGAAAATAACCTGCACGGATGTGGGGTGCATGACAATAGGCCTTATATTCATTGTGCCGAACGTTCACTATAGAACCTTCCAACCAATGGAACCTTTTAACTGATGAAAATGTTATGATGTTTTTGGACCAATGAACCTTTGAAGCAATGCATGGACCTTTGGACTATCTAGATGCACCATATTGTAGGCTTTGAAGCATTTTTCTCAGCCTATGTCCCAACTGGTATTGTATAAACTGTATTATTTAATAAATGAAGTCTAAACAGTTGCACTTTGTTGCCTTATCTAGTAAACAAACATGGTAAACATAAACATGCATGTAGCAACAGTTTATATTTGTGTTTGTGGATGGAATTTTTCAGTGCTTCAGTGTTAAAATGTTGCTATGTTTCAGGATTGAATTCTGGTGTGATGTTGATGAACTTGACTAGAATGAGAAGGTTTCCATGGATAGAACTGGTCACAAAATTTTATGAGGTGTACAAGCTCAATATTCCTGTGGGAGACCAAGATATCATAAATATTATATTCCATTTTCATCCAGGTACTAAATGAAATGTATACTAGATAAATGTTAAGAGAGACTTAAATACATGCACATTTGTGTATAATACATGTACTTTTATTTAGAGATTCTTCTGTCGCCAATATTTATACAGTCTACACATTTTACTGAAGATGATAATTGTTTCTTGAAGAATTATGATAAAAGTAACATAAATCTAGAGAAATAAAAGCAAATTAATGAAGCAATTATTGAATACATTGCAGGGTTACAAAATAAGCATCTTGATTTTTAAAGATGTCTGAATTTTAATTTAAGCACTTTTTTAACTTTGCAGATAAACTATTTGAGTTAACATGTGATTGGAATTATAGACCAGATCACTGCAGGTTCATGAGTGTTTGCAAAGTTGGTGAAAGAGAGGGAATTTCTGTGGTCCATGGTAACAGTGGAGTGTATCACAATGACAAACAGCCAGTGTTTAAAGCAGTGTATGAAGCCTTTAGGCAGGTATATGTTTATTATTACAATGTAAATCACACACAATTTATCTTGACTGAATGCTGGTATGCTTTGTACATACTGATACAAGGAAATGCATTGCACCTATGCAGGTAATATCAAATAATTTTTGTTTCTGAGAAATGGGAAGTTTACAAGCTATATGACATACATCTAAACATAATGTTAAAACAGAATCCATGTAATGTTGTAGAATGTTCACTTCATACCAGAGTGATGTTATTGACGTTTCAGTTATTCTACTGTACACTTCTACACTCTGCCCTTTATATTTAACCTAATGAATTACCAACACGTATCAGATTATTTTCCATCTGTTTATTTCAGTATAATATTGGAGATGATCCCAGGACCAGACTTTTACAGCAAATGAGGGAGAATATTGACAAAGGACCCAATAGTAAATGTGGAAATGTCAAACAGATAGAAAAGCAAATAACAGTGTTTGAAGAGAGAACGAAGTTAACTTATTCATAGATAATTGGAGAAAAAATACTGCACTTTTTAGTTGTATTTGCAGGAGGTTACCTGGTAGCAGGATGGCATTTCACGGAAAAATCTTGTCCATGTAAGGAATATTGAGGATGAAAAAATTGTTCTTGTAACGTCAGTTACAAGCAATGTATTTTAATGTCGTAGCATATATTTTTATCTCTCACTGTATTCAAATGAAAGTTTAATAAAAATTGATATAAAACACGTACCAATAATGATTATTTATATTGTATATACTTTAATGGGTTTCATCTACGGGAAGTCGAAAAAACCTTGCCTGGGAATGTTAAACTTCGCTTAAAAGTCAAAACTATACACGGGACACAGACGAGTCGAAACTAAGACAAGGTGAACAGAGTCTACAGTTGACCAAAAATAATAACATACAATCATGTGTAGTGTGACTCAATGAGACAATGACTGACTGCGACCAAATGAGAAAATGGACGTGTCTATATGTGATTGACAGCGACGAATGGGAAAATCAGCGTGACCATATGGAATAATCATAACCAGATCAGAAAATCAATATGACCATAGGGGGAATGAATATCACCAAATGTGAAAATTAATGTGACCATATGAGAATGCCAGACCTACTAAAAATTATAATGTGACCATGTGGGTGAAAGTTATAATGTGGTCACAGTGGAATGACTGACCTGTGACCTACCTGTCAGTCGCGGAGAGTTCCAGATTAAAAATTTATCGGCACAAAAAAAAAAAAAAAAAAAAAAAAAAAAAAAAAAAAAAAAAAAAAAAAAAAAAAAAAAAAAAAACGCTCCACTCAGTCTTTCCTTAGCATATAGGAAACAAAATTTGATCAAAAAGCCGAACGAAATAAATCCCCCCCCCAAAATAAATAAATAAATAAATAAATAAATAAATAAACCAGAAAAGCACTCCGACCAGACCTCCGCCAAGGCAGCAAAGTCTTCACCCAATGACGTTTCACCCCTAAATTTCCATTCTATACTGATTTAGTTTTTTATTATTGATTTTTGATTGATTATTGATCCAGATCACCACCAAAAACTAATCATCTATTTCTTGGCCCACTTCTGACGGTTCCTGAAAATTTCATCAAAATCGGTCCATAACTTAGTTTTTTTATTTTTGATTATTGATTATTGATTCATTGTTGATCCAGATCACCACCAAAAACTAAACACATCTAAGTTAACCCATTTCTGACCTACCCTGAAAATTTCATCGAAATTCATCCATAACTTTTTGAGTTATGTTGATGACAAACAGACAGACAAACAAACAAACCACACCAGAAAAACCATAATGAAAGATTTCATTTAAAGCACAAGTACATCTGAACCACTCTGTTGCGACTATGGAGGAGTTTGAGAGCATAAACACAATTTTTGAAGGCAACACTGCAGGGGCGGATCCAGGATTATTTGAAGGGGGTCCGTTTTTTAAGAATGACAGGCCGCGCATGAGAAGCAGACCTTAACCCCCCCCCCCCCTTTGGTGTGGGGTTCAGGGCCCGCTGAAGGGCCTCGAAAAAAATGGTATTTTAGAGGGCGAGCGGTGTCATTTGATACAGTTAAGAACTGTGATTCAGCTAGTCAAAATTCTAAATTCACCATTGGTGTGACTTTTTTCAAAAATCGAAGGGAGGTCATGACCCCCATGGCACCCTCTCTAAATCATCCACTGCACTGATCTAAAGAGTGAGTGACTACTTTAGAGCACGGATTCTTTTTAAAGTCTTTAATCAGCGAGCTAGGGTTAGGCTATTTTGTTAGCAGAAAGTAAGTCACGATAATCACCCGACGGGGCAGGGCATGGCACTATTCTTAAGAGAAACCAAACAGCGCATGGATGACAATGTTATTTCCATGGTTACCGCGCCAGGCCGTATGAACAACCCGCAGCGACCCGCAGAGTAAGGGGACTATCCGGCGGGACTGTGGGATAGTGGACACAGTATCTCATAATATATTTAACGTGGCACTTGTCGGCTTCCAAAAGAACTTGTTCATCCATCAGTCTGTGAAGGACGAGTTTTGTTCGAACAACAACTGTGGTACTATGTGGACATTACATTTGCGTTGTTTTGGTGGCAAGGTCATTGTTAAATTCATCATATTTATTGCCTGTGTCATCGCATACACTCGCTTTTTTCGCACAAGCCTGACAAGAAGCAAAAAACCTGGATTGACTAATAAGGATATTTATGACCAAAATGAACTTGAAGAAAATAAGACGCTGATGAATTTCTTCCAAACAGAAAAAAGCCTAATTAGGTATTTATAGTTTTCTGTAACAATTCTTGCTCTTAGAGCGGTGTCAAACAGGGGCGTAACCAGACCTTTTAAAATTCCACGCACAGATTTTCAAAATTCCCATGTACAGCTAATTGTAGACTTACGCAACAAATGAAGGGCAGTTTAAATTTTATGCGCCAAAATAATAGCTTAGTTTTCACCAGTAATAAATTCATCACTTAAAGTTTAAAATATTCCCATAATATTATTAAGTTCCAGTATATTATTTCACCCAGAACCAACGCTTTTTCCAGGATTGTAATTTCCTTCAAATTTTCACCCTGGGCCCAGTTTCATAAAGGACGTTTAGCACTAACCAGTGTATAAGTTTAACCAGTAGATAAATTCTCCTCACACCCCTTAACAAAAAGATGGTTAAAAATGTGTTTCATAAACAGTGTTTAAACAGCCGGTTAGTTAACTGTCCAGTGCTTAACTGGATAAGATATTTAAAAGTTAGTTAACTAACTGGCTGTTTAGGGGTAAAAATTAAGTGAAAAAAAAATTAAAAATAATTAATTTCATTGTGAAGGGAGGGTTAAAAATAGTTGATAACGATCTCCCGCTGACGCTCTTTCGCGAAAGAACGCCCTTGAATGAATAAGAAAATTGCCTTCTCCTCTCGCTCGGATCGCAAACGAGAACCGGCTGACGATATTCTGCGAACGAAGTCTTTTGAACGAATATGAAAATTGTTTTCTCGTTTAGCTGGGATCGCGATCGATCTCCCGCTGAAGATACGAGAAGCGGCTTCTCTACTCGCTGCGGTCGGTAACTATCTCTTGCTCCCAATCTTCGACTAACGAAGCCCTTTGAACAAATAAGAAAGTTGCCTTCTCGTCTCTTTCGGATTGCGAACGATCTCTCGCTGAAGATTTTAAATTGCCGTTCTTGTCTATCAGCTTTGTCAGGTGCCGTTCGAAGGTGTCCCCTTTCATAATAGTGAGCTCAGACTTCATTTATTAGGGCCTACACGCGTTTTGTACCGCATGTAGATCATTCTTGTCACTGCTGCATTATGTATTTAAAAGTTAATGGAAACATTTCACTGTGTTTTGTAAGCTTTAAGTTGTGACAGAATAACAGCATGCACTACAAAGTAGCATTATTCAACTGGGACGCATCATAAATTACTCTAAGGAATTTTCGTACGATGTCCACGGCCGCCTCGACAAGCCAAGCCCTCATTTTTTAAAATCGTAAGCCGTCCAGCCGTCTTTGAAAATATTGGCCGTCCAGTGATGCCGTCCAATATTACAGCCTTGCCCAGAACGGTATATTTATTTATCTTGGGCTTTACTGACACAAACTTTGGGCACATATGCAGATTATGCCTGCAGATTATGCCAAAATAATTGTACGCACAGCGCATACGTGCGTATGGCTGGTTACGCCCCTGTCAAAGACAACTGAGAATTGGTTGTTTTTGCCAAACTGAATTTATTCAAATGTGACGGAAAACTTTATAAGAATTTTTCATGCCGAGCGTCTCTGTTAAGGCACGCAAGCTAGTTCGAGCGCCAACTAAGCATGTTAAATCATATAAGTCTTAATCTCGAAAACTAAATCATATAAGTCTTAATCTCGAAAACTATGTTTCAGCAGTTCACCAAATGCATCTGGTGCACCAAACATGCACCTTGCTGTAGTGGCCTGTGGGGATAGACTTGAGGAGACACTGGTCATGATCAAATCTGCTCTTATTCTCTCCAGAAATGCAATTAAGGTCCACATATTTGCAGAATATGATCTTCATCTAGGTTTCAAACAACAGGTAATGCTATGTTTGCTAGTACATACAAAATCAAAGAACCAGAACAAGTACGTATACATGTACAGGTACCTGTACTTTACTCCCCTGGCAAAAAAGTGTCTCCCCCTAACGCATTTATAAACATTGCTTTAAAGGTCCCCATAGATTTAATTTTTCTATTACATTACAACTACCGGTAGGAAACCAATCATCGTATGTAAATTGAGGAATTTAGTTTATAGTTTATTCATTGCAACATATGCATCCACCTGGGTAGATAAAAATGAAAATAAAATTTTAGTGAGTATGGTATTAACCAATTACAATGTGTAAGACTACTTACTTACTGTGAGCAATAGAACATTGACCTACATGTGGGTGTTTCCTTGCACGAGATAAACACTCATCGTGCCCCAGGGTGGAATAGAACCTTTTTATCCAAGCATCCTATTCCTAACCAACGTAACCGGCTTCAATGTCTGTCGCGCCTAGTAAAGCTGTTAGAGGGTAGTTATCTTTACCCCCTAGCTGATTCGGTGGCCTGACAGACATTTAAGCAGGTTAGGTGATAGCTATTTAGTAAGACTCCCCAGGGAATTAGACCAATCCAGATGGATCGATCTAGGCATGGGAACCCAGTCTTAGATTCGACTCGCCTGTGTCACGTGGATCGTTTTAACTTTCAAAGCGATGTTGAACATTCCCAAATAGAACCAGCAATATTTTACGAACTTTTGAACAGACTACACCTTCGCCTAATAAAACCAGTGCTTTAATAAAAAACATAAATTTGAAAACTTTCAATCCTTATTTATCTTATAATACCCCTTAATATTTTCTTGTTTAAATACTTGATCTTTCTGAGGTCGCAGGGCCTGTGCTGTTACGGTCACACTGTACAAAAAAGACTCTTTGCGACAGGCAACTGTCACCGGTTGCAAGAACTCGTGGTTTTCAAAACGCTGGGTTAATATCTGGTCGATCCTATTTTCGGTGCAGCAACGATAACCCCCTGGCGACTGAAAAACCTATTTGTGGTATCCAACCGGTTGCTAAAAGGTCGCCGACTGCTTTGCAACTGATTTGCTACCGATATTGTGGTCTCCCCTTTGTCTTTTTAGCCCCAGGCGTGTACCATTTACAATATATCCAAATTAACTCGTGACAGGTCGTGCGCATCGTGTACTTTTTTACACTTTACCATCCTTGTAGTGAGGATACCAAGCACTGGAAAAATGTTAATTTGTATCTACTGTAACTATTTCATTTAAGATTCCTGGACACATTTAACGATCTGTAACATTATTTGTAGATCATTTTAATGGTTGAAAATATGAAATGATAGGAATAATACAACGCTGATTAAATTATTTTCATTTTCCGTTTTCTCTGCATCAGTGTATTTGTTACATTGCTTACTCAGATAATATGGCTTTGCAAATTTTAAATGACATACAGCGATGAAACATTGAGGGTATCACCATATTCACCAATGTTTTTTGAAAAAAATCGCACATTGCCTTTTAGCCTCATATAAATTTTTTTGTTTTCGTAAATGTAAACCTTAACATTAGTGTAAAATCTTGCCAACAAATGCAATTTATGCTTTCTTTTTCTAAAATATTATGGTTTTTGATCATGATATTTAGAAGGCACACATGACAAATTATGAAAAAAGTCTCCGTCTCAATAGACCACCATCCAACGCCTATGCAACCTTGCAGTTACAACTGCAACCTTCTAGCGACCTGCTGCCGACTACTTGCGACTGATTAGAAACTTGTAAGAGACCAGGCGAATAAATACCGTCAATCGACTGTGCAGTTACAAGTAGTATGCTACTGGTTATGATGACCTACTAGCAACCAAGAAGAGACCGATAGGCAACCTTATGGATGCCGATATTTTCAGCTTAAGTCGCACTAGTTGTCAGTGCACAAAAAATGACCTTCATGTGTCAACAATCGCTGGGGAACTGTTAGCAACCTTATGCGACCACTTTAAAACCTATGGTTACCTCCTTGCAACTGATGTTGCAAAAGGTTGGAAGTGCAGTGTGCACCAGGCTTAAGGCCGACCGAAGGAAGCGACACCCAGAGAAGAGAGAATGTTAACACAACTTTTCATGACATTTAAGAACTTGACTGCAACATTTAACAAGAATAAGGTAAACCATGTTTCTGAGTTTACCGTCAGAAGACGTCTACACAGAAGCTGTTATTTTGGCAGGACTGGAGTGATCACCGTCAGGAACCGTCTACTTCGAGTCAGATGGTGTACCACAACTCCTACATAATAATAATAATAATAATAATAATAATAATAACAATAATAGTTTACTAAGATTGCAACCTGGGGATTGAAGTTAAGAACATTATAATGATAATAATGATAATAACATGGACACCAGCCAGCTATTGGGCATCGATACTGTTCTCAGAAGAAAGCAGTTCCGGCGTTTTCAGAAGTGATGGACGCGCAAGTGTTTGTAGAACAGCTGGTAAAATTATCCTTCCAATTTTCTGCTTCATGTTGACAGGACGCAGCCCTTATCAGTCATGGGAGGGGTATTGACTACCATGGCGTAGGCGAGCTGATACGCGAAATACATCCAAGTCCTGCAAAGGAACTACAAAAATTCTGTTGAGAATGTCTTGGGGACCTTGACCACCCAGTTATGTTTCAGCATCATATTCTACTCCACGTATGTTCCCCCTCCCCTAAAGGGCAGTATAGTCTATAGATCAGAACACACACACACACACACACACACATATATGCGTATGTCCGTTTTCATCTAGGTAGTGTACACTAAAGAATCAAAAGGCAAAGGATTATATTGGCATTTTCAAGCCAGTCTTTAGCTCTTTCGTCTAACGAGTTTAGTGAGTCCAACCCTGGGCACTGATGCAGCTGACAAATCTCTACGATGTGGTTTACTGTTTGTAGGGGGGCACCACACAGATCAGAACCTCATTGAAGAGGATAACTGAGGGAACTATTGGTTTCTGACTTAATTTTCTCTTTCTTTCCATGCATTGCACTAGAGATGACAGTTTTTTTTGGTAGGGGGTTACAATGTATATTTCGCTTGCCATCTTGCCAAAGCTAATATCAAATCTGACTGGATTTTAATGACTATGACACATATGGATTATTAAAGTATGTGTATCAGAATAAGAATAAGGTAGGCAAAGCGAGGGGAGAGACTATAAAATTTTCTCCTTCCCTAATGCCATCTCCAGTTCACTTTTGGATCGGTCAGTTTGTACAGTATATTTCGTTAACATGCATCTGATGAAAGAAAATGAAAATTAGTATTAAATCATTGGCATGTGTAATAATTTTCATAGACAATGTGCATGTAAATTGTCAAGAAACGAACCAGTCTAGTGTTCCTCAGAGAAAGCGTAGCTGCCGACGTCTTTGTGCAAGTTCTGGCGGAAAAGTTCTAGAGGAAAAGCTAACAGAGGCAGACCAAATGTAACTTACTCTGGCACCATCAGGAATGAATACTGGTCTGCAAACAAATGGAATCCTCGCAATAACGAAAAAGAAATAACTCTGGTCTAAACACTTTGCTGCTGCTGTTGTCTTCCGCCCAAAGGTGAAAAATGACGATTGTCATGAGATGCCGTCCTTGGCAGCTACGCTAGATGTTAATTGTTTTTTTTATTCTTAATGGCACTTTATTGCCTTCGGATGACCTTCTTTTTTCTCTTATCCATGCTTCCTTAAACATGGCATTAACTTTTCCCGTTAAAATGCCAATAATTTGCCAAATTAATATCATTGATCACCAGAAGGAACCCAAACGAAAAAATTCTCTAATATACTGTTGCTTGAAGGTAGAGCAAGGAATTATAAAAGAACACAAATGAGCTCTTTGAATAATACATTTTGTCATAGTTTGAACTTAATTATTGAAATCGCAGAAACAATATTCTGTTGGAATATTCCATTATTTTTAAAAATAGTTTATAAACTGTAAACAATTGTTCGGAATTTTTATTTCTTGGACAGTTGGACAAATGGACAGCTGCTTTACAGGACACATTTACCTACCAGCTTTATCCTATTACATACCCTGAGGAAAACAGTTTTGAAGAATGGAAGAATTTAAAAGCAAATAAACCATGTGTCACTCAAAGATTATTTTTACCGGTAAGCTGGCAAATCACCAAATGTGTCGGTTGCAATACATTTATCCAGTCTGTTCTAATACACTCTTTCACTTAACTTTAAGAGATAGATAAATTCCATTACTTGGAATTTGTTATATTCGTTTGAAAATTAGATTTTAATCTTGAATGGCGATTTAAATGGTGATATAACAAAAATGAATTTATAAGTATTGAGGTTTATGAACAGATAAAACCCCAAGCAGTAGAGGCAGTTGTTTCCCACCACTAGTTTCATGTTTGGAAGCAGGGAGTGGAGTTGTGGTCTGGGTCAGTTTTAAAGAAATTCTTAAGTATTTAATTCTGATGAGTATTTTTGAAAACAATTTTTAAACCTGCAGACGGCAACTGGATCCAATTTCTCTCTTTGCAGACTCTCTTGGAGGATGTTGATTCCGTGCTGTATGTGGACACAGATATCTTATTTTTGCGACCTTTTGTTGATCTCTGGAACTTCTTTAAGTATTTCAACTCTAGTCATATAGCAGCCCTTGCTCCTGAACGTATGCATAGATTAGATGGGTACGATCATTTTGTTCTGCTTCCACATTATGGATTGAAGGGTAAGAATATTAAAGCTTTTACATTATCTGCTTGTATCATTGTGGCAGAAAGTCTCGCAAATTTTCGTAAAAAATGGCGACATTTTTCTGGACTTGAGCTGCATTTCATCCAGTTTTTTCTATTCACGGGTGACATCACACACCGCCGTCATCCTCGTTTCAAGACTATCTCGGATTTCCCCTTTGAGAACTGGGCGGTAAAGCATACCGTGCGTTGACATCTATCTATTGTGACGAGATTTCATCTCCAAATTTCGGCTGATGAATAACCAGAAGCTGATCTGGAAGGATTTCTCTCGTGTTGGATGATGTAGCGGTACCGTCCTATATATTGAACAAATGGCTGTCATTTTATGTATTAACCAAATGTAAGGTCTAGTTTGTTTTAAAATTAATTGTCGGTCAACACAAGCCCTCGATTTTATTCTTCATTAATTTCATTTTTCTAACGAGTGCGACGGTTGTTGCCTTTGGTAAGTCAGTCTTTGGTAATTAAAAGATGTTTAAATTGGCAGTTTAATTCATCAAGATTTATATGAACACGTAGCTACATTGTATTCATAAGGTTATAAAATGATAATAATGGTAATTCGTACAAAGCCTACTACGTGTGCAAACAGCCATGACACCCAGTTTTTTCTACTCAACCAAACCACTGAGCTCCTATGAATTCCTAATTGATAACAATGGAGTATTGAAGGAACCTGAACTGACAGAAATTGACATACATATTTTAGACATTCCCACATAGTTTTTAGCCTATATTTTTCTTTAAGAAGCAACTTGCAATCTGTTGTCAAATGGGCCTTATTGACGAATATAAAAATAATTTCTGAAGATTTTAAAACTAGTTCTTTAGATAAATCTGACTGCTTTATTGGTTTGATTAGAAATCTTTGTTTTAGAATACACTGACAAAACAGAATAAAAACGAAGTTGGCGACATAATTTTCTCTCAGTTGAAAATCAAATACTTCTCTCAATACCACATTCCTTAAGATTCTATTGCAATAAAGTCCGGACAGGACGGATACAACAAATCAAAAATGGGGTGTCCTCTTCTTTATTTAATTTTTGCGTACACTTGAACATTTCTAAGATCACTCAGAGCAAGATTGGCAATATTATAAACACTTCCTTGTAAATGTAAATGTCTAAGCTGGTGGAACTTTTCCACGCTTTTTCTTTTACTCTAGATTTCCTTTTTTCTTTCAGGATTAAATTCCGGGGTGATATTAATGAACTTGACAAGAATGAGGGAGTTTCCATGGAAAGAGCTGATCACAAAATTTTACCTGATGTACAAATTCAGCACAACATTAGATGATCAGGATCTCATAAATATTGCGTGGCACATGTTTCAATGTTAAAAACACCTAATTGATATATTTTAATAAATAAAAAATAAAACTGTGGTTGTTTTATATTTATTTTCAGAAAAGGTATTTGAGTTGACCTGTGATTGGAATTACAGGCCAGACTGCTGTATGTATGCCAGTGTTTGTAAAGACGCAGAGAAAGAGGGCATTTCAGTTCTCCATGGTAACAGGAGAATGTACCATAATGACAAACAACCGCCCTTCAATGCAGTTTATGAAGCTTTTAGAAAGGTACATTAATCATTCAGAGTCATTAGTGTTTTAGAGTATTATACCTGTATGACGCACATCTTTATATTCACAAGCACGGAAAAATACGCGTATAGATGTTCCAATAAAAATATTTAAATTATAAACGTCTTTTGAAGCTTGATACTTTTATCACTAAGAATATTGTCATGACCATTATAAAAAGCTGGGTGAATTAAGACCACACAGTTTAAAAATAATGAGAGATGTAAAAAAATGAGTAAAACACCTTTTTATTTGAACCTTTCAATTTCTGTTTAATATAGGAGATACATTTAACGCTTTACACTACCTTGATAACTCAAATTCAACAAAGGGAATATGAATCTGTAAACACCTTTCATTTATATGTTTTAGTACACTATGGGTCAAGATCTTAGGACAGGCCTTCTAGAGCAGATGAAGATGAATCTTGACAAAGGACCAAAAAGCAACTGTGGTTATGTCAAACACATATTCATTAAACAGATAGAAAAACAAATTACTCTGCTTGAAGGGAGAAGTTAGCTTGTTTTGGTACATGTGAGAATAATACACATGAGTGTGTATGGACATATTTCACTCGTATGTCACCTACATTGTAGTGCTTCGATTTGTTGTGAATGTCGATTGTAAATTGTCGGTTGTCTCAATTTATAGCATTTTTGGCAGAAGCGAGCAGAANNCCTTTTTATCCAGGCGTTAGCCAGGTCTTTTGCAGAATTCCTTCATTTTAAAATTTGGCAGATATTCAATTTAATATTTGTAAAATCTTCTAAAAGATCATGTTACCCCAGAAACTGATATAAACCACTCCTTTAGCGTGAAGAACAGATTATTGTGACAAATATTTCCTTCTAATTTTTTGGACACAAGGTCTTTACTGCTAGTAATCGTCCTTTCCATAACACGTCTAGGGACTTATTTCATCAAATGATTTATAGACCGGTTGGTGCTAAACATTCTTTATAAAACTTAGTCCTTAAAGTCCCTTCGAACTACTTTGCGGTTTCGCATGGGTTGGTTTCCAACCATTAAACCAGTGTTTGGTATTCTTGTGAATAACCGCAACGTATAACTGAGGCATCCATGTACCAAATATTAAGCATCTGGTTTGTTTACCTTATATGTAATGCAAATATATTAAAAACAATGTCCAAAACTAAGCTAAACTTCCTAATAACGCCTTTTAAGCTGCAATTGGAATTTTCGCATAAAGGAATATCCTGTGAACAGACAAAACAATTATAAGTATATATTATGTGCATGCTGCGTGGTACATGTTTCAATGTTAAAAACACCTAATTGATATATTTTAATAAATAAAAAATAAAACTGTGGTTGTTTTATATTTATTTTCAGAAAAGGTATTTGAGTTGACCTGTGATTGGAATTACAGGCCAGACTGCTGTATGTATGCCAGTGTTTGTAAAGACGCAGAGAAAGAGGGCATTTCAGTTCTCCATGGTAACAGGAGAATGTACCATAATGACAAACAACCGCCCTTCAATGCAGTTTATGAAGCTTTTAGAAAGGTACATTAATCATTCAGAGTCATTAGTGTTTTAGAGTATTATACCTGTATGACGCACATCTTTATATTCACAAGCACGGAAAAATACGCGTATAGATGTTCCAATAAAAATATTTAAATTATAAACGTCTTTTGAAGCTTGATACTTTTATCACTAAGAATATTGTCATGACCATTATAAAAAGCTGGGTGAATTAAGACCACACAGTTTAAAAATAATGAGAGATGTAAAAAAATGAGTAAAACACCTTTTTATTTGAACCTTTCAATTTCTGTTTAATATAGGAGATACATTTAACGCTTTACACTACCTTGATAACTCAAATTCAACAAAGGGAATATGAATCTGTAAACACCTTTCATTTATATGTTTTAGTACACTATGGGTCAAGATCTTAGGACAGGCCTTCTAGAGCAGATGAAGATGAATCTTGACAAAGGACCAAAAAGCAACTGTGGTTATGTCAAACACATATTCATTAAACAGATAGAAAAACAAATTACTCTGCTTGAAGGGAGAAGTTAGCTTGTTTTGGTACATGTGAGAATAATACACATGAGTGTGTATGGACATATTTCACTCGTATGTCACCTACATTGTAGTGCTTCGATTTGTTGTGAATGTCGATTGTAAATTGTCGGTTGTCTCAATTTATAGCATTTTTGGCAGAAGCGAGCAGAACTACATGTATGAAATGGTAACCAGCGGTGACAGATCACTTTTTAAAAGACAGTCTTATTATAGAAAAAAAAACTTTACTAGTACTTGTACATTAATTTATAAGCTGACTATATTTTAAATACATATACCACTTAACGGAATACAAGAAATAAAACAAGATGCCTAAGTAATATGCCATACTTACGGGTATCATCACTTCTCGGTCTATCGGTACGAACGATAACAAAATTTACGTTTCGTAACGATCTTGCTTAAATTGACATTCTGTAAATGTTGATGGCTGATAGGTTCTCTCCGGGGGTTATCGTATTCAAGCACTTGTGTATCAGGGCAATATGTTATGATTTCAAAAAGAATTTGGTTCTGGATATAGTGATATTTGAACACATTTTCGGTCTGTTAGTCTAAGAGAAACCCGAGGGAGCGCTTCTCATCGTCTGATAATGCATTGGTGATTGCGCTAAAACAAGTTCACAGAAAAAAGGTATCAAAAGGTACTAATACCAAGCACAGTCTATCTTAGGGTTCTTATAATCTGGTGCTCTTACTTTCATTAAAATAAACTTGGAAATGAACTTTTTTTGTCATTTGCATTGGTATATATTTTGGAAAGATTTGTGGAATAGTCAAATACGCACTAAAGAAAAACAAGCATTATCACCTAAACCGTCAAACTCTCTCAACCATGATAATCCGCCATAGTGATCCTTGATAATGTTACATGTACATTCACAGGATGGTCATGTGGACATTTTTCTTTAATTTGACGGGGCCAATATTTGATTTTTTTTTTTACTTTTTTAAATTCCACAAAGGACATAACATTGGCTCATCATATTATTACCCTGAGCAAATGAAATATTGAAGCAATGTTGCTGCAACTAAAAAGTTTGCAGAAACAAGTTCAGAGGAGTTTGCAAGAAAAATTCTGTTGCAGCAAATTTGCAAGAAGGAATTGCAGTTTGCAGTAATATTGTAGCAAATTTGCTGTAAATTTGCAGAAGGCATGATGTTTTGCTAAGAGTAATTGTTTCCAAGTCTTAATTGTAAATTCATATCCAAATTTTAGCTTTGCCCATTTTGCAGCACTCCTCAGCACCATCTTCAATTTTTCTAGCAGCCATACACGTTGGATGATTTAAATTACCACTTGTACACGCCTGTTATCCATGCCACTGTCCTCTTTCAAAGTCATCCTTGAAAACATGGTTTTGCCCTCAAGCAAAGAATGCTTTTTTAAATTAAACCTGAACCATTAAAAGGAAAAAAAATTACACAAGTAATGTAAAACACCAAACTCAAGCCTCAAACACTGCTTTTATTAGTTAAAAATAACATCGCAACAAAGTAAAAAGCCAGGCTAAGTGGGGAAATGTTGACAGCCAAGTGTTTCCTTTGTATTCATCTCTGACTCTCAATATTTCCAGTACACTAACATAAGGACCTGCCTGTAAAAAGGGCAGTACTTTGCGGGTTCTGACTCAGGCCCATTAATTTATAGTACATGTAACCTGTTGGTGTTGGGTGTTGGGGTCTACTTTATATAATTGTACACTGAAGAGACATTTAGTCTCCATTCAGTTGGTCAACACCAATGGTGACAGAAGGGGCTCAACTCTTACTACATGTTAGTGCACTGATACTCCATCGGGAAGATAAATTTTAGACTTACGCCTACCATGTTTCTACCCTCAATAAATAGCTTAATATATAAATAAATAAATAAATAAATAAATAAATAAATAAATAATCCCCCGCACCAGTAACCACATCTTTACTCCCCGCTGTGTTACTGAAATATCATAAAAAACATGATGAAACATGTTACATTTTTAAAAATCATGCAAAAAAAAAAAGTTACTGGTAACTGACATAGTTCTTTTCTAAAAACCATTGCACCACCCCTTTAAAAATACTTCTTAGAAGAGTATTTTAAGTAACTGGATCCTCCATGACATGTTTCTCTCTTCTCTCAGAACTTGTCATAAATTGAGTCAAGCTTTCCACAAATTTAAAATAACTGTACTTGATGTCATATTCCATATCATACCAATAGTTGACTGAAATAATAAAATAATCTGCATTAATATGGATTACGAAAACAATTTACTGACATTTATTCAAAATGAATAATAATAGTTTGTCTCTTATAAGATGTATAGTAATAATAACTTGGCTATTTTTTCTTTCATATGTTTTGTATATTTGAGCATATTACAGAATTATTTTACAGTAATAAAAAATGTGTGTGCTACATAAAGAAAATGACTGATATCTATGAATTGAGATTCCACATATATGTAGCATATACAAGTACTACTACTTACATATTCAAAGGATAATCAAAACCAAGTCTTCCATCAAATTGTTCAGTCAGACAGTAAACTAGCAATATCAAATTTTAAATTTATTACCTTCCTATAAATTTGCAGTTTCCTTTGATCCACCTCAGAATCTGTCATTTACTAATACTGTACATACCTGCAATGCATCCATGTGACTGCTGAACGTGATGAAACCACAAGGATGGCAAATAGAGGGTCTCCCCTTCATGAACAGTTACTGTGAGAATGTGTGCTTTGGCAAATAAGGGATACGTGACTGTATCTGGATTAAGAGGATCTACTGGGATCCATGGAACCTAGTATAATGTAGAAAAAATTCTAACAAGTTATTACAAATATAATATTTTAGTTTTGGGATACTGAAATCATTGTGACACTTTAATAAAATCATAAAATTACAGAATGTTGTATTTAATGGAATCCCTCAGGGACAATTCAATGAATTTTGTCAACCTAGCTAATGCGCACTTACTCCACAGGGACTCTCACTGAATGCAGTCAGGTTAACAGACTAACACACCTACTCTTGTTTCCAACATACAATTTGTATTAAAAAACAGTCTTTGTACTATTTATTCAATGCCAGGAGGAGGCGTGTTAGTCTGTTAATCTCATTGCATGCAGCGTGAGCACCCATGGAGTTCATAGCATTAGCCCAATTGACAAAATTCATTGTGAATGATTCCTTAGTCCAACAAATGCTGTTAGTAAATGGTCTTTTTATCTTTTTATAAATGCAGTCTTTTTATTTTTACATAATGCTTAAAACCTGTAAAAAAGATTTTCTCATGATGATATCCACATACTTTTCCAATTTCCTTTTCATCAATAACAGAAAATGACCCACGTGAGGTTTCTTCATAATGAGCAGCTTGGTATGTCCCTGAAAATTAGGAAGATGAGTGAAATGTAATAAGCAAAAAGAGACTGTTCATAATTTAATCAATAGGCAAATATATAATTTTCAGTTTAAAAGGTTTTTAAATAAGCAGTCCTTACCATATGGTATGAAGGGTTGGTCTGTGGGTGGTATCAAAATGAAAGTTTTGTGGCCTTTGACTACACAGTACAAGTTTTCATAATGGTCTTTATGCACTGGAAATAAAAAAAAAACTATGCAGAAATTACCAAATAACTGTATTCTGATTTCATATTTTAATCAGATGTTGTTACCACAGAGTTATGCAACTTTAATAACCTACATCATAAAAATGGGGAATAACAAACTGCACTATTATATATTCAATTCAAATTATTTGCTGCCTTGACTTCTTTTTGTTCATACATGTTTTGTGCCTTTTTCTTTTACTTACAAGAAGTGACTGCTCTAGCATCTCCCATCCAAAAATTTACAGCATCAGGAGTTTTTCCTGAAAAAAACAATAATATAAAAAGATTATTTATCATATACCGTGTATATATATAGTTATTTTAAGTTATTTGCTGGACAATGCAATTATGTATTTAGGATACAGTCTTAGTCATACTACTAAATGTTAAATAATTGTAAAATAAATTAAAAGTGCATTTTTCCTCCTTGGATTTAGAGCATAAAACTCAAGAAGGTACATGTAATAACAACTGGTATTGTGGCTATATGCTTCATATGGAAATAGTGCACTGTGCTTACCTCTATATTTTTATCATATCTTTTGAAATTATCATAGAAGGATCACACATCATTTGGGTTGACTGACAGTCTGTTTTTCAACTGATATGTTAAATCTCCCAACTTCGTGAGCATGCATATCAAAACAATTCCTCACCTGATTTACACTTACCAAAAGCTTTGGTAGCCATTTCAATTTCACTTTCAGCATCAGGCAACAATTCTGGAAACTCTTCAGTAAAATTTGAGTTTTGTTTTTGTATGTAAAATATCCCTGGCACTGTGTCTTTATTTTCCAGTATATCTAAAAACTTGTTGAATGTAATTTGCCTTTCTTCTGGCATCACAAATTTGTTACCAGACACTGCATCTGCATAGCCATTGGGTGTGACTGCCACAGATACTGTTTTCTGTCCAATTTTGGACCTTAAAAAAGTATAAAGTCAAAAATGATTATATACACTGCACAGTATATGAAAGCTTGATAATCAGATGATAGTGTTTCATTTGCAAATTACATGTAAAGGAGAAAGAACAATGAAATTATTGCACACAAATACTACTAGTATACCAGTATGCAATGTATATTGTAAGGGAAATAATAATACTGTACCAGAGTATCTATGTTAATACAGTATATTAATTCAAGAAGCATTACGCTCCCCCTTTACAGAACCCATGTTGGTAACTGCTTATTTGCAAAAAGGAGAAACAGATTCAATTTATACAGGTAAAAAACTTATAAGATATAAAATTGGATATTTGCTTTTGTGTATGTTGAGAATTGGTATCTGTACATGTTACTGTACTTGTACTAGTACTAGTACTAGTGCTTGTTTGTGCTTAGCAAATTACAACAACGTCAAGCACATATCATTCCTAATACACTACATGTATGCTCCATATCATACATTCTAACACTTACAGGTGTAATATAAGTGACTTAAAATAATTGTTAACCATCTTCACGTCACTTGCATGCTTTACATTTTGTATATGTGCATGCAGATGAATTAGTACATGAACACCAGTACTCTACCAGTAAATACCTCAAATAACCTGGGTTCCATTTGCTCAGAGCTGGCCAGTGTTCAGTCAAACCCCTGATGACCACAGGTACATTTCGATTAACATAGTCTCTAAGGAACGATAAAGGCTCTATACTGTCAATTACGGGAACTTCTAAAGGAATAAATAGCTCTGGAATATAAATTGAATGTACTGCAGTACATGTAATTAAGTAAGAACAACTCAGGGGAAAGTCAATCATAGCTGTTGCAATATGACTCTGTAAAATAATAATAATAATAATAAATAAATAAATAATAGAAAAATAGAAAAAAAAGAAAGAAATCCCTGTCGGATCCGGTGGTAATGTAATTAAAATATTTATTGAAATTGAAGAGTGAACATTTCGCTCAATTGCTTGCTTCCTCAGTTTTACAAACTCATTGTTACACGGACGTAAAATTCCTTGTTGATAAGTTACCATAAACAATTCTATAGATCTATCTTAAATTTATTAGTCATCTAATTAACTACAAATTTTGTTACCTTCAGATTCCAGCGAAAGTAGTTCAAAACATTCTAAAATGTTTTTACACATTGAACCAGACATGCTTGACTCTTATTGGGTCAAGGCCACTCTAAAGGTGTCCATCATCGGCCCAATCCAGCTACTTTTAACTGTTCTCAAATGAATTAGTAACCCCTCCGTTTTGTAAAAAATAAGTTCAAAACTGAAGAAAAAACATTATATTATATAAAATATTATGCTTTTGTAAATAATTATGATTTAAATAAAAATTTATCTTTTTTTAATTGGCCGGAAATACATAAGATACTGTAATGGTTTATGATAAAGACCCAGTTAATTACAACTTGCCGGTTGCTGTTGTCCATGCGGTATTTAAGATTCTTGGGCACTGTCGCTTTCGGACGATCGTTTCAACCCGTTAAGGTACCTAGATCGACATTGTATTAAGCAACTGTAGGCCCATGCATTATATATATCAGAAGTGTGTGTGTGTGTGTGTGTGTGTGTGTGTGTGTGCCAGTTTAAAGGCGGTCATTACTTGTAAGTTGTATGGCCTTTTTCAGCTAACACCTTCCATAAAAATTCTTTGTGCCAGTTTACTTCAAGAGAGTTATTGACAGACAAGTATGCTCGATCATTATTTTTTTTTCTGACTAGCAGTAGCACATACTCACTGCAGGATTATAGATGTCACATGGGTTTCTTTCAAGAATGATCAAAGAACTGATCACACTTCATTTAACATTAGTAACGACTAAAGTTTGTGGATTTTGTTGTTGTGATTAACTTCTTGGTCAACATATAACTTACTATATTACAAAGTACATCTCTGATGAAATAGCCATGTTACATTATCAAATTTCCAGTCAGAACTGAATAATAGGACCTCTCCCTATCCAACTGTATTGGGGTCTCCAGCTTACATCATATCAAGCTACAAGAGGAACATGTCTGGTGACTCACCTGTAACCAAAAAGCCTTGTGGAGAGAAACTGATAGGCACACATAATGGAACCTTCCACTGTGATGAAGTTTTGGCCTGCTTTCTGGTCAAGCAACTGCCAGAGTACCAAGATGCTAAGATTGTCCGGTAAAGAAACAGAAATTATTTATGTATACTGGATGGCATATTCAGCATATGCTATCCAGTATTATTAAACTGTGTCGACTTTATTTCATGTCTCGAAAGATACTTTTACATCACGAAAATTGTTTGGAACTGATTCATTTAAAACAGCTACACAAATATATCATAGCTTTGATGAGTATTAATAACACAATGACTGATGAATTTATGCATTTTAAGGTATTGTACTTATTAGACTGTTATGTATACTTCCCTCTTTTATAAAATTTTCAGCATATTTTGTCTTTGAGGTAATTTCTCTGTTTAGGTGAACACTGTTAAAGCATCTTTCATGACATGCATCAGGAGAGAGTATTTGTAACTTGCCAAATCATAATTTCAGAACAAGGGACCCTGCAATATTAAGTACATGTGATGTTGTGGTTGATGTAGGAGGGGTGTTTGATGCAGCATCTCATAGATATGACCATCACCAAAGGTATGAAATAATTTCTTGAACACTGATCAGAAAGAGTCAGAATAAAATTTTTCAAATAGGATGGAAAGTTCTCTGAAATCTAATTTACATAGAGCAAGAGATCCATAACCAACTCACTTGTTTTCGTGGGCAAGTATGACTTTATACTACAAAATTGTGTTTCTGCCTGACCACTGGAATCACCTGTGCTGGGCAAATGATACCAATAGGTATGTCAAGCTCTGCTTATATATACCTAAGGTTTGTATGAACTGGTATGTATGTTGAAAGAGAAAACACTGCATAGAATAAAGTTTTATTTCAATTGTTAACTTGAAGTCACTTGCTAAGATTGATATGGAGTTGACATTCTCTCTATTTTTCTTTGTTATTTCAGAACATTCAAAGAGACCATGAGCTCACTGTGTCCAGATAAACAATGGCAGACCAAACTTAGTAGTGCGGGATTGGTTTACTTCCATTTTGGAAAGTCTATTATTGCACAGCTGCTTAAGAAAAGCCAAGAAGACCCAATCACAAGCAGCATTTTTGACAAAGTTTATGAAAATTTTGTGGAAGAAATTGATGCTATAGACAATGGAATCTCACAGACTGATGGCGTGCCAAGGTACAATTGTGTTGCATAAGAGTAGCTCCACATATTCAGGGCACATTGAAATTAAGAGTTCATGATGTTTTACATATCAGAAAAGATTGTGTGTGTGTGTGTGTGTGTGTGTGTGTGTGTGTGTGTATGCGCGTGGGTGTCAGTTTAAAGGTCATTATTTGTATGGCTTTCTTTTTTTTCTCTTTATTGGATGAAAATAGTTGAAAAAATAATGAAAGTTAAAAAAATGTTAAAATGCTGAGTTATAATGGGCAGGGACCCTTGACTATAATCAACGGTCACTGCCACCAATAAGAGATTTCAGCAATTATATCTCATGCAACTTAGAATGTCTTCATTTGAGGTTACGCCTGCTTTTTAGTATGGAGCACATTATAATTCATGAAATTTGCCTTTTTCAGGTATCACATAAGCACTACACTCAGCAGTAGAGTGAGCTATTTAAACCCAGCATGGAATCAGGGCAATGTGGATACCGATGTAAGTGTTAGGAGAAAGGTGTATCATTTTTGTCTCATGACATATTTTATATCAGTGTTAAGACAAACCGTATCATTCAACCTTAGTTTTTTTAAAACTTTGTTATAAATATAATTAATCTTTTAATAGATGAGCAATGTTTTGAAAATTTGTTGTGTTTAGATAAAAAACAGATTTGGACAAGGTGCAGTCTTTAACTTAAGCACCAGTTTCCTCTCTAACTGCAAAACTGGAGTTGTTTATGCATAATTTTGCTCTTTATATTTAAGACTAGGTTTCATAAAGCTATGGAAATGGTTGGAGCAGAGTTCTTGGACAGGGTCTCCTATTACACTGATTCATGGCTGCCAGCAAGAACCCTTGTGGAAAAAGCACTGGCAGGTCGCTTCAAGGTGAGGCAGACATTATTTTGTGCCATAACATTCAATTTTCTTTATACTAAAGATTCAAGGAAAACTTATTTAACTAATGAATTGTTTTAAAATTAAAATTGAACTTCTGTGCCATAGCTCTAATGTATCATCTAGTTGCATGGTTTCATGTATAATAATTACACAATTTAGATGTGAAAGAGAAAAAGAAGATACAAAACTCTTCTTTTCCAGTTTAGTTATCATTGTGACAAAAAGGTTTTAGTATATTATTTTGAAAAAGGTAACCCATCCAAAATCCTATAAAGATCATAAAAGTATTGGTGCTATCCCCATGTTCAAGGTTGATGACAGTGGGGAGATATTGGTGCTGGAAGAGGGTGGCTGCCCATGGAAGGACCACTTATTTACACTGGAACAAGAGCAGAATATACAGCCTCTGATTAAATTTGTGCTCTACCAGGACCAGAACAACCACTGGAGGGTGCAATGTGTGTCTGTCAGGCTGGGATCATTTGAAAATAGGTAAATAGAGTATACATATTAAATGCAAATTTGCATGTATATTTAATGTTGAAATTAACAGTAGTCCAATATAAGTCAAACAAGTTTTTTATGGTCATGGTTATGCATTTTCCAAAAGATAAATAAAATTGTGGATATCGAAGTATTCTAAAACATGAAATCTACTCGTTTTTATGCATTGGCTGTATTCAAGGGATATTTGCATAAGGGCAATATTGAAATTGGGCCTTAATTATAAATGCATTAATCACTGATTGTATGACAGTAACTGCCAAAATTGTGAAAATAAATTTCAGCTCCCTGCCGTTTGATTTTCAGATTGTCCTTATTGGAGGCTTGGAGAGGTGTGCGAGATGATGAACTGTCAAAACTGAGTGGCATTCCAGACTGCATATTTGTCCATGCAGGTGGCTTTATAGGAGGAAATAAAACATACGAGGGCGCATTGAAGATGGCACAGAGGACTCTCAAAGAAGCAACTGCTTAATCCTCAAACATTTTTGACAATTTAGAAATATGAGGCCATGCCATGCTATAAACCTGGGAACACACAGCAGTAGGAGTTTGATATTGATCTCAACACCTCACCAGAAGACTGAACTGAATCTGACATCCGTGTTGGTAGGAATTAGCCAAAACTTTGTAGATTTTTACCAAACACAAAGGTGGATACCTCCAATCTTTCTGTGGTTAGTAGCTACTTTTCAGCCAACTACATACTATGAATATAGTTATTTTTCAATTTATCTTTCTGTTTTCAGACCTAAAAGCTGTCCAAGCTCAGGGAAATGCAGAATTTGGAATGCCAATTACGTTACCTCATCATATTGTTTAATTCCTATAAAGTATAAAGTAAAAAATGTAAAGCAAAGACTTCTTTATTGCAATTAACTGGCTCATAACTTGTAACAACAACTTAACAATGTTATACGTACAGGATATATATATGGAATTCCATTTTGAATATATTAATATGTCGTTTGGGTTTAATACTTGAACAATGGAAATTGCTTTTTTTATATCACAGTTTTTCAAAACTCAACCCTGAAAAAAAGACAAACAAACACATTTTCTATGGTATATCAAAAAAAATTCTAAAAAAGCATATACGCTGAAATACAATTGGTTCATTGGTTTGGTTACTATCACATGAATTGCATAAGAGAAAAAATTCTTGCTGTCCATGGGGATTGTAAAATATCGTCATGGCTAGCAACATAAGCTGTATTCAAAATTTGGATAATTTATATCTGATATGTAAGCATTTATCCCCAGAATTAGATGGAATATACACAATCACTCTATCTGTCAATTCCTGACAATTCCAGCTCACACACCAACACTGCATCCGGTGGAACCCTGGGAATTGTAGATAAGGAAAACATACAATGTTTCTTTTCTTTGTTTAGTTGGATTGCATGTTTTGAAATCTAAGTTCAACTATCCTATAATCTCACGATTGATCACATCAGTTTAATTTACAAATAAATTAAGAACATAAGCATGAGAAATTAAAAACGACAATAATTAATAATGGTAAGGCACACATAATTTTTCTTGGAGAAGGAAAGAATATGCTAGGTATGTGGGAGACACCATAAGTACTCTGACACAATGTTTAATGAAACAGAAGCTTTTTCACAAAAATTAATGTGTATAAAAATACACTTTAAAAGGATACTTTCCTTCAAATGCTCCCTTCTTTCCATATCCCCAGTCAGGGTTTATCAGGAGTTCTGCCTTCTCACCAATGCTCATATCTAATACTGCCTCCTCCCACTGAAAATCAGGAGTTATGTGTCTAAAAATTTTTGGGAAGAGATCAGGAAAAATCCATTATCTTATGTTTGGGATGGTTTTTTATTTGTAAGATCTTAAAATGAAATGTGATGCATGAAAATATATCTGAAACAAATACATAACAAATATACTTACAGCCCTAATCACTTTATTCTCTCCAATCTTAAACTTAAATGGGTGGCACTTCTTTCCTTTTTTGGCTGCAAGTGATCACAAAAAGAAAGCACCGTGATACATATAAAGCTGTATTGTACAACTTTTCATTTTGGTAAGTGTGTGTCAAACCAGACCCTGAATAATAACAGGAATCTGTGTCCTACTTCATATCTAGTCACAGTTAAAGTTGCTTATTTAAAAAAAATCAAATTTTAACTTCTATCTGAAACAGAGCAATGAGGCAACAGAAGGGGTTGCCAAAATGAAAGGCATACAGACACAATCTTACTTTTTCTGAGTCTTGAGTCAAAAATTGTTCCATCTTGAAGCTTGCTGACATAGTGGCATACCACCACATCCCCTACCATTGGGAAATCGTGTCCATTGCCTTTCTCTAGGACAGTTTTTCTGTACATCTCTCCATCTCGTAGTTCATAGTTATTTATTTTCTGAAAACACAAGAAAAAGAATCAACATGTGATATTACAAAACAATCCTCACAATGCACTTGCCAATTTGGCTCGATTTTTAAATCAAAATAGTCAACCTCAGAAAATACAGAGCTAATGAATGACTAAACAATAAACATCAAGATGAAGGTTATGATGTTAAATTCAATTTCTAAATTGAAAGAATATGAAGAAATGTGTATGCATGCACACAGATACCCCGTTCACACTACGCTCAGTTATCCGGATAAATTGCGAATTAGGTCACAATTCGAATAAATGCAGTAGTGTGAACGCAAGAGGATTTTTGTAATGCACATTTTCAAAATCCTGCAATTAAGCGTGGTGGATTTCTAAGCGCGATCAGGATAACTTACCAGAATCGACACCTGTACAGATCTTACTGCGCATGTGTGCAGATAAGTGCGGGTATCTATGAACGCTTGTTTATTACTTTAGCGATTGCACCAAACGTATTTGGAGGTCACCACTTTCTACAACATGAGGAAACAAACTTATTTTGCCGTCTTATACTTCTCAAGAATGCTGGAATGTCTTTAGAGTTGCATTTGTCGTCACAAATTTTTGTTGGTATTTTAAGATTTCCTGTGCGGCGCATGCGCGAGTGTTCAAAACAGGAAGTTAAACCTGAAATTTTCAACGTGTAATTCGGTTTGGCTTAGCGTGTGTGAACGCAATACCGAATCGCATTCCTCACGAGAAATTCGGATTATAGAAATGCGCATTTTTGCAACTGTAGTGTGAATGGGGTAAGAGATTACAAAACATTTGTACATTAATCAGTATATAAGGCACATTTCATGCTGGTCTTCCAAAAAAACTGACATCATAGCCTAGTCTCACCTGCAAGACAAGATATCCACCATTGATTTCATTGGCATTAGCATCAGTTCCAGTCTTCCTTGTTTTGTTTACTGTTGTTGCACTATTAATACTGTAATTGTTTTCTTTGGTGGATGCTGATGATGAGGGCCTTTGAACAGATGCTTGTTTTACAGGCTCTTCATATTTTGTATTTTTGAAGGCCTGCAATGCAGCAATAAATTTTCAAAAGTAAAGGAAGAATTCAAAATATTTTTACACCACATACATTAAGAAATATTTATCTCAGTTGAATCTTAAATTTGTAGTTAATGAACATAGTAATTACTTTTCTAGATATACTGAGAAATATTACAGGAGTGAACATGTCAAAAGTGAAAATTGATGTCTGTGCACATGTGTAATACCTTTCTTTGAAACATGGTGTTGTAATGTTCAATAAATTGCTCCTTGGTGTGAACCTTGCAGACATTCTTTAAGTTTCCCAAGAGCTTTCTGGCTGCCAAAAACTAAAAAAAGAAGCATAAAAAACATAGCATGTGCTAGTCTGCATTATAAAGAGGTACATTACATGCATTGGTAATATGAAGTCAACTGTATGTTGAAGGTCAATTGTTTGATCTTAAAAATAATACGATGGAAAAAGCATGGGATGCTGGCAACACATCCAGTTTCCTGCACCCTGACCCAGGGGTTTCTCTAGAAAGTCTTAAATATCAATAACGGTGGTGCAATATCAGATTGTGGCCAGCAGTCTAGTTTGATACATTGTATATGATTTACTCCATGCTGGGATAAAATTTTCATTTTTTACAAGCAAAATTAATGTCATTATTTCACTCCTTCTACAGTGTACGCAGTGAACTACTGCATTTGGCCAACACATAAAGAGTGTGTTGATTGATTGCATCGCACTACCTGTGTCACATTCTGTAACCAAACTAGAACATGAAAGGAATACTCATTTACGCTGTCGATCATTTACGCATACACTCAGTTATGTGATATTCTTCAAGTGAAACACAGAAAGTAATTACCATTACCGGTACCATTTACCGGTAAGGGTAAACTGTGGTCCGATAATAATCACATTCTTGCCCTCTTACAAGAACTTAGGTTTCTATAAAATATCGTTCTCTGACATATAATTCATTACAACTGCATACATTACTTATACATGTACAGCAAATGGCATATGATATTGCTAGAGAACGATGTCGATCATCCAGAAGGATTGACCAATTAAGGCTACATGTGAGATCACAGCGCTAAAAATGACAACACATTTACACCATACAACCAATGATAAATGTACCTTTTCTGCTGCCGAGTTCTGAAGAAAGCTTGCCAAATCTTTCTTCGTGACAGCATCGCTAAGCAACTGCTCGGCCGTGTACGGTGGGCATGGCTCGGACATCGTGCTGCAGTGCCAGCAAGCTCTCGGGTTCTACCGGTGGAAGTGAAGTTACATGTACATATCAGTGCGCGCATAAACTAATACCAGAATACTCACGTGGGTAGGGAAAAGAAGGTCTAAAACATCCGACCTGAAGAGAAGTGCACTTCCGGCGTAAACAAAACCACGTGGAGATCGACATGTAACAAGATGCGTGCATATAAGCATTTCTACGCTTTTTAGCTGAGGTACTTCTGCATTTGAGAACAGTAAACGTAAGCACTACATGCAGTTAAATGAACAGTACATTTATATTAAAATGAATTAATATTTATTTATTTATATTTTGTTTTGTTTCATTTTTTTTTTCACGTATAGGCCTATATTACGGGGCGAAGATTAAACTATTTGGATTATTGTCATTAGCAATTATATAATCTATGTTAGTACATATTATTTATTTTTTATGAAATCGTTGTCAATTTTCACAAATAAGCAGATAAACGGTATGAATTAGGTGAAAATGATTGTATTAACAAACACACGTTCTAGAAAGAGAAAATGTGGAATATGGCCGAAGTGAGGACATTTTTGAAAAAGGACGGTGAAATAAAAATAGACTGGAAATTGACGGATATTCGTGAAACGCTTACTTATCATGCCTAACTTTAGGCGGCTTGGCTCGTACCTTAAACCTTTGGCTACGAGCCTGATTCACATTATATCAAGAAGTCGCACTATTCTTTGTATAACTCTTTTTATTTTGTTGTGACGACTGTTACATTTCACGTATAATATTATATAAAAATGATCAATAAGTCTAAAATGTTTAATGATATAATGAGTGTTTATCTGGAATATGGAGAACAAGAATATAATATCTTAAATGCCATCTGAAAATAAAACTACAATGTAAAATCATGATCTTTCATCATATTACATCAAACCAAATATAGATTAACTCTGAAATTGTGCAAAAAATAACCACTCTTAGCGTCTCGTCAACTAAAGCTTTGATCCCAAATCCACGTAAGTTCGTAAGTTATTTTAGAGATTGTTCATTATTTGTACCTCAGGATGACAATGAAATGAAATGAAACAGTCGAACTATCACTTCCTAGTTTGCTTTAATATCGGGTAACATTATTCTTGAGTTTAACTTGTCCTTAAAATTAAGGGGTTGACCTAATCCTGAAGTAAAGAATGGTAGACCAAATTTACCATCTTGCTGATATTTTTCTATTAAACAAATGCATTAATAATGCAAGGCCCCTTCTTTCTACATTTTTTGCGTCACAATCCATGCGAAGGTTATTTCACGTATTGCCTAAAAATGCGTGTTTTCATGAGTATACGCCGCGTTGTCATATTCCTGGCCGGGTTGTTTGGCAATGAAGACTGCACGGTTTGTCAGCTGACCATTGTTCATTTCGCCATGGTACTGGTATCTTTCTGGCGACTTCACATAGCCCTTGGGGACTACAACAGGTTCAAGATCTGAAAGAGCATACCCAAGACACCGCTATAATAAACTGTCTTTATTATAATTTGTAACCAATTAAAGAAAGCAATCCCCATTTTTTAAATTTACCGAAATGGAGGAAATATATTTTGAAAAAGCTAGGAGTTTTGATCTTTTCCCAAAGCATTAACAAGCATTAACGCGTATAGATTAAACTATTTAGTTTAAATGGATGATATTTCAAATCCAAACAATATGAAACTGAATTCAATGTATGTGTGCTATTTGTGACAAAAAGAAATTGCAGTGGAGAATTGGGATGTGGTTACTCCCTGACCACAGAAGTCGCTAGTAGTCTACAAAATTATCGTATACTGTGGTGTATTTACTACATTATGATGAAGAATGGTTACTAGGCTAATCAAAGACAGATATATAAACTAATCAAATTCCCTAAGTAGATTCCATTGTATATCGGTTAGTTTAAGTTTAAGAAACAATTTTTAAAGTCTGATTTGTGTATTGAGTATTTTACTACATGCCGTGTGCAGTTTAGGGGTTCAAATTATCAAAATAAAAGAAAGTATAGGTAATTTAACATGAAGTTGAAATGAATGATTATATTACAACGAATGCACAAATTAGGCCTATGAAGAGTTACAAAACACAATAATGTTATGACTCTACCGATCATTCATTGACATACAATATGTTTTAATATATGAGAAAGTTAATTAAGTAAAATTAGTACGTTAGAAAAGTGGGGTGCAATTAACCTGACATATTTATCGCCTTACTGTCACTGTTCATTGCCACGTGCCCGTGCATGGTCAAGTGCCCTGAGTTCCAACCATCGCCCCACGCCTCGGATGGATAGGCGGGTTCACCATGCTTGGGAATATCTAGTCCTAGAGACAGAAAATAATTTAAAAAAACATATACATTAACAAATTACAACATTTTATTTTAGAACTTAATACTTTGAGGGAGACAAAAAAAAGTAGATTAAAGCAAAATGATTTCTAAATAAACCTATTTCTTAATCACCATACAAATTCATTTTTAAAATTCAATCTTTGAAATGAAACTGTTATTCTGCTTAGTTGTGTCAGATTTTCGCAGTTACGGAACCAGTAAGACAAGGCATCATAGCTTCTGGTTCGCCCTAATGGTCACTTTATACCAGCACTACTCAAGAGGAAAACTTTACCGCTCTAGGATCATTAAAAACAAAATACCTTTGATTTCAATGTCCTCATTTACCCGCAACACTTTACACAGCTTCAGTATCCCGAAGAGGACAAGGCAGATCACTGCCGTCCATCCGACAATGGCTACTGCCCCGACCATATTGACTCCTAACGACTGAAAAAAGTGAGTCAGTGAGTCACTTAGCAACAAAACGAAGATAAAGCCGTCATGACACTGATTTATATGCCTTTATCAAAATATGAAGATATAGTTCGAAGTCATGATAGGTATGGTGATTAGAGTGATGTATAAAATATGAAAACGGATACCTTTGCTCTGTATGTTACAAAAAAGAAAAGCAATTTACCTTCCAGGCTGTCACATTGGAAGGATCGAAGATGATGCCATCATTCATTTTAAAAATTGGCACGGCTATCAGACCCCAGAGACCCCCTCCGCCATGCACTTGAAAGATATTCAGTGTGAAAAAAATGATTTTTATAGAAGATGGTCGAATCAAAACCAAAATCGAGATAGATGCACTTAAAATTATTTAAATTTTATTTTGCTTTTAAAACGTGCAGCAGTATAGCAGCATCCCTTCGGCACGAGATAGTATAATTACACATGACACGAACTTATCCTAAGGAAAGAAGACCACCTTTAACAAAGCATTTTCATAAATTTTCACTTATTACATATAGATATCATAGACAGTGGAATGATAAGTACCTGCCACTGCGTCCAGGGGATCGTCTATTTTCATGGCCTGGACAGCCCAGCTCCAGAATAAGTAAGTGATCCCTGCAATAACGCCAACAATGCACGCTCCCCACGGCATTAACACGTCACAGCCTGCACAGGCGGCAACCTATTTGTACGAAAGTGGTGACAATTTACTGACATAACAGTAGTATAATACAAATATCTATACATAGTTGTGCTTTTGGTGACGTAAGTCCTAGGTGGACAAACAAAGTATCAAAGCAACAATTAAAGACAATATTGAAAGAATATATATTCAGAGAATAATTTAACTAAATTAAACATTATTAGGAAAACGAGGATCTGATTAAAACAGGGAATGTATTATTAATTTATCAAATCATTCATTTATTGATTTTTTAAAACTACTTGAAAGTCGGACAGGTGGATGTAAAGGTGCAAAACTGGGCAATTCATAGGTATAGCGCAAAACTAATAACGATAATGATAAAGACTAAAACCCCCTTTACACTTGACGGCGTCCTTTTTGCAACCATGAAACTGGCGTAGCTGTGGGCGTAGAAAGGAGGCACAAGCATAGCTTTGGTTGCAAAATGAATGCACAATGATCGGCCAGTTGTCAGCACGTGAAGTATTTTTTTTACTCTCAAACGGGGCCGTACTACGGGACGCAGAAAAGGACGCCGTCCAGTGTAAAGGGGGTTTAAGCAACTCACCATGCCTGTGAGGGCGCCGTTGATTGTAACCAGGAGACTCCAGTTCGATGGATGTCCACATGAGCACTGAATATGTAAAATAATAAGATATAGGTTCTTAACGAGAAGGCGAACGAAAAACTTTTATTTGGATAACAACTAAAAAGCTCTAAAAATATTGAAGGTAACGATTTCGAGTTACACTAAAATACTGGATAAAACATTTGAAATCTATATCAAGGAAGAAAAAGACAATGTTGAATATTTAAGGTTTTCATTCATAAATTACCTGAATGAAATACAATAAGAACGAATGAAATACTTTACATTGATACATGCGAGTCCGCATTTCTTCAGAATCATGGATGTAAAGGCTGCAAAGCTCCCACAAATAACGGTGTTCATCATAGCTCGTGCTACAGCAGCCCCGTCCCCGGGCTGCGAGATACTGGCTTGGGAACCACCATTGAAGGCGAAGAAACCAAACATCAGTATGAATCCGCCCAGGGCGGCAAGCTGAAATTATATAAATGAACATGCTCTAATTTTTCTGTTCAGTTGATTGAAATGCAATTTCCATAACAGACATAGATAGATAGATAGATAGATAGATAGACAGATAAAAAGACACATAAATGAAGTTTTTAAAATCTAGTATAGGACTTACAATATAACTAGGTGATAGCGTTGCGTCTCCCTTTTAGAGACCTCAGGGGGTCCACTGAGAATGCAGGTAAAGTAACAAGACAAAATAGCCCCACCTGTCTCCGACGGGGAGGTGATTGTCACTTCGACTAATAGTAAATCCAGCACTAGCTAGCTATAGATTTAAAAAGTAATTTATGTCAAATACCCAACAATTTAAGATTCAGCGCACTTCGGGTAATTACCCTCTTCCTATCTTCACCTTTACCGTTACCCTAGCCCTAACCTTGCCTTACCGGAACACTGTGCCCGGGGATATCGTTGGGTTTCCCATCAATCGAGTCAAATCTTCCTATCCTCGGTCCCAATAAAATAGCACCGACCAGCGCTGCTGTGCCTCCTAGCAGATGGACCACCCCACTGCCTGCAAAATCCTGTAATACGATATCATACAACAACTAAAATATTTTACATGGTTAAGACACAAAGACTTAGCTATTGATGACACACGTATAGATAATTGTACTGCACTGCATATATTTCCACACCTTGAAAAGTGAACTAGGAGCTCATTTACCTTGTAAGCGATACCATCTATGCCAACAGCCAGCCAACCACTTGAAGACCACGCCCAGTGTGTGACGATTGGATACACGACTCCTGAGAGGTGATTTTAAGTTTTATCGTTAAGTGATCGTCTGTTTTCAATGGTATATACGTATATTAATTCCTCATTAAAAAGATAATTTATATAAGTGTTATTAATAATGTAAATATAATCACAGATATTATGGTTTTTACTTTATATTTTAATGTATCATTCTGAATTTCATTAATCTTGTAGCAAGATCGAAATCCCTTCTTACCAGTTATAACAAAACTATACGCAAAATACGCAATGAATTCACACCGCTCCGCCATAGCGCCGGACACAATGGTGGCAGCGGTGGCAGCAAACACAAAATGGAAAAACCAAAAATGAAAGTGCATGTCGCCGGGCATGTTCTCACTGAACCAATAGCGGGTCCCCAGGAAGAAATTATCTGGCTCTCCAAATGCAAGTGCGTACCCTACGCCCCAGTAAGCAATGCCAGAGATAACTGAAAATTAATAAAACGGATCGAAATAAGATTTCTCTAGCATGACGCTAGGTCTTATTTGTTACTGGTCTTTATAACACATAATCTACTGTTAAAAGTACTGATTTGAAGTGTGAATTTGGTTTTCAATCTCCGTGGGATTAAAAAAATAATATTGATACTTTTTTCTTTTGTTTTCATCATGATTTTTCTTTGACCCTATTATGGTTTATCAACTAATTTTATTTCAACACAGATATCCACCCTGCTACCCTACTTACAACAATCTAGCATGTTCTTGATGAGAATATTGGTGGTGTTCTTGCTTCTAACGGAACCACATTCTAGGAAGGCGAAACCAGCTTGCATGACTAAAAAATACGTGATAACATAACAAGTTGGAATTTCATTCTCAGAAGCTGCGTTAACACAACCAAAGCCAATTTAAGCCGTTTTTTTTCTATTTTGGTAAAGTTTTAGGCTGTTAGAGTTAGCAGATGAATCAAGACAGTGATCTTAGATGTAAAATGTTGTGCGAGATACTGCATGTCAGATAACATTTCCAATAATATGGATACTATTCAGCTGCTGACGACACTTAATAAGATAACATCTTCAGTTCGTTCTCATGTTGCTAATGATTTTAATATCACGTTGCACTAGTACACTTACAAAATATGACGATTGCCATGATCAGAACAAAGAAGACATCCGCATTATCTTTCAGTGACTTGAGTGACGTTTCAGCAGTTTCCACTCTTTTCAAAAGCAAAGTAACGTTTCCATCTGCCATACTTTCTGTGTAGATCTGGTTTTTACTTAGTAGTTGGGTCCGGCCAGTTCTTTGCTCTACTCGATTACTGCTGTAGGGGAGGCAACCTAAACAATATACCAAAATAAAGTAATAGATAAAAGAAAAGGGAAGTATGTCACCATTAAAGAAATATTGCTTTTGAGAAATGAAAGGGAAACATGATAATTTGACATTTACTACTGAAAAATGAATTCCGTTCTCCACGACAAAACAGTGCATTTTGCAAAGCAGTTTTTCCATCTGTGTTGAATGAATGTAAACATTTTAAAGAAAGAAAAAATATAATCGCAAAGGACACACACCATTTAAAAAAAGTGCAAACGTGTAGGGCTATGCGTGTATATTTCACATTTGCAGCTGTAGAATGACTTGTGTGTCCCCGACGACATTTTCCCAGATATTCTGCAGTGGCTGCCTGGGACCTTTTTTCGTAACGTGAATAATCTATGTTAACAAATAATAACTGGAACACAGCCTTCGTGACAAAGATCTATTATGTGACTGTTAGACTTTATAAAAGTAAAATGCAACAAACATTTCCTTGGCCCTAAAGCGAGACTACATAATGATGATATGAGAAAGAGGGCGGGGTAAAAATTCCACTAGTGATGACTTCTAGGTTCACATAAGTACGCTAATAGCAATGTTCAGAAGCCTTTAACATTATCTTATATACAAAGTATGGCGAAAGTAAGAAAGAAAGAACGTAGAATTTGACAGCTGCAAAGTTCGGACAAGGCAGAGCAACTTTTTATAAGGGTAGTTATGGAATTTGACCGAATTGGATCCTTATTTAACTCCTAAACTGTTTCAGATGCCTTTACTTTAAAACTCAACATCAAAATGGAAACCTACAAAGACAAAAGGGGATAAAGGGAATGGGAGCGAGGGCGGGGATTGAAATATATTTGTGAGGAAACCCGGGGTGAAATGAGAGAGGGTGGCGGGGTTAAATTAAATTTTCCAGCTTTTTATATTAACCTGACAGCCATAAAATGCCCTCAAGTAAATCGGAATAAACCAATCTGAATGTCGCACCGGTTGTTTATAGAGGCGCCCGAGTGTATTTCCTCAATAATATTTCATCAACCGAATGTACTTAAAGAGGTCAATATAAGCTATTAGTTGCAAATTTACATTGAAAGGCATTGAGGGGAATCTTTCATGCCAAAATAATACGATGTCTGAGTTGGATAAATATCATTTGGCCATATATGCCATATTCAAAATATTGAAACATATGCTAACAAGTTGTAAAAATAACATCCAAAATCTAGATTATGCATAGATGCTTACAATGTATAATGGCATACTGGTAGAATTACTTGCAAAATGCTCGTGGAGGCATATTTAAATGAAGTAATTAAGCGAAGGTGACATTGGACACCATAAAATTATTTTAATAGAATTTTTCGTGCTAATAATTCATACCCTTTGCATCTAGTATTTGTAATACTAGTTGACCTTCTACAAAAATAGTCATTTTAACGAAGCCACTTACTTGCATCCGGATATGGAACAGATTAAACCAAACTCTCGTATATCCTTCTTGCCGATGAGGTGACAGTCACGAAATAAAATCATAACAAAGGGTACGCGGTAGGCCTACGGTACGTAAAATTTCTGTATTTAAAAGTGCATGTTGATTCCCCTTACATATCACGCATGTTGCATTCACTCCCCACGCGCCTTTTATTGGTCAAAATTTTCTTCCGGGTGACTGCGTTTGCGGTTTAGTTTAGTTAAATTACCTGCAGTATACCTTATTTGTCAAGAAAACAGGATACATCAGATTGCCACGTGATTTTGAGCTGAGTTTAATGATCATTGACAGTAACCGTGTCTCTTTTTTTTCGGTGTCTCATATGCGTTGTGTCTGGGTTTGCACCTGGGTCGCTTTCACGAGGTGAAGTTATAGTGTCGTTGTCTAACTTTACCCTCATCTGAAATGATGATATAGCAAAAAAAGTCTGTAAATAACAAGTAATCATTAGCTTTGGAAGGTATCCCGCACGAAAACGCAGTAGATGCTCCAGCGCAGTAGACTACTGCAATCATACTGCAAATATGCCTCAAATCTGCTTCACATTGGGAGCTAATTAGCATATTTGAAACATGCTTCTATCATGCTGCTAATCTACTGCATTAATGCTCCTCCTCTGTACAATCCTATGTAATTTTTGAAGTAGAATTGCAGTAGGGTATGCTGCATTTCTACTGCAAATATGCTCCACACCACTACTGCGTTAATGCTTCTTTGCTACTTCGATACTACTGCATTTTCGTGCGGGATTGCTAAGATTCACTAAATATCCCCGTAGAAGCTGAAACAGATTACTTAACAAACTGCAAAAAGTTCGGGGACGTACAGAGTGCGTGCTTCAAAGAATGCAAGGGAAGGAGTGGGAGAGCAACAAAGTGGAGGTTCATTTAGTCCGTTAATAGTAAACTACTAGCACCACTTATGCTTTTTCTCAAAATTATTTTCATGCAGACATATACAAGGAAGGCGCCCGCAGACCTCTTATATACTCCTCATCTGAAACACAACCTTTCTTATCCAAGGCCCCATTCCCATAGACACCACCGATCTACGTGAATCGACCCAACTATGTGGGAACTCTCGCTGACTGCAACCTGGTTAACTGAATGATACGCCTCTTCCCGACGTTAAGTAAAATGCAGAAAATCTGGTGACTATACTAGTACGTTGGAAACAAGAGGGTGGGTTTTATTCAGTTAAGCTGATTGCACTTAACGAGATTCCCCGCAGAGTTGGGTCGATACGCATAGACCAATGATGTCTATGGGAATGGGGTCTAAATTAAGAAATTTAACATACATCTTAGGTTTAGGAAGTGACCCGATGGCTACCTCTTCTAACGGCGCGTCCGATACGCTACACGGCGATGCCACATCAATTAGGGAGTTCGGAGTGCTATTTTTAATACACGCATTTTTAATGTGCATGAACGAAACATCCAACATGTACTAGTTACAACACGAGTTGTCCACTGTATGCGGCATACAAGAGCGTAATTATATATCGAGGCGCAGCCGAGATAATAATTTGCTCTTGTATGTCGCATACATTGGACGACGAGTAGTTGTAACAGACTTACACCACGGATGGCGCTTCGAACAATAGGATGAACGCACCGAAGCGTACGTACGACAATACAGGCAAGCCTGTGTGTATGCGGAATACAAATGCAATTATCCTATTGTTCGAAGCGTCAGCCGTGATATAATCATTTTTTGTCACTTTTCACACAAATGTCATGTCCCGATAAGGTCGGGTTACTTGATGAGTCACAGGTTTTTCTGAGTACATTTCAGGGTAGCTAACACAAATGTAAAACCTATTCTTATTGTTCGCAAATACCGGTAACCTCTCAACACGAATTTTTGTGAAGGTGCATGGTAAATAAAATCTACAATTAATACTGATGGCTTCTACTCAAATCGCATATTCCAAACGCGTGTTACCGAGTAAAATTTTATTTCTAAAAAAATTGAAATAGAATAGCCGCAACAGTCGTTGATTGCAGACATTCTGGCGAGTTTTTAAAGGACGTATTGAACTTCAAATCTTGTTTTCTAAAATATACTCTACAACTTAATCATTTATTGTCACCTGAGACTATAACTGGGGCATTTTGTTACATTTTGCAATGTTGGGACCATTATCACGTGCATAAAGATCAATATACATGTAGTCCTAACACACACAACCCCGACATTGAAATATCTTTCAAAAAAACCGTTCAATGTAGAATAAGGAAAGACTACCTTAAATTCTGTCAACGTGCCATGTTCGTTAACCAACAAATCTGACACACAATTTGTAGAATAATTTCATTTTTAATCATATATTATTTGAATAACGAAATAATTGTTCCATACGCTTTATGGCTTAAGATATGACCATGATGCCACTCGTGATATGGCTGCGATTTATTTTACAAATACAATTTAGGTCGCACACTGATTCGAACGCTGATGTATGAACCTTGGAATTCACTAACAGATGAGTGTCTTTTGCAGTAAATGCTACGTCAAGAGAAAGTGTGATCTTTTTTATCGGTAATTGAAAGAAATATCTCAGTACTATGATCATGAGTGACAACTGGTGTCTCTCCCCGTCTCGGTTCGGGCTTGGGTTGTGAGCACAGATGTAGATAGCCTCTTTAACACCCCTCTCACACCATGATGGATCTTTGTTCAAGATTGTTACTCCCTTCCATGGGATTTGGTGAACCGAAACGGGGGGAGACACAAATTGTCACACACTTGGGACAGCACTATTACTGAGACACTTGTGAATAGTGCTAAGTCTCACACACTGAAGAAGGTCACGGAAGAAGATCAAAAGCTTTGTGAGGTACAGCACAAGTTAGTGTAAAAACTGAAAAGTAGAAGCTTATTACATAAACAAAAGACTACGCTAATAAATTCCAATCAAAATATCTTGGTCAAGTATCTTCACATACGACTGACCATAGTTTCTGCATAAATACGTTCTTTAAAAAGCGTGGAAGTCGGAATTCTGAGTAAAAATAAACAATATTGCGATCAATTCCTATACAATTCTTAAAGACTATGAAGTAGAAATTCTTACAGAACACCCCAAAATTTGAGATCAAGCATTAAAGCTCATTCTAGGTCATTCTGTCATTTGATAAATGTAAATTTAATTCGGACCAAAGAAAAATCGAAAAAGTGAAGATGAAAGTAAGCAGTAAGGGAAACGCATCAAAAATGCCACCAAATTCAAATAATATGCAACCAAGACGTTATGAAACATCCCCCATCAGTCACCCTCACGCTGACAAAATAACGTGTATCTTAATTCTGTTCTCGGACAGCAAATGGGACGCGAAAGGTATATCGAGATAGAGTTCGGGAATGGGTCAGAGGCCGTCACATCTATTGCAATACATCCATATACCATAAGCCGCACACAGTGACTGAAAAATCACATTCGAGGGGATGATTTCATTTACATTAAGCACAATGTGATATCCCAGAGATACATAAAGCTCCTTTTCAAGTGAAGAAAATTAAAATCAGTTTATGCATGTTTATTTTTACCTTCAAATACTGTGGCATTATTTTTTTCTAATTGAACAATAATAATAGCTTCTGTGTAAGTCCAAAATAAAACTATTGTTATACATTAACAGGCACATCCAACGAGTGCAAACAGATATAAATGCTTTTGAAGCACCTTACAAATACAGCTGGACAGTATTACAAAATGATACATGCAAACAATAATGAATTACAGGAACTTGAATTTTCCAAACATATTATTCTAAAATAACCTAAAATGACGACCTCAATACGTTGTTGTTGCTGGAATAGATTCTTCAGCAACATATAAAAGCACTTGATTTTTAAAATGCTTCAAAGTACTGAGAATTTTCATTCAAAAAATATACATTTTGTCTTACAGTAAACTACCAAATGTGAGTCATGAAATGTGAAATATATAGTAACCATTTTATTCATTTTTCAAAGTTGGTCTTGAAAGATTGTTGCTAGATGTTTTGAAATACCTAAACAGGTAGGTTTGCACAAAGTCTAATAAAATATAGCTTGCTGTGATTTTCTCATCAATGCATAATAAAAAAAAAATAGAAAAAAAAGAAGTGCACCTAGATCTAGGAGATCAAATTACCCCACCATATATTGTGCCCCTCACCACTTAGAAGTACCTAAATTCTAATTATCACATCCAAATAATAACTAATCATAATATATTCCACACAGAAAAAAGTAACAAAAATTGCACTTAATTTAAAACTCAAACCAGTGACTGTTCCCACAAAATATGTATCAAGGAACAGTGTATGGTGTGCTAAGCATTGTCATTAAGGGATAAATCAAAAGGAATAAATAAAAATTCAGCCAATGTATGTTCATCAGGATGACATGAACTATACAATAATCTGCAAGCTATTTGGTACACTGGACCTAAGAGCTAAAAAAACTTATTATAGTTTAACTAAACAATGTGCTTATTTCACTCTACCTAATAATCCATTATTCACTGAAGCACCTTTATTTTGGACTAGAAAAATACTTTAGGTTTGCTGTCCAGTCTATAAATACTTATGATACAATTTGAAATGCAAATACTTTTCAAGCAGCTGTACCCATATATACGTATACATATACAATCTCAGCAAGACCTTGCATGGGGAGAGTATCTCAGTGCCTATAAGCCAAGGTTGTGACACCTGTTCAAGGCAGTGGCATTACATAATGATATATATAGAACTTGATAATGCTATACTTAATGACCTAATGTCCTGAAACAGCAGAACATAAATCCCATTAAAAAGTTCCACATATTTGGTTTGTGCTATTTATTAAGCTTCTCAAGCTACATAGTTCTACTCTGACACTCCTCCAAAAAGATTTTGTAAATCTACCATTTAATTTACCAGGAGAGTAAGGTTAAAGAGACTGCAGAAGCTGAATGCTATCCATTTTGTCCCAAAAATACTGTGGCCAATCGTGTCAGTAGCAGCAAAGGTGCCTTAATGTTACTACAGTTTTCTCTGTGATTGGCAACACAGTCAAAAATATGAAGAACAACATAATAATGCTTGACAAAACATGACATGGCATCCAAATGACATAAAGCTGCTCTGCATTGAAAAATAGAGTTCATCGAAGAGGCTTAAAAACAGCTAATGGGTACTGTCTCTTGGTAAACATATGGCATTGCTGGCACTATCCCATTTAAGCATAGATCCACAACATAGTGTGAATCCAGTCTCTGACAAGAAGCATTGGCACACAATGAAGCACCCACTGATGTTTATTAACAGTATGTCTGTGCCTGCCTTAATTTTACTATTTAGGTGTCACAGATATTTTTTTTACCCACATACGTATTGTTCTGGCACATTACTTGGATCTTTTTGCATTGTAATTTGCCTAACAATACAATAAACCAGGGCAAACTGTCCAGTAGCAATCTTGAACTCCAATGCCCATTCCTCTGACTGTCTCATTATACTGTGTCACCTAAGCCTAAGCTGTGTGGTTTCTGGTATTGGCACATTATGATGCAGCTCACATTGGAGCATAATCTATTTGCACATATAGTTGTCGAACACCAATCTGAAAAGATCATAAAAAAGATGCTCAACGAAAAATGTATGCATTTCACATTCTCAGTCATTTGTAACAGTAAATTTGATTAAAAAAAAAAAAAACATTTTTAGATTTCTATTTGTAGAAACAAAACAGAATCAAATCAAACTTATACATTTGATAAATTGCAATATGGTCACTCACCTGGGTGAAAATATTATGTGTCGAACTCAGGATATATTTTATATCAGCATTAAGAGCACACTCCACTTTGACTGTTCCTATATATACATCAGTACATAGTGTCCAGAAGTGGGGTTCTTGTAAACTGTATACTCCCTCCAGCTGACTCACCTAAATGGTAATATATAACACATTTAAACAGTCTGTGCCTTCACTTTTAAGTCTACCAGACCCACAGGGTCTAGGAATCTACTGTTGGAAAGCAAAAACAGTGACCAGTAACTGGACAAATTAAAGAAAAGTTCAATGACCCAAGAAGATACTGGCAGGAGCATATATGAGCTATGATAAACCAAGAGACACAAGGAAAAACTTGGTTTTTTAGGCATTATTTTGACTAGGCTAAAACTAAACCACAGAATTGGAAAGGTCTTTGTAAAGTAAAAATATCTAAATTCCCCCAAAACTCTCCTGACAGTACATGCACAGAACTTGTAATTAATCCATATAAAAGTTCATTGTTTTAAAACTCCTTCAAATATGAAAACTTTAGGCTTATCAATATATTAGCATATATTTGATCTTTTATGAATATATTGTTTTTTATTGCAGAAGTTAGTTTTTCACACTAGTATAAAAACCAGACTGTGCATTTATGGAGGCAGATTCATTCATTCACAACTTGTTCATATACTGGTTTCAATCCTTTGATCAGTTGCACAAAGGCATATGGTTTTTTTTCATCTAAACTGAAATATTTTAAATCACTATAGACCTATATATTTACTACATAAAAACAGACTTCAAACATATCGCAAACAAAATTCATATTTTGATCATTACTTTTTACACAGAACTTCTCACTCACATTTTAAATCTGAATGGTACATGGCAGTACAGTTCACTTACTGTATATAAAGATCTTTTAAGTATAACCCAACAGTGTTTAATGGGCACTTGGCATAATAATTGCTTTTGACATACACCTGGCATGATAAGCTGAAAAAAGGTATGAGAGCACCTAACTAGAGAATTGACAAAAGAAGACAACTTATTGCCCGTTTACTTACGTAACAAACTGAGCACACAGCACTGAACAAAACTTACTCTATGAAAGCATCCTGGTAGTTCATTTTCTATTTCTCTTGGAGTCCTCTGCATTAATATACCTACAGAGTCCCTAAGCAATGGCAAGACACTGCAAAGATAAAACTTATATTAGAACCTAGTAGAGAGAAATAAGGTTATGCATTTGCCATAGTGTCTCTCTTAAATAATTCTGTTCATCAGCTCTGTGAAAGACGAAGCATTTATCTAATTTTTGGACCTACAGTTGTTAACAGCAATCAATCCCAAATACTAGCACCCACCTGACTGAGATTAAAACAGCTATAAATATAGAGCATATAGGGTCAGCAATCATCCACCCAAAGTGTTCTATTAATAGGGAAGAAATGATGACCCCTATACTTCCCAGGGTGTCTGCCAGTATATGAAGAAATACACCTAAATATAAATATAATATTCAATTTATTAGAAAAGGCATGTTTAAATTTTTATGAAAGATAAATAAATAGCGTTACACATCTTCTATTTCATCTTAGAAACAAAAGTATAATCACGAAAGATTTTTTCATTTTTGCAAACCACATTAATATTCATATCCTACATCAATTGTATGGATAACTATTTCATACCTTGCATGATCTGTTTCTGTGAAGCATTGGGTTTAGCCACTGCATGGCTATCATGACAGTCTTGATCATTTCCTGAAAAAAGCAAAAATCTAATAAAGAAAAAATACTCCAAATGAACAAGTCTTATTAAAATCTCTTTACGCATATTTTGTTATTTTTGTGAAACAACCTACTAGTATATCAGAAAATGAACACATGCATATATCTTTTAATAAAATCAATAACAAATTGCAACAGTCTTAAAAGCATGGAATACTATAATGATATACAATAGATAGAGAGCTTGTGTTAGCTTATTGACAAAATTTATAGTTAAGCAAACCAATAGTTACCTAATCCGTGTGAATGTCCATGACCATGACTGTGCCCATGACCATGACCATGACTGTGACCATGACCATGACTTTCATTGTTGTGACTGTGGCCATGTCCTGTATCTGAGCTGCTAGAACCAAACAAGCCTACAAAAGTGACAAAAATGAAATACTTATTATGATTTGAAAGTAAAAAATACACAGGTTTGATCAATAACAAATAAAAAGAACACCTTTAACATCTATTTTCATTGATTTTAGTTAATTCAAAAACACTCATGCGGTTCTTGGATGTGATGTTGGCTATTCTAATAGAAGTCTAAAACACAAAAATTCCATCACAACTAAAATGGATAGGAAATTGCAGTCAGCTTACTGTGAGAATGCCCATGACTGTCTCCACCTCCATGAGAATGACCATGTCCACCATGTTGAAAAGCAAAGATGCCTATGATATTGACAATGAAACCTAGCACCGAGATGAGGAGAAGCCTGTCATGGTGAACGTGTGGCGGTTCAAATGCCCTCTGTAATCAGATATATGCAAACAAACTGAATCATAGGTTTTAGCCATTAGGTCAGTAGAGTATAACTTTATCATTATTATGTATAATTGCACTTGGCATTTACATGTAAAATTTCAAGTACAGCATCATCTGTATATTTCTTATTTGTCCTGAAAATATGCATTTTGTGTTTGATATCTCAATGTTACAAGCACATACCTCAACAGCTTCTGAGAATATAAAGAATGCTATAAATAGTAGAAACAGCCCATTTACAAATCCGGCCATCACTTCTGCTCTCACATAACTGAAATTAAAAAATAAAAACACCACAATAATATGATAAATTAATACTCATTAATACTGGGCCACAAGAAGGCAATTCCAAAGCAAAATTTAATTTATATTTAAAACTGTGGAAAGTGTGCATATTAACAGCAAATTACTGACCAGCAACTTACGCCTCTGCACATTCTAAAGAGTGGTTAAGTAACAGTTCTCAAGCAAAACCACTAACTTTGTTCATTGTTCCAGTGAACACACAAACTTTACACCCTTACCCGTATGAAAATTTATCATTGGCCCTCCACTTGGATATCACAGATGCAGCCAATCCTGCTAACAGTGCCGTACAGTCAAAGAACATGTGGAATGAATCTGATATTAAACCAAGGCTGAAAAAGTTCAAATAATAATGTGTTTAGCTTTGAAAAAAAAAAACAAAAAAACAAAAACATATTATATGGAAGAAAGACCTAATGTATTTCAAGGGTAAATCATGCTCACACAAAGGTATCTAAATTAAGCTTTGAAAAAATTTATAATGTAGAAGAACAAAGCCAAAAATGTGTTTCAAAGTTAAACTATGTCCACACAATTTGAGTTACTACTTAAATGTCAAAATACTTACTATTCCTCTTTAAAAAATGTTTAAAAAACTTTTAAACATACTAGAGACAACTAATGATCATCTAAACCAAAATAAAATATCATGACAAAGTAAATGAAAATGTCTTCTTAAACTATATAATTAGAATCATATGGGTTTTCAATAATATAATAGTCTGACAAGATAATAATACACATTATTTAGTCAAAGTAGAAGCCATCCAACAGTTGAACTTAAAGCTGTGCAAATATGGATGTTCCACTGTGTGTCTGGAAACTTTTGGTTGTGCATTTTGTTCATGGTTTTACTAGTTAAAGCAATAATAACTCTTCCTTTGAGATTCAAAATTCCGCATGAAATACATTGTAAACAACGCATGGAAATATATTCTATTGTATTTTACCACTAAAACGGCCGTTATTGTAGTAAAACTAAAATCTGTGCTTGTCATCAAGGCATTCGTTGCTAATGACGTAATGGTGTCACGCGGATTCTCGCATTCATTCGAGACCAAAATAACATATGGTGCCAAACACATTAATGCAGACGCAGACGTAAGTTGCAAGTTTTTGTACAGTGCATCAGATAATGAAAAGCCCAGAATAGCACACATTGTGGATATTAATGTATTTTTAACAAAAAGACGAATATATCTCATGAATCTTATATAGTGTTGTTGTTGTCTGCTTTTCCCGCGGTTTTAAGTAGGTCAACAGTGACTATGTGATGTCAGAGAGAGCTCCGTCAGTTAAAATCTCTTAAGAGATTTTAACAAAAAACCGTACGTTTAGGAAAAAACCCTGGATTAACTTTGAATGCAGGAATGGGGTCGTTGACCATTGGTAAGTACGGGAAAATTGCCGTTTTTTCCAGGAAAATCCAATTTTTGGCCAAAACGAAGAGTTATTATGACTTTAAGTTTATTTTCTTCCTTTTTAAAACTTTTTCAACTTTTAATTTCTGTCCTAACGGGGTTATTAAAGTTATTAGGCTGTGTAATCTGGTACAGCAACCAAACCACCAAGCCTGGTTGCGTTCACTAGCAACTGACTGAAAAATTTTATGTCAAGTCCTGCATAAGCTATAATTTTGCAAATTAAGTCTGTATACATACCTGTTGGTCCACACTCCATATAATAACTCAACAAAGGCAAAGGAGAGATTCAACAAGAGGAACATGAACAGATTCCTTGAGGTCTGGTCGGAAAGGATTAATCTGAAACATGAATTAAATACTTAAGGTTTATTATTATTATTATTATTATTATTATTATTATTATTATTATATGATGTGTCCTTCGGTCAGCCTTCAAGGGTTCTGGGCAGAGTATAACATGGTTCAAATTGCAACATGGCACAGTGCTATCTCTGAGAAGATATTTATAACAGGTATTGTTTAGTGTGGATTTTTTTGTCCCACAAAAGTGTGTACTAGTGTGTATATCCCAACAGCAACTGCATTATTGTGAAGATGATTTTTATCACTTTATTTCCTTTTAGTTGCATATTTTATGCAAGCATGTAAACTGCATAAAGAGAGTAAAAAAATCCAAACCTTATACTTTCATATCTCTTGTAATTAAAACAGCTTAGCTAGCCTATTGAAGATACATTCACTAATATGTTCACTAATATCAGACATGAATTCTGTGACCAACACTGACATACACAGAAAAGCCTAACGAGTATGAATGAAAAAAATCTTGCAAAAATAAAAAGAAAATATTCGAATAAACAAAATTGAACCAGTACCAAAGACATATGCATTTCCTTTCCAACACCATACGCGGGTTCGTGGTAAATTTTGCAAATGTTCACCGATTCTAAAATACCGGCTAAACGTGTCTCGACTGAAACCTGTAAAAATCAAAATTTCAAGACAGCGGTGTTCATTGCTGATTGTCGCTTTCTGTCCTACCTCAACCATCCCCCGATCTTCTCCTTTATCTTCCATCCTGGACGGTATTCTTTGTCATGTGCATGAAGAGGCAACATTTTCGTTGCCTTTAATTAATGAAAAAAGTAGGTGGGATCAACAACATATGCAGCTGAAGTTCTTCAACTGCAATGTGTCGTCGTGGACAGCTGAACTCTTCATCTGCATTTAGTTTATAATAAATATTAACTTCAAAACAATTAAATAATTATGTTTACATGGCACAGAAAATATTAAAGATATATATTTTTCTCAATATAAAAATTTTAATCAAATTAAACTCCCTAAAGTGTCATCAGTTAAGAATATAATGTCGAAACTTTAAGTTGACTGAAGAATTTTAACTCCGTGTCCTAAATATTGGCAATATAGGTCAACAATGGACGACGTGCGGTTTGTGTTTTGTTGATTTTCATCATATTCTGTCGAAATTTGGGGACAAAATGAATTGGATATCGTAAATGCACACTGTTTCTATATTTATCAGCTCACGTAGACATGCATGCTACATGCAGTGCAGCAACAGGGCGCGTATGTACGCGTTGGCAAGGTTTTCTGGCTCACACGCGTGCCCTTGCGACCCGACCAGTTACGACCTCGGATACCAATGTACCTGAGCCGGTGGATTTCAAGCCGAAGCGGGCACTCGTCCTCACTAAAATGACAAGATATGAATTTGATAAGAAAAAGTCTGGTACAAATACAGAAAAGGCTTTTAAGAAATACGTAAGAAAATTATTATGGATGTGGTGTATGTCTTTAGATTACAGTATTATTATACATGTGATTATATGTAAGCATTGATAGTGTGATACATGTAGCCATATTTGAATTTGTGGTTATCACAATGTAATTATTATCATTGATACAAGTAATAACATCGTTTTGGGATACCCTTCGATTTATTCTGTTTTATACTGCCCCATTTCCTATATTAATTTATACCTACTCTTAATCATTGCACAAAAAACGCTGTATTTACACACGTTTTACATGGCTGCCCTTAAATTATGAAATACAGCACCCTTTTTTGTTGGGAATGACCATTTCCTTTGTTTACTTGCAACTGGACTCATTTTTTCCAGTGTATTGCGCTGTATTTTGGTGTATTGCACAATTTAGGCACATAGGTTTTACATTTTTCAAAATTTTGATTCACCTTAACAAAATTCATGAGCATCTCTTGCCATCATGAGTGTCTAAATATGATCTCAAATTTGATTTTTTTTACATCTTTTGAAGTTGAAGTGACCATTGTTGTCACACACACACACACACACACACACACACACACACACACACATTGGCATTACTGTATAACATTTTTTATAAAGTGCAAGTTATGCCTTGTATATAAGTTTTCTTTATATAGATGAGCACTGAAAAGTCTGATTTATGCATTCTAAAGATACAATTTGTCTGTTTTTATAGCTGAAAGAAAAGGGTTCTGATTATGAAGGTGTTTTAGAGCGACATAATATTCACCATGCAAAGTTAGACGATATACAGGAAACATTAAGGTAAGTGTTAAAGGAGTGAGTTTAAAGTACAAAACAGACAAAAAAGAATAACTTTGCTCTGTTTGCCTTCATTAGAACTAGCTTCTTTGATTCATTTACATATGTTATAATAAGTAATATGGTATATGAGTGTGGCTTCCACCAATTCTTAATTTTTCATTGCTAAGTACATATACATACAATTTGCAATAACATTTTGTGCTGTTGTGGAAAGAATTGAATTTTCATTTACAGGCAGAGGAACATAGAAACTAGACTCGTTGGAAGAATGGAATATTCAGAAGATGCCATTGATTGGGCAGATGTTGTTTTCTCAGCAGGTGGAGATGGTACATATCTTCTTGCTGCAAGTAAAGTGAAGTCTAGGGACAAGCCTACTATAGGATTGAATACAGATCCAATAAGGTATGTATTTACATCAAAATATATATAGTCTAAGATAAGTTGTTTCCTTTTGTTGAAAATATAGCAATATGTAACAACCATGAAACTTTCATAGGAAATGATGTTAAGATTTTTTTGGGGGGTGGGGGAGGGGGTATCCAAACAGTACATAATATTTTATTAAATTTGTAAACAAAATGTGATTAAACAAAATTGATTTATTAAATAAGAATAATGCCAGTTGCACTATATATTTCAATAGTAAAGAAAATCATGATCTGTTTGACAGGTCACTATATTGTGCTATACTGTACTTTACCATTACTGTATGCATTCATTTCTAATCTAGATCTGAAGGTTATGTACTATACCATTATTGTATGCTTTCATTTCTAATTTAGATCTGAAGGTTATTTATGCTTGCCTACAAAGTACTCAGGTGAAAGCGGCTCACATATAATCCCAGCACTTGACAGGCTTTTAGCTGGAAGATTTACGTAAGTATGAGATTGAATAGGAGTGATATTGATTGCATGCATATATATATATATATCCACAGAGAAATGCACATTAAAATTTAGCATTAGTAACTGGAAATTAGATGGTTTATGAATGCACTACAAAATAGTACAATATGCCAAACACTGACATCAGTTTGTATTTTACAGATGGGCCTTTAGACAAAGAATAAGAGTCACTATGACAGGCAAATATGCCTGCGACCATCCAATAGAACTTCACCTCCAGGAGCTAGAACCTCCTCGCTCAGAGCTAGAGGACAGGTTTTCTGAACATGTGAAAGAACACGAGACATACCACAATTTGGCAGAGAATTCCAAAGAACTGCCACCTAGGTCACTGCCTGTGCTGGCTCTGAATGAGGTCTTTATGGGGGAATGTTTATCTGCAAGGTAAAGCTAGTGAGCACTGATGTAAATGGACTAGGCTTAAGACACCTGCTGTATCCACTGTTTTTTGTTCAGGGTGAAATCTAACATTATTTTATATCTCCGTTAACCTGAAATATTAGTAATTATTAGAATGAAAGCAGCAATTGCAATCCTTTTTACCATTTTGAAAAAAGGACTTATATATTACACCCTCTGCAGTTAGAGTATTAACATCATCATTGGCATAATTTTTACAGTTATTTTGATATTTTAATGATATTTTCCAGGGTCTCTTATTATGAAATATCTCAGGATGATTCTCATAGTTTAAAGCAAAAGAGTTCAGGGGTTACCGTGTGCACAGGCACTGGCTCAAGTTCCTGGGTGTTTAACATAAACCATATTTCTACACAAACTGTCAAGGAAATCCTAAAGATTTGTAAGTTTTAATCTTAAAGTCAGTCAATACTCAACATCTTAACAGCTCTTAAGAAAATAAACAATGATTGTCTTATATTTAATAGCACTGCACAGTCCACAGAGTGGTTTATGGTTTATGGAAATAGTTTAGTAGTGATTCTATATTTGCATTATTACAATTATATTTTACATCAAACTGATGCTTCAGATAAAGTAATGAGTAAGTGAAGATACTTTTTTTTTTGTGATACAGGTATTTAGGTGTTGTAGAATGTTGGTTTCAGTAGAAATACTTGTGAAAATGTAAATATATGTGTTAATTAGTACTGTATTAATGTACTTACAGCTGGTTCACTTTCCAATATGAACATACCCTGTGAAGACCAGCTAGCCTCCCGAGTGGCAGCTCAATTCAACAACTCCTTAATATTTGACCCCAATGACCTTAGAATGGCCTATGTGATTAGAGACCCCATTGTCAATGGTGGGTGCTTTTAAAGTCCATATAAGAAGAAAACCATTTTATGAACAGTCCCATAGATTCCCTATGGATTGTGTCATGTGGTCTTATATAGCAATTGAATTGAAGAGATTCTGTTTGTTACTCTTAAAACTATACTAAAGAAATCAAAATGGGTAGATGGGGATATTTGGCTTGGGATTGCGTTGGTTTGAATACTAGTATAAAAAATATCAATTTTATGTTTTGTCAGCATTTTTATTCCAGACTAAAGCAGCAGTTAGTGTTCATTTATTATATAATTTATTAAGAGTATTTGTTATCATTTTATACACATATGATAAACATTCAAACTCTTTTAAGTTGTGTAACTTGCCCTACATTTTATGTTATCATGGAGTTTCATCTGATTTTAGGAGTATTTCATGTTCCAGTGCCCCGAGGATTTGCTAAAAAGTAAGTCGTACCCTGTGTCTGCTTATTTTCTTTTTCTCTGTCCTTTGTCTGTTTGAGTTAACCCAAAATTGCTACCTCTAGTAACCAAATATGTACTGTGTAAACAGCAGTATAAATGTCAACTTTATATAAATGCAAAATTTATGTCTAATTGTTATTGAAGACTAACATGCATTATGGATTTTTATGAATATTGAAGTTATGATTAGGATAAATAATTTTGATTTTATGAAAATGTTATATTTTTAATTGCTGTAGGGTTACAGTTCGGTCTAGAATGTGGGATGGTTGCCTTGCAATTGATGGAGGTGTCACATTCAGCTTCAATGATGGTGCTATTGCTAGTATGGAAATGTTTGAAGAAGATGCCTTGAGAACTGTATCTTTGATGAAAGATACTCGGAACTAAGTGTCCACCTTGATTGTGATGATGCTGTCCATTAGAAGGAGCATTATACTGTTTTCTAACCTGGGTAATATCCTTATTCCATGACATGTGAGGGATGTTTTGTGAAGGTATATAGGATTGCTTAGAGTCCATTTTCTATCTCTGTTACATTGCCTGTTGTAATATATACAAGACAATGTCAAAGAAATGAACTTACAGTACTGAGAGCTTTCAACTGGATGTGTTTATTTATATGAAAGATATCTTAGTAAACTGAGTAATATTTTAGATATTTTGTCACTAGAAATGGGAAATGTTAAAACTTTATTTCTCTCACCAGTGTTTCAGAGCAGGTTCAAAATTTGGTGGTTGCCTATGTGTACTTACTTGTAAAACCATTGGCCTGAATGATATGGTTTTGTTGATGTAAAATGTATTGCTTTCTGCATGTAGATTATAGTTTTTAAGTCATTTGTCAGATGCCCCTTCTATCTTGCACTAGATAGTGTAAATTTACTTGTCAAATCGGAGTTCAAATTCTAGTAAAGTAAAGCCATCATGGAGTATTAAGGTCAGAAAACAACTCATATTTAGTAATTCTTTTTTCCTTGGGTTTTAAGCAAATGATCGTGATCAGCCATTAAGTGTTTTTTTTTTTTTTTACCTTATGAAACGTCACGTAGTTAGCAGGAATGAATGTAGAAACTAACTTGCCTTTGAAATCTGATTTATTCTTGAAAACCTACCTTAAATGATATAAAGTTCACAAAGCTGGATTGCAATATTGACCTAGTCACTTGATAATGCACTAAAACAGATATATGCCTTGATATGATTTGAAAATTATTTATGATGGATTAACATGGCACCATGAAGGTCATGTTTACATTAACTCAGTTGATGTCAAACCACTGTGTTGGACATGACACACGACTAACTAAATAATGGCAGGCAGAAGAACAGAGGGATAAGATGAGCTTAAAAGCAATAACCATATGGTCTGCTTAAATTTAAAGCCTTCTTAAATAGAGCACTCTTTCTGTAGCAGTATGTATAGTGTATAGCTCTGTTACAGGGGGTGTCACTGTTTTTCCTATGTTAGCTTTCTATTGTTTGGCTAGAAGTTCTAGCTGAAGCATACACTTCTTAACAAAAAGATATAGCAGACAATGAGCAAAGCATCAGTGAGTGGAAACTAGCTAATGGTTAAGTGCCGCAGGAGCTCAGCCTATTCACAAGGCTCTCTTACAAAACAGCTGGGTTGTTAAAGCCCTTCCATCATCAAGCGATACAAACCTGAGCTGTTGGTCATTAAAAAAAAAAACCTAATGTGGAGTGGTAAGACAGAGCGCTCCATGTGAAAAGGCCTATAATGGTAGTGAAAATATGTAAGAAGTTCACATATCGTGACTTGACTAGATAAGCACCTTTGGTTAGATTAATGATTTTCACAAAGTACTTATTGATTTATCATGGAGATCATCTGAGATAGTCCAAAAAATAGCGACCTAGCTTAGAGTTAAGCCAGATTTTACAGGATTTGGAAGATAGTTACGTGGGATCAAATGATGGCAGACTAGCAAGTGCAGTGTGACAGTGAATAAAAGCTGGCAGTATATATTCACTGACATTTTTTTTTTGTTTTCTCTTCTTAAGTTCTGTTATGTTTAAGCCAGTTGCACAACAGTACAAAGTCACCGTTTTGTATGTCACTTTCATATTGCTTTCTAAGGCTCTATTCCCATAGATTTTAGATCGATCTATCCCCGCGGGGAGTCTCACTAGATTACTTTCAGATAATCCGACTTACATGTCCATCCCGCCTACTACAAGCAGTAAGGGGGTAATTAACTTTCGTGTCCGCCCGGCTGACAGCTTTTTAGCGTGAACCCCCAGGGAGTTAGGTAGATCTAAAGTAGGTCGATCTAATCTATGGAAATGGGGTGTAAGAAGGCATTCCTGGCATCTCATGCTGATTTTGGACAAGGTGACCCATGGGTTTTATAATGTTATCTAGGCTTGTATGACATATAAGGCAGTGCTGTCAACCTAGTTTGAAGCTTTCTTGGACGATTTCTATAAGTTATAAGGCAAAAGTGAAGTGTGGTAATATGCATAATTTTTATGCTTTTTTGTTATTTCAATAATTTGTTAAACTAGTAGTTGAAACAACTTCATGTGGAATCCAATTGCAGCTGTTTTTTTAATGATATTTTTGGTGGTATATAATATAGTAATGAATTCTCTACAACATGAAAGCAAACATAATATATAACACAGCTGATGTCTAATGGTAATAAAATACAGCTTGTTTGTCAACTGTAAAGTGCTTACATAGTTTTCGTAATTGCGATGAAAAGAGGTTTCATAATTCAAGGCGATTTGTAAAAAAATTGAAATACTTTTATGTCAGGTTCAAAAACTTTAAAGTTCTTCATGTCATTTATTTTAAAAACTTGCACAGGTGCTTGTCACAAAAATATGGTTTATATTTTTAACATCACAAATACACGAATACGTATATTTCAGTGAGAATGGACAAACCTGAAAAATAGCCAGAAGCCAACTCTTTTAAGGAATGAACATGCCATCTGTAGATGGCTTTAATTTGGTTTTGGTAGGTCACAAAATGCTAATATAAAAAACGCTTGAGAAATAACATTTTGCCTAAAAAGACCTACAACGTGTTTTTAAAGAAATTGCTCTACTTTATCTTTTTCGAATATGTCGATATATACCAATTTCTACAAGAAAGTCGATCAACTCAGCAGCTGTCATTAGCGTGCTGCCAAGCACTAAACCTAGTGCGCCACCTATATCAGAGAAAAGTGCTAGACCTGAATAAGCAACTTGTTGCTCTATTACATGAAAACTAAGCTGTTTAAAATTAACAGACAGTGTTGCATGATTGTATTCAAAATAGTCCAGTGAGTAAAATGGATATTTTTCAGCAATTAAGCCTTCGATGAAGGCAACCGATGTTTTTGCATGAGAAATTGTATATTCATATTGTCTCTCTGTACACGGAGCTGGACAAGCGCAGTCCGTCAATTGAAATGCTGTCCTCATTATATTGATCATCTCACAGGAGCCGTAGTACTCTGGTGTACACACTGGGACACCTGGGACATCTGGAAGATACAGCAATCGACATCCACAACGGCTGATGGTAGCATTCAATCTGAAAAATAAACAGTGAAAATGAAATTTCGATTTAAACCGTTAAACCAACTGACATACGTCATTTTGATCAAAGGAGGTGAAACATCAAAATTGTTCAATTGAAAGTAAATCTTATGTTTTGACTAAATATACTTAACTCATCATAATTAGAGTGGCATAAGCCAAATTCAGAGTATTATACTCATTCACAGAAATAAATGCTTTGCTGTGCCGGGGAAATATAATATGCAGCTAGGGCCTACTCCTTTACCATAATGAATGTATACACAATAAAGTACTTACAGACACTCAGACCTGCAGTTTGTGACGGAATACAGTGGATAATATGCGAGCTTTTTATCTGAACATCTCCCGTACGGTTCTGGTAAGTTATGTACCTAAAATCCGACAATCATATAGAGGACTTAATGGTACGTAGCTGGAAGACCTAGTAGGGGCATGCACTTTACATATGTCTCTTTAAATAGATGATGGAGATAAATTTTGCGTACACTGTGTCTGTTTCAGAACTTTTCATATTGAGCATTACAATTTATAAACGTGATACATTGCTTTTTTGGAGTAACATAACTAAAAGAGTCAAATAAATTTGTCAAATGCACGTACTGTAGGGCGCATACTATGTAATTGTTTAAAGACAGGGAAAAAATAACTCTGAAACGGGGCTGGTAGGCCGAAACGTTCGAAACAGGACGAGGTAATCTCCCACGCGTGCTGAGGGCGTTCTGACCACTCCCATAAGAACAGTGTATTAGAGGCTTAGAAACGAGACAATTCATTGGAATATATGTAAACTTTCTACCTCTATCAACGAGATTGCCACGGAAGTCACTTCTCCCGGTGCCACATGAAACCCATTAGCCATGTGTGGGGTGTCTATAGGCTGGTGAAGCAGAACCTGAGACACAAATATGAAAATGACAGTTGTCAAACGTTAGCACTGCATGCTTACTTGTCGCTAACTTATTGAATGTCGCTTTCTTGAGGAAAGTGGTATTTATTTAAAGATACACGACGTACACAAAGATCGTTGTCCCTTCGCAACGCCCGATCATGAATTATTTCGTATAAGGCCAGTTTTGGGCTAAAATAAAAGACATAAATCAAAACAATTTCGTTAATCAAAGAAACACTTATTCAAACTGACATATAATATACTGGTCTTCACGTCTTCAGCTTTTGCATTTCCAATTTCTTTATCGATAAGAAAGTAGGGCTTGTCCGCTAAGCAAGCATATATGAAATTTTGAAAATTAAAGTATCTAAGAAGCACGCGTGCATCGAAATTCTGGGTTCTATTTCTTTGAAGACTTCTGTATTTGTACGTTTCAAGGTAGCATAGAACTCCTACCGTAAACCCTGCTTTGCGTGTCCTGGCAAGGTACTTATCCTGCTCTGTATATAGTATAAGTCTTAGGCCATAGTCTTCGCCAGGGAATGTGGCATGCAAATTTCCACCTTAGAACAGGTAATAAAAACATGTTAAACGGTGAGAGTTCCTGTAAAATATTTTGACATTAAGTGCTGTATTATTCAACTCCATGCGACATTATGGAGTTAATAAATTCAAAAATAAAAACTTATTCTTCCAAAGATGCGTCCTTATTCCCCATATGAAAGTGTGTTGGGGGAAGGGGTTTGGACTGCTTTTATGTTCAAAGAGGCTTTCCCCTGGATCCAACCTTAACTCTTTCAAAAGTAACGTTTAACAAAGGACAACAACCTCTTAGTATCCACTAACTATTGAATTGACAAAAAGGTGTAATCAGATTTCTTAAAGACTAAAAATTTCTTAAATATTTCTTAAAGATTAAAAATAACTTACCATCGTTGAACGTATAACACAATCCCATGTCAGTTATTCTCCTGGTAAAATTGGCGGAGGAACACTCTGTGTATTTCCAATCACAAGCCTAGAAAGACAAAGGAACTTCATCAACATAATCAGTAGGAAATGCAAACACAGTGGAAATAGTATAATAATAATAATAATAATAATAATAATAATAATAATAATAAGGTCACTGTAACTTTAAGTAAAGACATCTTGTATTACAATAAGCTTGACTATTCAATTAAGGTGCTATGTGCTAGTATTTTTAATCTCATTTTACCCAGGGCAAATCAAAGTTCTTGTCCAGCTGATGGCCATGCGTCATGAAGAATTCTGTCAAGTTGTACCCACTGCCATTAACGACGGCAGACGCAGATGATGATAATGAGAGCCCAAAATCAAGAGTCCCGCTGCTATTCAAACTTTCCTTCCGGAACCAGTTATTATTACAAATTGTTACCGCTGGGAACATCAGACTATTCTCATATGTGACTTCCATGTTGACAGAAACGGGGTTGGTATAGTAATAAGATATGCGATGATACAAATGATAAATCAGAAATGCAAAACCAGCGAGCACGAATGCGAGCCACAGAAATCTTCTAAACAAGCTGAACTTTTTATTAGCAATTTGTTTCACTCCGAGCACGCTGATGTCGTTGGCAAATGCAGTGAACCTTTCAGCGAGAGATTCGTTTTCGTCTTCCACAATACCATCTAGTGGAAATACTTTACGTAGCATGGTGTGTTTAGATTAACAAGCTCAAAAACCGACACTTTTCCTCACTGAAGTCTTTCAACTGACTAGTTCTAATTTTATGTTATGTTTCATAAAGCTACTTGGTGACGTTTGCGCCCAATAAAACCTTTCTATGCACCAGTGGGTGTATCAGAAATTCCTGTAACATTCTGAGAATGCCTCCTTTATAGCCAACAGCTTATATCTATTGGGGGGGGGGGACTCAGGAGTTGGTTACGTGTAACTGAAATACTGATTATGCTCAGGCAGATCACCATGGGCAGATTTAAATGACACGAATATTTCATCAGCGCCATTCCTGTTTGTTCAGGCGTATCACAGCCATTAAGGCTTTTCCTAGCAGGAAAAGAGTTCTCTTTTCTAAAATCTTCAGTTCAAAAGCCTGGCCATTGTGGTTCCAATAACCGTCACTTTCTGACCTCTTGAGAACCATGCAACAAACACATATCTAACTCTTTCATAATCGGAGCTTATTGATCCCATGGATACTTTTTCAAAAATAATCAGATATGTATCAGGGCCCAATATAATAATTAATACTTGCCAGATATGTATTATAATTAGCAATAGACCGAAGCACGTGGCAGAACACGAGGTAGTGCATTATGAGAAAAGTCATTATTAACCATGAGAGTTCACCATTAGACTTTTTCTCTCCCATTAGATATTGAGGGTTGTCATTTCACGATACTTCAGAATTACTCAACCAAAGACAAAGACAACGCACAACCTTATTCTTTCATGGCTTCCATTCATCGATTGCACACCTTCAATGGGTGTCTTGAATTAATTTTCACTTTCAGCCTGCTCACAGAGGAATTTAACAATACTAGAGGTATTTAAAGTAACTAAAATATTTTAAACGAAACATTGAGTAGATTGTTCATGTGTAGCCTAGAACGACCCTGTTAATGGGAGTATCAACAATACGAAGTGAAAATGTGAATGAGTTATGAAATTGTTTTCCCACGTTAAATTACCTAAGACAAAATCGAATCCAATTTTGACAAGTCGTCGTCAAATGTTTTTTCTGGGTAAGCATGACAAATACAGGGATGTTTAAACTGACGTCAGATGGTCATTGACTGCTTTCATGTTGATACTTGTCGCCAGTGTCACTTTGAAGGCTGAATTACCCTGATCACGCGAATCGCTAAAATGGCCATAATGGCTAGCGTTAAACTGAGAACAGTCAATGCTTTCCCTGGACGAGCGATATCCGTGTAAACATCAATTTGTTTGATATATCAAGTAAGACATATACATCCAATGCTCTGCTTATCACAAATGGAAATGACTTGCTTTACAGATATAGCGTATTGAAATGGTGGTCGATCTGAAATTAAGAAACACGTTTCCTTATCAGAAGTGTCAAACGATCCAATAACTTATCGTAGTCACGTTTTATAACCATCTTTGTAAACCATTGCTTCATCAAAATATCTAGGTTTTTTTATGAACGTTTACTTTTTGCGAAAAACCTCTCATCATACGAAACCCTCTTTGCAAGTATAATTTGTATGGGCTGCTAGGTAAATAAAATGCAATTGCATTAACGCGTCTTTAACCAAAAATACTGGGTAATAAGAAAACAAAACTCAAGGTTCATTTCACAGTTCAACAGAACAAAAAATTACTTATCATGAAAAAAATCTCCCTATAATATGAGATGAACTTTGCCAAAATGTTCGATTCACAACTTCATAAGTTTGATTCCTAAGTTCATTAGTTTTGGTTCATACGTTTAGAAGACATAAAGGCATTAAAAGAGCTTGTAACCTACATTGTACATATTATATTGTAAAATGGATAAAATGCGCATAAATTTCAAATTAATATTTCCCATGATTATATATCTACGAATATTTACTTTAAAGAACTACATTAAATTGCCTTTGACATTTTTTCGGTACACCACTGTAAAGTTCAATACAAAAAGTGATAATGTAAAACGCAGTGTTGAAACTAAGCGTTTTAAAGATCCCTGGGTATGCCGGACCCTCTATCCAGATGAAAACCACTTAATGCAATATACCACTTAATTTGATATAGCATTTACAATAATAATTGCGCATCACTCCAAATCATTTTGGACACATATATTCATTTTGAACAAGTTATGTCCTCACTCAAAAAGAAATTTTATCAGGCTAATCACTCCCAGATAACATTCTAGGAAAGGTGTGGTTGGTAGTCATGGGATATTTCTGAATGCGTATAAAAGACCATACTTCAAGAGTTTACAAAACATATTCTTGGTGGAGGGCTAGACAAATAGGCCTATGTCACGTTGAGGAAATAATGAGAGCAGTATGCAGTGGAAGTGTACAAAAGTCGGTAAATTAACTTTATTTTAAATAGAATAGAATAGAATAGAATAGAAAGGTTTTCAAATAAACTCCTCAACGCTTAATTCCAGTGTTGCGTTTTTTGGACTACGAACTCCACAAATACCTCTACATTATTTTTGTTACTAATTCAAAGCTTTTCTTTCAAGGGTTTTTTCTTTCTGGCTGATATATGAGCATATTCCAAAAAACTGGAAATAACATGCCTTCCCTTCTCAAAACGTATGCCAATGTACTACATTCTAAAATCCCAGAAACGTACTAGAGTTAAAAACGTGGTCTGCCACGTGTAGTTACATCATGTTTGTCCTTGCTGTAATATTTTAAGTTGCAATGAGCTTAAATGGGGCCCAATACATGTATAACATAATTGTTCTACTGGTATGTCTTTATGATCAATTAAGTGTAGACTTTTGGCTTATGGACCACCAAGCGATCAAACTTCCTGGAAAAGAGCACGCGTCCATAACCGTGAAAACGTGATCATTATCTGAAAATCAAAACCTTCCAAGTGTGATGTAAGATATCCATGGCTGCTTTCCTCCAAAGTGTTGCCCATAAAAGCTCACGGCATCGTAGAAATGTGTAGAACTGGTGTAACTGTCGACGCAGACGTAACTACGACATTCATTGGCTAAACTTGCTAAAATGCAGAGAAAGGTGCATCCTTTAGATGACATTATACACGACGACACCGAAACACTTGCTGAAACTCTCACTAGTTTTGCTAATAATGTCAGCGTGCTTGGAGTTCGGCAAATTGCCAATGAAAAACTCGGCTTGTTCAGGAGAACTATGTGGTTGACATTTGTTATCACTGGGTTAACATTTCTAATTTATCATCTGTACCATCGCATAGCTTATTTCTATTCCAACCCCGTTACTGTCAACATGGAAGTCAAATATAAGGATAGTCTGATGTTCCCAGCGGTTACAGTCTGTAATAATAACTGGCTGCGGAAAGGAGTATTAAATGATAGCGGGGTCCTAGACTTTGGTCTTTCATTATCGTCATTCGATTATCCCGTCGTGAATAGCAGCTCTTATAACTTGACAGAATTCTTCATGACGTATGGCCATCAAATGGACAGGGTGTTTGATCTACCCTGGGTAAGGTAGATTACTTTCTATCCAAAACGTAACATAAATGCAGAGTCGATTGAATACCTGTAGTTGCCATACGCTGAATAAGCTTTAGATTTTATAGAGATGTCATTTTTAACTTGACATTTATTGTTGTGGCTGTTGATGTCACTGATTATATTTTATCTCTTCTAGAATTGCGATTGGAAATTAACCGATTGCACATCAGCAAATTTCACCAAAAGAATCACCGACATGGGAATGTGCTTCACATTTAATCACGGTGAGATACATGTATCTTATTTGCTACAGTTGTAATACTAATTTACGATTTTCTTACACAACTTTACTCTTTCGCATATTTTCATATCATAGAAACTATCATTGTATTCTAAATGTTGGTTTTCAAATCGAAATGAAGGCGGTGCATAGAAATTAATAATAACAATGCATCCTGAATGCATTATATATGATACAGGATTTTACTCTTGTTTTTAAATGTTAATATATAATGAATTATTGAAAGAAAAATTATAGTTTTTATGCATTGGCATTTGTCTTTAGGTGGAGATTTGCGTTCTACGTTTCCCGGGGAAGACTATGGTTTACGACTTGGGCTATTTGCAGAACAAGACCAATACCTTCCAGCGACTAGCAAAGCTGGTTTTACAGTAGGTTATATATATATATATATATATATATATATATATATATATATATATATATATATATATATATATATATTATAAACAAATCTGCGTGTTTGATCTTTATCTTAATTGCCCCAGTAGCAAATAAATGTCAACGAGTATCCTTGATCGATTCAAAAAAATAAACATTACGTGTCACCTTATATTTCAATAACTGTGTACCAATACGTGCGTGCGCGCCTCATTGCGTATGCATGTGTCATTGTGCACGTGTATGAGAGAGAGAAAGAGAGAGAGAGAGAGAATCCACCACTTTTGTTGTATTTGTCGGCTCATTTCTCTTCAACAGGTTCTTCTTCACCAGCCGACAGACGTTCCACGCATGGCAAACGGGTTTCAGGTTACAACTGGAGAATCACTCATTGTTGCTATCTCAATGACAGAGGTAATGTTATAATTTTCCAACAAGCATAATGGAATATGATTTAAAATTTAAGAAACCGTTGGCAATTAGGGAGTTCTGAAGAGCAGTTTCTTCCCATTCAATCTACTATCAATATATTAATTCCTTCAAAACTTTCGTTTAAGGTGCATAATTTGCCAGAACCATATGGAGGATGTACAAGTAAAAAACTTGCTTACTATCCCATATATTCCGCTACGAATTGTAGATCTGAATGTCTGTAAGTATGTTACCAGCAGTCGTTCTATTTATCTTTTCGTTCATTCAATTATTATTATTATTAATGATAATAATAATATTATCTTTGGAGCAAAAGTTCTGTTTGAGTTTCAGCATGCCATTCAGTTATGATTTTCAAACTCGAAGGGACAATTTTTCTAATGGATGAATGGGATGATTGGATGACTTTGACACTTAAGTTTTGTTGTCGAAAACAGTCGTTTAAATATTTAGCACCAATAAATCGCCTCTAAGTCTCCAAGCGTTATGGCGGTTTGGATGAAGTACCAATAAGTAATTTAAAAAACGTAATTTTTCAGATTGAATGCTACCATCAGCCGTTGTGGGTGTCGATTGCTGTATCTTCCAGATGTCCCAGGTGTCCCAGTGTGTACACCAGAGTACTACGGCTCCTGTGAGATGATCAATATAATGAGGACAGCATTTCAGTTGACGGACTGCGCTTGTCCAGCTCCGTGTACTGAAAGAAAATATGAATATACAATTTCTCATGCAAAAACTTCCCATGCTTACATCGAAGATATACTCACGAAAGTACCAAACTCACGCCTATTCCCGGAAAACTATTTACAAGACAATTTTGCAACTGTATCGATCAATTTTAATGATCTTAGTTTTCAGATAATCGAGCAACAGGTTGCTTATTCGGGTCTCGCACTTTTCTCTGATATAGGTGGAGCGCTAGGTTTAGTGCTTGGTAGCACGCTAATGACAGCTGCTGAGTTGATAGATTTTCTGGTAGAAATTGGCATATATCGACATATTCTGAAAAGATAAATCATAGCAATTTCTCTGAAAACAGTACGTTTTGTTTCTTCTTATGCAAAATGGAAAGACAAATTAAAGAGTGTATATATGTAGACATGAGGTCTTTTTCTCTACCCTGACATTAGTACAGTACCGAAAAGAATGGAAAAGCTTGGTGTGAGGAGAGTCAGCACATTTTTCATGATTTAATACCACAGAATTAAGAGAGAGAGAGAGAGAATAGCGATTTTTATTGTCAACGATGATAACTTTAACGACTAATTTTAATGTTTTTGCACTTATTTTAGCCAAAATTCGAATAAAAGCATACACTTTACCTTCCACTATTGTTGTAGAGTAACAGATCAGAGATAACTCATTCCCAAGCCAAGTGTTGCACAATAAGGGCGGGAAAGTTAACGGTCATCCTGTGATCAATTTTGATATTTGTTGTTTACAACAAACTGCTCTACCGAACTGTTCTACCGTCGGGCTGCTATAAAAATAAATCGGAATGCGAGATTCCATTTATATCAAACAAAATTAAGAACTGATTAATTGTTTTAATGCGCATAGGTAAAGTAGCAAGTATAAACTTATATTTTAACATTAAATGTTAAACTAGAATATGTAATAAAAAAATTAAATAAAAAATAAAAACGATCGCAACCCATTTATTGGAGTAGTCTTTGCCTATTTCACGCGAACAGCTCCGGCAGCTAGTGCGTCCACTGGTCTTTATTTGGTTTAAACTTTTCGGTCTCATTTTTACTGCAAATTAATGTGTTACTTTTCTTGCAATCAACACCTTGAAAACAAAACTACAATTGTAAAGTACCCAAAACTGAGTGCATATTTTTTCGAGGAGGCGGCCTTCTTCAATTCTTGAATGCAGACTTGTGTAAAATTGCACTACAGGGTATATATTTTCTTTAAACTTTCGCACAGCTCATAACCGCAAGCTTATAGTCGGGATCAGGGAGGGGGGGGGGGGACTACAGTGCAGGTCGATTTCTTCATCACATTCGGATATCCCCTAATGTGAAACTAGAGGGGGCTAATTGGCCAGTCGGTGGTCCCTGTGGTACCAAGTATTAGTAGCCTACATTGTTAAAGATGCGATTGGATGCAAACTATTAGGCCTATATGTCTTGATATTAAATCAATGGTTTTATTTTCCTGGCACTGTGGGCCCCAATAAATCTTATCGACTTCATGTAGGCCCTACATGTAGGCCTATCACTGTGAATCTACTTGTGACAGTAGTGTGTCATTATATAAAGGTGGACTTCTCCTACCCGGGATGTTCGTGCTAAATCTAATTTTCCCCGAGGAAATTTAAGCGTTTTCTTTTACTCAAGAATCATTGCTCGAGTCCCTGCACTTGGATTCGATTTTTTTACATTTCTAATGGAATAATTAGGCCCTAAGTAAAGCCCACGGCCGGGAATAGACTGCTTTATAGTCTTCCTGACATTACAGAAGAAAATATCGACACCAGGTATACTCTCATTTGAAGTGTTTTATCATTTTAGGTCTAAATTGGGAAAAAGAAACGTACCCTGTACGTAGATTTTCGTGATTTATAAATGCATTATATATTTGCATGAAATAGCCTATAACCATTTAACCAAAGAATGAGTTTTGGGTAATTTAAAACATATCCAAAAGTGTATCTTTAGCTCAAAGTACTCTGAACACTCCTGATACTCCGTGAATATTCTTTTTTACGTCAGCTCACCAAAACTTGTAAATGGTCTCATCTTGATTAATGCACCAGTACCAGCCAGTGTTATGTCCTTTTTGCCCCAGATACCGAATGTGTAGCCAAGTCTAAAAGTAAAAGATGGGGCTTTTTCAAGTAATATATCTGTTTTTGTCGATGCCGAGATTAATAATGTCAGTTATATGTCATGAACACATACCAAGGCTTCTTATTGTATCATACGATGGCTTCCGCTGGAATTATCTAACAAGAACACAGACACCAAATTTCGACTACCTCATCGAAAAAGGTGTCAAGGCGAAGTGGATAAAAAATGTTTTTCCGACTGTAACATTCCCAAATCACTACACGATCGTCACAGGTTTATATCCAGAAAGCCATGGTATTGTTGGAAACACTATGTACGATCCGGCTTTCAAAGAAAACTTGTATTTGGAAACAATAGACACTGAAGAGCAATCAAAGAATGTAGAAAAATGGGTATCAAATAAAATTAATATACCAATCTGGCTGGAAAATCAAAAAGAGAGCAGCAAGCGACATAGTGGTAGCATTATGTGGCCATTGTCTGAAGTCCCAGTCGATGGACAACTACCAAAAAAGTTTGTGGACTATAACCAGAGTACTCAGTACAAGTCTTCAGGATAGAATTGATACTATAGTGGATTGGTTTCTTGATGAAGTTGAGCCCATTAATTTAGGACTGCTATATTACCATGAACCAGACAATGCAGGCCACATTTCTGGACCTGAATCTGAAAATGTGACAAATATGATTTCCTTTTTAGACAGTGCCACAGGCTATCTTATAGAGAAGTTAAAAGCAGCAAATTTATTTGATTCCATAAATATTATTCTTACCAGTGATCATGGAATGACAGCAGTGTCAGATGAAAGAGTTATTTATCTTGATAAATATGCCAATCCTATGTTTTACCAGTTAGTAGGATATGGTGCATTTGGTAACATACTGCCTGTTGAAGGTGAGTTCTATATATGTAGAAGTAGAAACACTGACACTGGCTGTGCCATATATGTCTGTTCTTTCACCAGACTCTGTCCACATTGTAATGTAGTAACAGTGAACAGATATGTCTTGGGGTCTGTTTCATTTAGCACAAGAATTTAAGAATAGAGTTGCCATTTTTTTATCATGATTTAATATATTTGGATATTATAGGAAACACTAGGAAACATAGATAGGAAACACTACTGAATTCATATTTTGCTTCCATCTTGTGGTATATACTGGGTAGAGCAGTTTTAGAAATGGCCTGAAAAACTTCCAAGTTAGCTATAAGAAATTAAAATATTCTGTAATTTAAAATATTATAAATGTCTATATTATAATCTTTGCCTCCACAATTTAGATATTACAAAGGTATAGATTAATTTACATAATTACAAAATCAGCTGAAAAGATGAGGAGTAATGCCATAAGCCATTTAATTAAAATATGCATTTGGAGTGTCATTTTATAATTATATCTAACTGTATTTAGGAAAAGAAGAGGAAGTTTATCAAAATTTGACAAAGGTGCCACATTTACATGTATATTTAAAAGAAGATGTGCCTGAAGATTATCATTATAAAAACAATAGAAGGACACAACCCATTTTGGTGGAGCTAGAGTTGGGATGGTACTTCTGTCCAGATTCCTCTGAAAAACTCGGTAACTTATTATTCTGCATCATCAAAGTATTTCAAGGTAGAGTAGACATGTTTTAGTACATACTGTTTACATGTAAAAGGTACAGGTATTTTAAATATAAAAGAGGGATTTCTCTTTTTTTTCTTTATTTTTTTATGCTTTTTATGAGCTTTTTATAAACTGAGACTAGTGTTTCACTTTAAAAAATGCTGTTTTTTTTTCTCCAGATATTAAGGGCTCACATGGATACAACAACAGTTTTCCAGATATGCATCCTTACTTTATAGCTCATGGACCTGCTTTTAAAGAAGGTTTTGTGTCAGAAGAATTTAACAGTGTGGATATCTACTCTCTAATGTGTGCATTATTAGAGATAAAACCAAGTAATCCAGTAAATGGAAGCTTAGACAAAGTGAAGCATCTACTCAGAGGAGTCAATTCCAGCATGGATACAACTTTATTGACATGTTAGTATTGTACATGTACCTTGTTGAGTTTGTGTGTATTTGACAGGTGAGATAACAAGATGATGTAATTTCAGGAACCTTTATTTACTGATGAATGGTAATAGGTGTGAAAAGAACTATGTGTACCAAAATAACATCTAGAATAGCAAAATAACGTATTAAATAACTTGGGCCCCTTTTGCTCTAGCTTGTACAGAATCTAAAGGGTTTTCCTTAGTCCCCTTGTGTTGTTGTCTATCTTTTCTTTTTTTAAGAATCTAAGATGATCTGTTTTGACTTCTGAAATGGACAGATTATCTCTAAAGGGGTAGAATTTCCTCAACTCTTTCATTTGCAACCTTTACAGTTGGTTGATTATTCTTGAACGGGCACTCAAAGTGGGTCAGGTGTGAATTGTCAGCTGGTGCACACATAAATTAAACTCAGGCTTGCTAGCCTCTGCCTGTTTCTGAGGTTAACAGACTAAATTAAACTACACTCACATTGATAAAAAATGTTACAGTCCAGTCATTAAATATGTCACAAAATTGAACAAAATTAACATAGCTCCCCTTTTAATACAGTGCACCACTTTTTAGTAATTGGCCTAATTAAGGCTTCGTTCACATGCAATGTCTATTTTCTAAAAATCTATTTTCTATTTGCAGTATTTTGTAATCACGGTCTGTGCCCTGAATACCCTGCCGCGTAATTACTGGCAGCACCGAGAATTAATTACAGCTTTGGAAGTAACTGGCTCGCGCTGCCAGTAATTACGCTGCGGGATGTTCAGGGCACAGACCGTGATCACAAGATATACCGCGAATAGAAAATAGATTTTTAGAAAATAGACATTGCATGTGAACGAAGCCTAAGACCATTGATCTTATGTTTTTATTTGGATGGAGCATATAGCTTGTCATCTCCTGGGTTAACTTGTATGATTCTGCCCAAGGGCCAATTATTTTGTGGCATGTGTTCCTCCACCAGTCATTCTTTATCTTCCTTAGACAGAATACATGTAGGTGGTGGTGTTTGCCATTTACCACCAAAAGGTGTCTGCCAAACATTGCATTTGATGCCAACTTCTAATGTAAGTGTTCTTCTGCACAGAGGAAGTGGAGGTTCATCATTCATTGTGAGCAAATGGCCTCCGTTGTCTGGGGTTATCATCTTTGGCTGCCCTTGTCTTGCTGATTCTTTTGAGACCATTGTTGAAAGAGTCTTTGAGTGCATTCCCAGAGATTTAGATTTAGATTGACCTAACCCCCTGGGGGTTCACGCTAAATTGCAGTCAGCTGAGCGCGCACGATAGTTAATTACCCCCTTACAGCTTTTAGTAGGCGGGACAGACGCTTAAGCCGGCTAAGCTAACACAGTAATCTAGTGAAACTCCCCACAGGGATAGATCGATCTAAAATGTATGGGAATGGGGTCTTTGTCAAGACTCTCAAGAACTTTTATGTGTATGGCTCATGTTGTAAGGCAAGTTAAGATACATCCATACTGTTGCAATTCAAACCTATTTATTCGTTCATGGAAAAAAAAGACTTAAAACAGTATCATGATAGTGTGCAGAGGACCTTTTGTTGTAAGATGAGATGAGGAAATCTTACTAGTAATTTACTTTACATCGCATTATGATTTTTGCATTGTGCAAAGTGGGATTGTACTATTTAATTGCAGCTATTATGTGCTATCTGGAAGTAGCCTTAGGTATCAGTCCTTTACTGCTTCACACAGATGGTATCGTAGAAATTTCAAGTATAACTGAAGTTCCTGTTTTTATTCAGCTTTTCTCTTTTGAAGTAAAAATATTTAAGTACATGCTTTAATAAGTTTTAAGTCATAATAACTCTTCGTTTTGGCCAAAAATTGGATTTTCCTGGAGTAAACGGCAATTTTCCCGTACTTACCAATGGTCAGCGACACCCTTCCTGCATTCAAAGTTAGTCCAGGGTTTTTTTCCTAAACGTTTGATTTTTTGTTAAAATGTCTTAAGAGATTTTAACTGACGGAGCCCTCTCTGACATTGCATAGTCACGCAATATCGAGCAATATTTTCTGGTGACCTACTTAAAACTGCAGGAAAAGAAGACAACAACAACACTATTTTCTGTATATAACAATAATATAAGATTCATAAGATATATTCGTCTTATTGCTCAAAATGTATTTATACATATCTACAATGTGTGCAATGTATTTATACGTATCTACAATGTGTGCAATTCTGGGCTTTTCGTTATTCGACGCACTGTACAAAAACTCACAACTTACGTCTGTGGTTTGCATCATGCGTATGGCGCCAAATGTTATTTTGGTCTCGAATGAACGCGAGAATCCGTGTGACACTCCAACGTCATTGGCAACGGATGCCTTGACGACCGGGAAGAAAGGCATCAAAAGCCCCATTGACAAGCACAGATTTTAGTTTTACTACAATAACAGCCGTTTTAGTGGTAAAATGCAATAGAATATATCTCCATGCGTTGTTTACAAGTATTTCTTGCGGAATTTTGAAACTCAAGGAAGAGTTATTATTGCTTTAAGGTTTAATTGTTTTTGCTAAATGTAAGAATTGAGTTAATGATGGTAGTAAAATTTAGAATATTATTTTATTATACAGCTTATGGGATAATGGTTTCTACTTTTTCCTTTCTTTTTAGATGCATTGGCAATAGTTTTTGTTACAACCATTGCAGGAGTGTTTTCAATAAGTGCGTGCAGGCACCAACATCGTTATAATAAAGTCAGCCTTTGTCACAGCAGGACAATGAAAACTAATGTTAGCGGAATGGAATCATTGGATTCATGTCAACACTTACTGAAATCTTTGTCAGATGATGAGCTTTGATTTAGAGTGAAAAAGCAGTACTGGGAACAAAAACCAAAAGATCTTAATGACAAATACCAGTGCTTAATTGTCCCCTTTACCTTTTACAGTAGTGTTTGGCACATTTCCGGTTTTCAGCAGATTCAAGTTTAAAGTACTTTTTCCTTACCCCTCTTCTATATTTTAGCTTGTAAATGGTAGTGGGTTTTAGACACAGGCCTTAAGGTTTGGAAATATTCTTTGTTTAAGAGGGTTTAAATAATTATGTTGACAAAAAACCAGAATGATAAGTACGGAATCATGTATAAAGTCTCTCTCAGAGATTATTACAAAGGGTAGCCATCTTTGGAGGCCATATGGTCTGATGGTAAGCACAGATTTCAGAATAATTGCAATAACTGCCATTTGGTGGTAAAATGAATTTATTATATATTTCTGGGAGTTGTTTACAATGCATTTATTGTGACAGAGAGAGAGTTGTACTCCCTTTAAATAAGCTGTCAAGGTTTTATGTAATAACTGTAAATGCTAAAAACTGTCTTTTGAAAGACTAAAATTTGTATGTGATTCCATGTGCATATATGATCTACCATCAATGGGCAAGACCTGGATATATATATATATATATATATATATATATATATATATATATATATATATATATATATATATATATATATATATATATGTTTAATTTTTTTGAATATCTAAGAATTTCATTTGCCATTTGGAAATTTTACCATTGTCTCAGATTAAATATTAAAAAAAAATCTATCTAGTCTACTACCATATTTCCCAGTTGTTCAGCAAACATTGCTCAAACATGTTTATTGATGATACAGTGTACATGTATCTACAGTGAAAATGGCATTTTTATGTTGAATTTTACAAAATATGTCTCAGATGTTAGATTTTATAAAAAAAATTGACTCAGATTGGTAAACAGTGTACTCGTCACAATTTTGTAGCACAGCAATGTGTAGAGATGTTAATTTATGAAGTATGTATATGTGCCATGTGTAATGTGATATTTTACAATCTCCAGGAACAGCATATTTATTAAATTTTTTGTGCGTGTAGGCTATGGTAAAATGTGGTGAATAGTTTTTTATGAACAGGGTTTTTTTCATACAAGGTACAGTAAATGGTATTTCTGTATTATATATGATGTTGTTGGTTTTCAATATTCTATACACTTTTTATTGTATGTTTAAATGACTGACTTTAAATCTCTGTTAACTTTTTACTGTTTATTATTGAAGTAAAAGGGGTTTCGGAAATGTTGTACAGGTATAGGAAAATATATGCATGCCCTTGCCTTAATACAGTATTTCCTTTTTATTATCCTAGAAATATTTCTGTCATGTGCTGGATGTAGTTTAGATGACTAAGTCCAGTGAAGAAGTTTTTTTTAATAATTTAGAAAGTGGACAGTTCAGAAAACAGTATGGCAAAAACAATACTCATTACAAATCTCAAAGCTGTGATAATTGCCACCAATCATTACTCAGTACATGGTACCCCAAAACTGTTTATTATCAAAATGATGAGACCTTGCATGATACACCTTATTCATGATACCACCAGTTAATTAGTGAAATATACATTTAAAGCCTGCTGTGGTTTGGTCCCTAAACTGCAGTTGCTTACACATACCAGTAAAAAACTGAAATGCTGTTGTATATGTTTGCTTTAGAAATTCAAATCTGATTGTGTAGCCAATAATGTTAAGTAAAGAATATTTTTTATTAGCATTAATTCACATTTAAAAAGAGGAATGAATTTAAAAAGATGATAACGTTAGACCAATTTAAATGAAGGAATAAGAATTCCTTGTTTAGACCAAGACTAAATTTTGTCTGCTCAGAATGCATTAAAGAAGCATATTAAGTGTCGAGAACATGCCTTGTAACATAACATAATAGTACTGCAACAAAAATAATCATGTTTAGAGCATAAACTCCCTTTTTTTTTTGTTAATGATTTACATGTACCACCCAACTTGTTTTTGCACATATGGTGGCCAAGCGTAGTTGACAGATTCACTACTTTATTGTATGGTGTGAGATAGTGATCAGTTTCCTACTTTTAAATAAAAACTTTGTAACTCAGGGTCCTACTTTTGAGTAAAAATTTTGTAACTAAAAATGATACCATGAAAATTGGCATGGTTGACAACTAGAGTGATTTTAATGTTCTTTTTTTTTTTTTTTTTTTTTTAAGGAAGTAAAAATTAAAATGTTCAATTGAACAACAAACATTATTTTACCTCTTTTCTGATGAAGTCAGAAGTAAGGCTTTCAAGAAAATTAACTGGCACCAGCTTCTAGTACTGTAACAGTTGTGATTACTTGGTAATACTTTTTTTGGGGGGGTGGGGGGGGGTGGAGGGGGGGCTTCCAGTGTAGATTTATAAAATTTGCTCAGGTCCTGGGGAATCGGGGTGCATTTTCACAATGAATCTATCTGACAAGCTACTGTGGACTAACTCTATAGGGGCTCTCACTTACTAAATGCAATCAAATTGACAAATTAACATGCCTCTCGTATAGTTATCACCAGCCTTTCTGTATTCTACTCATTGCAAACCCAAAAGGAGTATTAAAACCACATAAAGTAGGATTTTTAAAAAATGCATTCTTAGTGCATGGATCTCTTCATGTCGAACTTATCTGAAACTTTTCAAACATAAAATGTCCAACCTCAGTAGTCAGCCATCTTGACACCGTTTAAAAAGAGCATGACTGTCTGCGAAAGTCTTGTGATACCTGGAAGTCTTATCAATGGAAATGAACGGCATATTTGGGAAACCTCTGCTTATGTGCAAGTTTAATTTTTGGGCTTATTCCCAAATTGTTACAGAATCATGGCAAGAGTCAGGAAAGAAAGATTGAAGGTAGGTTAATCAGGGGAAATGCCGTTTACCCTTGGATAATTTGTTAAATATGAATTTTGGCACCCTTAACTGATTGTATGAGAGTCCCTGTGGAGTTAGAGGGCAGTAGTTAGTACTATATAGATTCATTGTGAATGCACCCAGAAACACCTTTTATTTAAAATTAAAATTTGTTCACCATTTCAAAGTATGTACAAGTTAAGTAAAACATAATGTTGATCAAAAAATGTCACAATATCAGTTTTTTGTTCTTCTCTAAATTAAAGGGATAATAACTTTTTGTTTTGGCCAAAAAATGAATTTTCCTGGAGTAAACAACAATTTTCCCATATTTACCAATGGTTATTGAATCCATTTCTACATTCAAAGTTAGTCCCTGTTTTTTTTTTTTTTCTAATAAGTTTTTTTTTTTTTTTTTTTTGTAATAATCTCTTAAGAGATTATAACAGAGTATATAGCCATCTATGGAGGTCACGAGGTCTGATGACAAGGTCAGATATCAGAATAATAGCTATAACTGCTGTTTTAGTGGTAAAACAGAATATATTATATTTCTATGAGTTGTTTACAATGTTTTTATTGTGAAATAAAGATCTCATGCAAAGTTTTATTATCCCTTTAATATAAATGAATAACATACTTAGCAACCATTATCTTTTTTATACAAATATATGTCTCTGTTTTTTTCTCTGGTAAGTTTTTCACAATTCATTGATTTCCAATTTTAAAAATATGGAAACTCAGAAACACTTGATAGGCCATTCACACCCACTGCCACAGCTGTATGCTTTTACTAATTGTTCAACTAACTTAAATATGGTCTCGTCTTGATTAGTACACATGCCAAGATTACCCTTTCTGACACAGAAGCAGGTGCTTGATCATTTATGACTGGAATATGGAAAGATTTCAAGTAACGGTATTAGTTTTGTTGTACGCAGTACTTATTATAACATCAGTCATATGTCATGAAGATATACCAAGACTACTCATTGTGTCATACGATGGCTTCCGCTGGAATTATCTAACAAGAACACCGACACCGAATTTCGACTACCTCATCGAAAAAGGTGTCAAGGCAGAATGGATAAAAAATGCATTTCCAACTAAAACATTTCCAAATCACTACACTATCGTCACTGGTTTATATCCAGAAAGTCATGGGATTGTTGGAAACACTATGTATGATCCGGTATTCAAAGAGCGTGTATATTTAAAAGACGCAAGTACTGCTGAACAGGCTAAGAATTTTGAAAAATGGGTGTCAAATAAACTTAATATGCCCATCTGGCTGGAAAATCAAAAAGAGAGCAGCAAACGGTATAGTGGTAGCATGATGTGGCCATTTTCTGAAGTCCCAGTCGATGGACAACTCCCAAAAAAGTTTGTGGACTATAACCAGAGTACAAGTATTCAGGATAGAATTGATACTATAGTGGATTGGTTTCTTGATGAAGATGAGCCTATTAATTTAGGACTGCTATATTACCATGAACCAGATCGTACTGGACATAACTCTGGACCTGAATCTGAAAATGTGACAAATATGATTTCCTTTTTAGATAGTGCCACAGGCTATCTTATAGAGAAGTTAAAAAGAAAAAATTTATTTGATTCCACAAATATTATTCTTACCAGTGATCATGGAATGACAACAGTGTCAGATGAAAAAATTGTATATCTTGATAAATATGCAGACCCTGCTTGTTACCAGGCTGTAGGATATGGTGCATTTGGTAACATAATACCTGTTGAAGGTGAGTTTAAGATACATGTAGGTTCAAACAATCAGTTAAGCACCCATTTTCCTGTTTTAATTGTAATACTAAAATTTACCATACAATAGACAAAAATGATAGACTTACATTTCTCATTAAGTTTGAATATGATAAGTATGGCTTTTCGCCTTTAAATTCCGTGACACATTTTCATATCATGCTCCTATTATTTCTGTTATCTTTTGTGTTGTTAAAATAACTGCTTTTTTCTCAATAAAACCCTCATTCCCATTCACCTCCAGCTAAAAATGACCACTCAGGTTCATGTCTTACACCACTACATGACACTTCTGGCACAATCCGTCTCCTCCGGTACCCTTTATTGCTATCAACTTAACCGGCCTCAATGTCTGTCAAGCCTAATAAAGCTGTTAGGGGGTAATTATCTTTACCATAGCTGATTCAGTGATTATAAAAATGTGAAAATGAGTCGGATTAACTTTTCCAGCTCCCAGTGTCAAAAGCACCAGTAGTAACCTACAGCACTACCCTTTGCCTAAATATCAAGGACTGTTGTAATTAAAATGACAACAAAGTAAGAACTGATATTTTCAATCCCAACTGGGAATGTCTAAATTTGTATAATATATCTCTCTTTTATATTCAGGGAAAGAAAAGGAAGTTTATCAAAATTTGTCAAAGGCACCACATCTGCATGTATATTTAAAGAAAGATGTGCCTGAAGATTATCATTATAAACACAATAGAAGGATACAACCTATTGTGGTGGAACCAGATTTAGGATGGTTCTTTTTTCCTAATTCCTCACAAAAATTGGGTAAGTTTTGATTGCTCTGTTTTAAAACAAGGTATAATTTCTAGAAAGCTGGGTCTGAATGTTATAGTTGATGTTTATTTTAGGTAAAAGAATGTACTAGTATACTTACTTTGCTCTTTCCTTAACAATATGTAGATGTACAACCTTGTCTAACACATTCTCATTGATAGTACTTATTGCTTGGTTAATGGATAGGAAATCTATGATATCAGAAAAGGTTTGGGGAGTAAAGGGTCGATCCATGATTTTCCTGCCAAAATTAATTTTAGAAGTTCTCGCCCCATGTTTGAAAATCCTCAGCAGTCATATTTATGTCCTGTAAAGCTTCTTACATTTCCTCAATTCAGACTCTTAAGGCAATAAAACCCTTTATATAACAGTAAATCTGAAGTGTACCTTGATGTTTAGTTGCGCTCATCTTCTCAGCCTCCTTGGGTAGCCATTGCCAGCTTGCAACATCTGTATTATACTGTACATGGTATGGCCACAATACAGAAAAAAAGTCAAGTGGTGTGACAGCAGATGCCATTACTTTGACTGGCCTGTCATTTGTAAACTTAAGTTCTAAATTAGAAATAGAATAAAACATCAAATCCAAGTACGGAGGCAGGTCAAACAATAATTTGTGAATAGGAGAAAATTCCTCTTTACCCTAGTAAAATTCATTTTGGCAGGAAAATTCCATGAAGTCAGTGCCTTTAAACATTCAATTTCAAAGAGAATACCTTGTGTTATTTTCAGATATTAAGGGTCAACATGGATACAACAACAGCCTTCGGGATATGCATCCTTACTTTATAGCTCATGGACCTGCTTTTAAAAAAGGTTTTTTGTCAAAAGAGTTTAACAATGTGGACATCTACCCTCTAATGTGCAAGTTATTAGAGATAAAACCAAGTAATCCAGTGAATGGAAGCTTAGACAATGTGAACCATCTTCTCACAGGAGCCAATTCCAGCATGGATACAACTTTATTGACATGTTAGTATTATACTCGTTTCTTGACAGGCCAGGAGAGGGGCAAACTACTCCCTAGACCAGAATTTGATTAACAGCAAGCCATGTCTATTATATATCCCACATGAAAATGCAGTAGTATCGAAGTAGCAAAGAAGCATTAACGCAGTAGTGGTGTGGAGCATATTTGCAGTAGAAATGCAGTATAGCGTACTGAAATTCTACTCCAAAAAGTACATAGGTTTGTACAGAGAGGAGCATTAATGCAGTAGATTAGCAGCATGACAGAAGCATGTCTCAAATATGCTAATTAGCTCCCAAATCGAAGCAGATTTGAGGCATGTTTGCAGTATGATTGCAGTAGTCTACTGCGCTAGAGTATCTACTGCGTTTTCGTGCGGGAATATGTCTATTATCAACTAAAGGGGTGAAAAGGTCCATTTTTTAAAAGTAAAACACCCTTTGAAATTGCTGGCTACTGTATGATGGTTATGATAGTCCCCAGACAGCAAAGATGGGATTGTAGAAATAATTGACCACCGGGTAATTCATCTCGAGTAGGACATACGAAACCATGTTTTGCTGTTTGCAAGTCTAGTCAAAGGGAGCATGCAAACTCTTAGGGTGCATTCCCAGAGATTTTGATCGATCCAGAGATTTAGATTTAGATCGACCTAACTCCCTGGGGGATCACGCTAAATTGCAGTTGGCGGAGCGCGCACCATAGTTAATTACCCCCTTACAGCTTTTAGTAGGCGGGACAGACGCTTAAGCCGGCTAAGCTGACAGTAATCTAGTGAGACTCCCCACAGGGATAGATCGATCTAAAATCTATGGGAATGGGGTCTTATGTCCTAGACCCCATTCCTATACCTACTGATCTAGCAGGATAAACCCATCTCCAAGGGGTTTCTTGCTAAATTGCACCCAGCTTAAGTAGCTCTGATGTCTGGCATTCCTACTGAAGCTATTAGGCAGTACATAACTATCGTTTAAGAGCTTCAGTAGTCATGCTGGACATCTAAGGTGATTACTAGTAAGCTGAATGTAATTTAGGGTGAATCCCCTTGGAGATGGGTTGATCTTGCTAGATCAACTAGGTATGGAAATGGGGTCCTAGATCTCAAATAAACTGTTATATATAACTGAGTTCAATAACACATTTGACATAATTCTGGTTTTATATGCGACTATTTAATGTTTTGACATTGAAATATCATTTACTTTTTGAATAATTTGTTTAAAGTTATATTTGCTATCATTGGACTGCAGAAGCTGTATTTGATTTTAAGTTTAATGGAAAAGCTGTTCTTGAATTTCATTTTATGTTACCTAAATGTCTTTTCTTTCTTTTTTCAGATGCTATTATGATTGTATTTGTTGCCACTATAGCAGGGGTATTTTCAATTTTTGCATGCAGGCAACAACATCGGTATCATAAAGTCATCCTTCGGCACAGCAGGGTGGTCAAAGCTAATATCAATGGGATGGAATCATTGGATTCAGCCCAGCACTTGTTGAATCCCATTTCAGATGATGAGCTTTAATTTTTTAATGAAAAACTGATTATCCCAATAAGTCATTTAGTATCCCTTGGGTTTTTGTATTTTTTATTTTGCTTATATTTTGTGTATTTTGTATAGCTGTGATGGGTTTCCTTATAAAGAGTTTGATTTAGACATCATGTTTTTTCTGTGCAATGTAGTAGAAGTTCTTCATTTTGATTTGTGTCATGTTTATCTCTGTTTTAGGATTGACATACTGTCAGAAATTTGATTGACAAGACACAGTAATTTAATAATAATTATTATTTTTTTTTTTTTGCAATCAATTTTGAATCATGTTGTGAAATTGCTCATGGATTAAGGTAAAAATATTTTCTCAGATGTGCCCAATGTAGATGCAAGTACATGGAGATCTGCTTTGCTAACATTCATTTAAACATTTACTAATAGGACATTAAAATAGAGAGTGGGAAAGACAGTGTCCACATTTAAGGGGTTAGCCATAGTATAGTCACTAGTATAATTTCTTGGAGTAGATAAATGTTCTTCTGTGTGTGTGTTTGTGTGTGTACTTTTTACATAACACTTCACACTTTGTTTCTCTTTGATAATCAGCATTAAGAGTTATAATGTTGAAAGTACAATTTTAGCTGAAGAAGTTTTTCATTATGAATTTATGTTGTTACAAAAGAATATTCAAACATAATACTCCCAATAAAGTAACTTTACACAGTTCCATAACTCTCAGTGACTCTTGTTTGTCATATTCATATATGATAGTGAATTTCATCTCACTGTTTAGTGCTAAGTAGCTCATGGACATTTAATTGTAGATAAATAAATTTCTTGGGTTATGGTTAAGCACATGAATAGCTATCAACACTAGATTGCAATGCTATTCACAAACTCAACAGATCTGGATTTTTGAAGCAGTCCTATGCAAACTATGAGTTATCTACAGAATCATTTCTGGACTTGTTATTTACAGTTTTGGTAGTAGTATTTTTTGGGAACAGCGTTAGTGTTGTACGTGTAATGTGGTACAGGTATGCTTGTCGTTGTAGTAGTAACTATTTTATTGAATAGAATGTGTTATCTTGTATCTCTCCCATTTTTTTCATACTTTTAGGAAATGGGTTTTTAGTAAAGATTATACACATAGGGAAATGGTGAGAGTCAGTTGCAACCTTGAAAAAATGTCCTTAAAATTAGAGAAGTGAAGAACTGTTGATATTTAGACAGAAAATAGTTGTACTATTAGACATGTTGAAGAAAGAAATATTGGTGTAGCATGCACAAAGGCAGCAGGAAATATAACTTTTTTGTCCTGGATTTTTGAGAGGACTGACCTTGATTTATTTCTGTTGACAAGCTCTGGCTATACTAGTTGTTTTCACCAGAAGCAAATTTATATCTAAACCAATCATAAACATGCAATACTTATATTATAGCAAAATTAATTTTTCAATGTGAAGTAGTTTGGCTCATCAACTAGAGCATACTGTTTTAGATACTTCTTGTCAATTCTTTGAATTCTAAAGGGAGAGAATATACAACCAATTAAAAAATTTTATTTCTTGCTTAATTGGCAATATGATATTGACACATTAATATGAGTTGTGGCTTCAATTGAAGTATACATATAACATATATAATATACATGTAATATATAATATTTATAAAATATTTCAATCACTACTGCTCAGAAGCAAATGGTACATTTTTGTGACAGTAAGAGTTATTTTTGGATTATCTTATGTTAGTTTGGTGCCAAGATTATGATTACGCCAATATTCTATTTACTTAAAAAGGTATCCTATCCTCCTAAAACATATGTTCCTTGAAATGAAAAGTGATCTTCTGCTCGTGAACCATTGTTTGGCTGCTCCCTGCTCTTGGATTGACGTTTTATGCTATGGTTGATTCTAAATAAATTGTTTCCCATATTGATAACTGTATATATAAAAATATAATTTGTTTTGAAGATCTGAATTGGGGGAGGGGGGGGGTGGAGAGCACCTGTAACTGTGCAGGATATGTAGACAGAAATTAAGACATGAGACATTTTCAAACTTGGATAGTATACCTTCATTTTTATTTACCCAAATGCGAGATGTCCTCTACCAGGGTCACAGATTGATTTTTCACTAGATATTCACTGATGAGACTAATTCGTGGCGAGTCTCTCCACTGTCATGTTGGAGAAAAGTGCACATAATAAATCTGCTAAGATATCTTGTTTTTGCTAGCATATCAAGTGAAAATATGGTTACTTTCATTATGTTCTCTAACAAAATAAGTCGGTCATTGACAAATATTTAGAAGTAATGCAACATGTACAGATTTTAACCTTACTTTGATTGCAACATTTGACCTTTATCTAGGATCTAAATGCTTGCCACCACTACCACTTGTCCAGGAGGGGTTGATCAGATGTAACACAAGTGGTAGGCTAGTCTTGACATTTCATTTTGTTTGCATATAGAGTATACTCAAAATAATTTTTGCTCAGAGTAACTTCATACTGGGTCTTTCTTCATAAAATATAGCACAGGTGCTGAAATAAGGAATGCCCCATTTTAGTGCGCATCAGAAGGCAAGACTTGCCTACCACTCTGGGTACTTTCCTATAACCTCTTTGTTGTTGACAAGTCTAAATTCAGGGCAGGGCCATTTATGACATGTTCTGACTGTGCCTCTTGCTATAACATACAAGATATCAAAGGATGTAAGATGAAGTTCCCAGGCTTTTAGCTTGAGTAACTGTAATCCATGGTATCAAGATATCTTTATGATAAGGATTCCAGAATAAAATCATTGTCTGAAATTATTATTAAAAGTGTGTTGTGTCATGCCATGCCTCATGGATTAAATAAAATACCTACTGTGCTTAGCAGTTCAAAATGGACTGGTTGCAGTGGCTGTTGGTCCTTAACTTTGAAGCAGCCCACACCTCTCTGAGCCATTATTGTTTCAGCATTCAATCAAAATAAAATCCAAAACTTAAATCTGAACTACGGGATACATTTTATTTCATAAATAATACATATTAATGTGAATGTAAGATGTAAACAATTTGTCTTAGTAACTGTTAAACTGCAGGTCTTTCTGGGGTGATAAAGGTTTTATCAAAGGTGGGATCTGTTTATGTTTGAGGAACCTACAGATCTACTGCTGAGGGGACCCTAGGTCTTGAATCTGGTTCTTTCTTTTTGACACTTTTTTTCTACTTAGAGCCTGGAAAGAATGATTTTGCCATAAATTTCCTGAAATTCCTTCAGTGAGCATTTGTAAGGAGGATTGAACTCCCAAACTGGAAGTATGTTAAGTAGGTGCTTAGTCTTGTCATTTGTTTTTTTTTTCATGTGTAAAGACAAGAAGTACACTTTGATACACACTTAATTGGGGGGGCATTCAATAGCTCAGCACCTGGGCTTTATTTTATGGGCACATTTGGGAAGAAGAAAGCCAACATTTATAGTTACTTTGTGCAAATATCGTTTTGGATGAATTGCATGTAAAACAGAAAAAAAGTACCTACTCAATGGACTTTCAGCTTTGGAGTTCAACTCTTTATTCTCAAACATGATAAAAAAGTGGTAAAGACTCGATAAGATTTTTACAGAACTTTCTGATTTCATTGATTATGACCACAAAAGTTAACTCTACCAACTGTAAAAATACTATAATTAATTGAATTGCAGCTGCTTACACTAATACTAGCCTACAGCTGTGGACTAAGAGGTCATCTCTTGGGAAACATCCTCATAAACAGGACCATCCATAGGAAGGTCAAGATGACCAGTACAATCATGATCCATATCCACCAGTTACAAGACGTCTTTGTGTGAGCCTCCAAGCGCTCACTTTCAACTTTTAACTTGGAAAAGTTTGTGTCTGCAAGCTTGTGTGACTCTCCAATTTTCTGAAGAATGGATGGATTTTAGAAAATTTAAAATATAAACTAATAGGAAGATCATTTTAAACAAGGCAAAACATATTTGTAGTGCCTGTAAACTTGCAACAAAATAGAGCGCATTCAGAACAGCTGATCTGCAGACTAACAGATCCGCTGACTTAATATGGCCGACTCGGCTTAAAAGCAAGCCGCTCAATTCCCTGATAGTTTCCCTGCCTCCACACGCATTATTAAACGGATCTATCATACGTACTGAAGTTTCTTTAGTCTTAATCTATCTTTCACACTGACAGGGTCATTCTTTCCCATGCTGCATGATATTTATTCAAACAATAAATACTGTTTAAGAAAGCTAGAATCAAAGAAATTTAAATTCCACTTACTTTAGTATCTTCCCTTATTATTTTTCCTGCCATGGAAGCATTTTCTTTCAGACTTCTTGTCAATAGCACCANTATGTTTATATAACTGTATATATATATACTACCTTTCCTGACTAGTTCCCTGTTGTAACCAGCACACTGTATGGCTGTCTTGCAGGTCCAGTATAAAAATACCAGTGCAGAAGAGACCATGGAACTGGTGTTGAAGATCAGAGACGAAGCCCTAGCTCTCAGAACTGAACTGGAACTGACCAAGGGCAAAGCTCGAGGTTGTTAGATTTGTAATCATATCCAACCTGTATATACCTGGACATTGCTTGAAGTATCTTTAATACATAGAATAGCCTGCTATTGTATATATCTAGTTAGTTCTGGTTAACTTAACAGGTTATGTACTTTTTTCGTATTGTTCTTCTCCTTCTTCATCATTTAATTCATTTCCTTTGCAATTTGTTCTCAAAGTGAGAGATATTGAATTTTGAAAATTAAAAAATCCAACTCATAAACTCAATTTTCCCAGTAAAAGAAAGGGGAGTGTTTAAGGGAGCTCTGCTTTCTAGATCTTGATTTGCCCTTTCTAATTCTTTCTTTCTACATATATCTGTACATATACAAATCACTATCAGGCCTTATAAATGAAATTGCCACTTGTGGCTTCCAGCGACAGGTTTGTGATTGTGATCTCTAAATGAAGGACTTAAATTGCTATTTCATGGTGAGATTGTAGAAATCAGCACTTGTGGGGAACACCACATTATAAACAGCAACAAGTGTTTTTTCCCTTAAAATTGTGGTTTAAGTCATTAATTCAGCCAATGCAAACACAAGCCTGGCTTTAAGACAGCCACAGATAGCAATTGTCATTTATAAGGCCTATATATCATATTCCAGTGTACTTTCTGGTTAGTGACCCTGGGCGTTTCAAGAAACTCCAACCGTGTGCGTCCACTCTGAAGGCACTGACCAGGTCCAGTGAGGTGGATGTCTTACTGGCCAGTAGAGGCAAGCCACTCTGTGGCTCAGGGTCTGCTATCCCTTCTGGCAGCATCAGGAGGGTGATCAGAGATGACATTGTCATGTTCATGGATGTAACGGTACTAGTATATATATATATATATATATATTAAAATTGATAATTGTAATATCTTCAGTCACATGCATATATTGCAGATGTGTGCCTCAGCTACTGGCTCCAAAGCTGTCATTTAAGTAATATATACAGGGATGAGATTTTTTCTGTGAGAACCAAAAAAGTTACATCTCTTTATATAAATTTCTGATTCAGTAGAGAGAACTAAAGGAAGGATAACTAGATTTCTCTAGCCCAATTTGCAAAATAGTGCACAAGTTACCTGTAACCCAAATATTTAAACATAATTCACTATTCATTCTATTCATTGCTCTGCAATCTATGCTTGTCAGTTACTGTGATGTTTGACCTTCAGGGGCTGATAGACACAGACAAACTGTGGAGTGAGATGAGGCTGAGGCAGAGACAAATACACAAAGAACTAGATGTGCTCCAGTTGCAAGACACTATGTCAGGAACAAACAATACTTCTAAGGTAGATACACCTAATGGGGTAGCGCTAGCATTTTTTTTTCGCTTAGCCAAATCACCACATTTTTGTCAATTTGTTACTAAAATGGTTATAATTTGGCTAAAACATGTCAAATCAAGCCCTTTTTCTTTAGCCATTTTAAGTCAATTTTAGCATTTGGCTAAATTGGCGAGTGTTAGCGCTACCCCAGACCTACATGCCTGGCTTTGAAACCCATAGGTTAACTAGGGCTCATTTCTTAACAATTTCAAGCTCACAGTCTTGAGTCAAATTTTACACTGTGGCAATATGCACGGGTATGTTACAAAGGGAGAAAAATAAAATTTAAACAATGCATCAAGTTGTGTTATCTATAGGAAGTTCAAAAGTTGATGTAGTGGGATGTTTTAATGCCATTAGAGAATTAAATGTCGTCTTTTACTAATTATTGCATTTTAACAAAACAAGTATTTGAACTCTATATAAAATGCTCTGCTCTGTGAGAAGAGAGACCTTTCTTTGTTGTACTTAACAGCTGCAGTACATAAAATAATTTTCTTTATGTACTTTCAGATTGAAAAACTTTATGATCAGCTAGAGAAAACTAAACAGCTCATTGACTCTCTAGAAAGTTTCAAGCGGTGAAATTGTCTGTGGGTTTTGTCAAGTTATTTGTGACAAAACCATAAATTGTGAATAATTCATCCTAAAAAAGAAGTCATTCAGCAGTCAAGATATAAAAAGATCAGCACTACAGAAGGACTCTTATACATGCCATCTATCAGGTCTTGCTGCAATGAAAAAGAGAGGAATTTCTATAACACACCACTGTAGAATAATTGCTTTTGCACCATTTTGATTTTGATAATGAGCCAGATAGGTAGAATTAAAAACAGGAATGATAAGCAATGATTTATTTAATTTTCATTATTTATTTGAGGGGGAGGGTTGTAATGTAGAATTTTGAATAACACGTGATCATGTATTTTTTCTTGGTATAATCATGAACAGTGAAAAAAAAAAGATAAAAGTGTAAATATGGAATTCATCATCAGTTGTTTATTTTATTCAAATACCAACAGCGTATTTGAGATTGTCTTTAAAAACTTTTTATTAGCTGTAATGTGAATACAACTGCATACAATAAAGAAACAACAAAGAATGGGTGTGTAGTTTGTCAACACAAAAGGATCCTCAGAATTCTCTCCAGTTAGACATATTCAAGACCTTCCAGACCTACCGAAATGAACTTTCAAATAAATTTACATCTTTTTCTTCTCTCTCTCTCACATTGTTTTACCCTGTTTACTTATAACAACAATACTAACAGATAGCATCCAACATCCAACAGAACAGACATTCTCTGCTTTTTCACAATCTGATACTTGGACCCATGGCTTAAACAGGACACCTGTTCTCCATTTATTTCCAATAAGCAAGGATTGGACCCGTATGTCAGTGGCAGATATAATCTTCCAGCTCTTTGACTTTTGCAAGACTACACTCCTTCAAAACTATCAGCTCATCTGTCCAAATGTGAGAAGTTTTTACAACTATTATTTGCTCTCTGTTTCACTGGAACTTTTGTCTATTTTCCTTCTTTTTGCAGCTTGTCTTTCTTTGGCCTGAAATAATATTATAAGATTAAATTGATAAAATAATTTCACCCCTCTAAATTTTGTATAACATATGAACACGTAACATAGCTTTTAGCCAACTGGCTTATATCATTACCTGTGTGAAGAAAGTAGCAATGTCAAAACAGCTAACAAGAACTAAAGCTAGGTGTAAAAGAAATGCGCCTGCTCTTCCCTCCAGTTTCTGTGCACACAAACAGGCACGAGCTTTGTTCTGCAAAATTGCAGATTTCAAATCATTTCTAAACTTCTGATGCTTCCTGCTATTGTCTACTGTTGCCAGATTTATCCCCACAATAAAGGTTTGGAGCTTTTTCTAAAAAACAAAAGCTCATGTCTGCACATACTAGGATTGCTTTAGCTTGACTTTAAAATTCAACTGTAAGTGTCCTCAATGCCCACTGATGAAAAAGTCACTTTTGACTCAATACAATCTGGTATCTTAGAAATGACCTCCTTTTTTCAGCTGGGTGTGATACGACACCCAAGTTTCAAAACTCAGTAGAAGCCCTGCTATGGGATAATTTCTACTGCCAGTAGCAAATTTCACTCACCTGTTCTACTATGTCGACCAGTTTTCCCTCTTTGGCCAGAATCTTCAACAGTTCCATTATGAAAGGCAGATAATTGTGCTTTCTTCTGATGTTCTCCACCTGAAATGCAACCAATACAACAATATTATACGACAGTATTTCCAATGTTATTGTCACTCAGGCAATACCACTATCACTTTATCAATGTAATGACTAACACAGCTCCATGAAAAGCATACCTATTTTGTTATTGCAAACAGCATATTTTGTTTTTGCAAACAGATCAACCACACAAAATATAGAATTGAACAGTATTACAACACAATCAAGTTCACTCATACCTTGTAGTATTCCCTCTTTCTGTCCTCTTCACTTATTAACACATTTAAATGCTGGACCTCGTCATTAGCAGCTGCTGTGTCTAGACTGCCGTCCTGAAGCAGAGGGAATGGCAACATTACACAGATGTGAGCCACAGTTATATAATAAAAATCTCAGAATTCTTATCCGAGGACCCAACATTTGACCTTTATCCATCTCAGCACCGATCAGAATTGAATTCAAAATCTCAGAATTTTGTAATTCCTTGGAAAGAGCTCATATCTGATTACACATACAGAATGGTATTTGAAGGAATTTGTGGAGATTGTTAGGCAAAAAGAATTTTTTAAAAACTGAGATTTATGAAAAAAGACTGTAAGAGGGTAGCTTTCTGCCATTATTTGATAAATCTGCAAAGTGTCATTTAGCTGTATATTCCAAGCTTTAAAATATTTTTTCCTTCATAATATATATTGACATTTCTATCTTTTTAGTCCCAGGGAGATCAAATGAGGCAAATTTGAACTCTTTATACATTCTCATTTTCACAAAGTAAACGAAACCTTTTTTTCTTTTTCAATCTTTAATTCATATCATGGAATAAAACAATATTTCTGGAAATACCTTGACTTTTTCCTGGATCTCTACCAGCTGTCTTTCATACATCATTTTCCGGTCAGATATCAGTGCCATTAGGTTAAAATGAATTTCATCAGCATTATATCTGGAAATAGAATCAGTGGATGTAGGATCAGTGGATACAGAATCAATGTATATAAGATCAGTGGATATAGAATCAGTGGAAACAGGATCAGTGGATACAGAATCAGTGGACATAGGATCAGTGGATATGAGATCAGTGGATACAGGATCAGTGGATATAAGATCAGTGGATCACAATTCTTCAAGGTGTCGGCTGTGATGGATATTTTCTATCAAATAATATTTATTATAAATTCAAGTGCACAGGAGAGATACAGGAATGGGAACAGACAGTGCTGACAGAGGTATGGTAATTACTTGATCTTTTCAATTTGGGAAAATTGTAAATATTTTAGATACTGTATTTTTAAGTCATAATTTCTTAAAATGAGAACAATTTTATTGACTGGTAGCAACATAATTAAAAAGCATGCTACTCTAAAGTTCTGTTATATACAGTAAAATGCTATTTAAAGATATAATTCTGTGGTTATTAAATTCTGAAAAACTGAAAGTTTGATAATTTTTTGCCCACTGAAAAGATTGAGTCATTACCATAAGTCTCAATCCTTGTAGGACCTTTACTGCAAATTCCATTTGTGAATCTTTTTTCTTCAGATTTAAAGTTGACAAACTTCCAGATGGAGACCACCCCCCTCCTCCCAATCATAAGAAGACAGGGATCCCTGTTGTAAATTCCATGCCACAGTGTCAACTAACAGGATAACATCACTTGCCCTCAACCACATTGTTCTGAATGTAAAAGTTACAAATTACACATTTTCATTGATTGCGATTTGCTAAACTTACTTTTGTATCCTTTTCTCAATTTCAGGTCTAGCCTTTACAATCCAATCTGTGTCTTTTGGAATTGCACCTGAAATATAAATCAGATAAAATGAGAACTTAGATTTTTTAGGTCTTAGATAAAATTTGCATGTTTTGGTGGAACTTTTTTTGTTTAACCTAGTCACACTATAAAATCTTCCAAAAAGAGGTTTTATTAAACTGCTGCAGCATTTTTTGTTCTGAAATGCACTCCTGACATTACAAATGTACAAACTGAATTTATTTCTTTGATTAATCTGTTTATATGAAAACCAAACTGAAAAATTCTTTTTTGCTTGTACTCATATAATGCTCACCTAAATCTATTGGTCCATCTTTTAGGCCATCTAATTCATAAAGTCTTCCATCAATAGGAACATAGCCTATGAAATGATAAACATCGTCATCTTTTCCCGCAAGCTTCTGGTCAAATTCAAACATTTGTTGTCTGCAAATAGAGTAATCTCAAACTAAAAAAGTTTGAAGCAAAGTTTAAAATACAAATACTTGACATAGTTTACCAATGAAAAGTTAGTTGATCTACCATTGTAGTAAGTAACATCGTAGTAACAACAGGCTCACAAGGTCCACTTTTCCCTTAAAACAAATACAATATTCTCTTTCTACTTTCACTCATTTTCCTTTTATTCTTACAGAACAAAAATCAGTAATACCTCGAAAAGCTGTTATGTACTTGTTTGATGATTTCAGAGTTTGACAGGCTCAGGCCTTTTAACTGAAAAGAAAACACTGTCATGTAAGACAACCCTGAGAGGGTACACAACTCAGCCCATGCGCATAAATCAATTCTGACAACATTCTACAAAAGCAGAAAAGCACACATGCTATTTTATACCTCATATGTTTCAAACATCACAACCACCAACTGCAATTTATCTACAAACCTTCACAATTAAAAGTTTTTTTATAAAATTCATAACATACCACATTTTTGCAAACTGCTTTTAAAAACTATCATGTTTTCCCATACCATCATTTTGGTTATGTTCATATATCTACCTGAGGATCAAAGCTCTGTGAAAATTCTTTAAAACTGGAGATGGTCTCACCCAGCTCTACATCAGGATGATCACAGTTCAACAGTATACTTAGAATGGCTTGAGTGGCACAAGCATTGTTTATAACCTGAAACAATTATTTTTGTAGAAATATACTGAAACATTTTAATCCTATTTTATTTATTCAATTTTTTATTCCTTGTTTTGTTCTAGAATGGCTTTGTTGAAAATAATTGGATAGGCAATACATTATTTATTTGGCTACATACAGACTTTTGCAAACAAGAGCCTGACGTAGACATACAATAACATGAAAGGAAAGGGAGCTTTTATTATACAAATGTATCATAGACTTCTTTGTTTGCATGCTAGTAAATAGAAGTATTCAGGCTGGATTACTTCATACATATTGCAAAAAATTTGACTACAAAAATTACAATAGCAGAAAATTAAGACATTGGGGTAAAGTTCAGGCTTTCTCAAGTTGTCTGATGCTATGAATAACTTGGTTAGGTGTTGTCTACATGCTGCGACTTACTTGCTGACTAATACTGTGACTTGCTTGTTGACTAATAATGTTGTCCAATGACTTACTTGTTGTCTAATGCTGTGAATTACTTATTTGTTGTCTAATGAATTACTTCTAATACTGAGACTTACTTGTTTTACTTGTTGTCAAATGACTTACTTGTTTTACTTGTTGTCTAATGACTTACTTGTTTAGCAAAGAAGATCTTGTCCAGCCTGCTGTCCTGTACAATTGACCCTGAGGGCTCCGTGTCTCCTGTCCACTTAAACAGAAATATCAGGCCATGCACTGGGCTGGAAAATCATTTGAAAAAAATCCTTCTCAAGTAGATTTAAAACAAGAAAATACACTTAAATTTCCATACACACACATATACATACACATGCATTGACACACACACATACATGCATGTACGTGCACGTGCATGCACACACACACTCACACACACACACACACACACACACACACACACAGTACATCCCACAACACTCCCATGCACATAGACACACACTAGACAGCTTCAATCTATTTCAGAACTAGACAGCCCTTGTGAGACACAGTTATCATATTGACAGACATAATTAACTCTGAAAATTTTGTGTACTCATACTCACTGTTAACCCTTTCATTTAACAAAACACTGCAGAAGAATATAAATGATACCTGAGAACACTCACCGTAGATTTTGAAAACTGTCATCATCTAAACTCCACAACTCTTCCACTTGTATTCCCTTCACTCCTAGAAAGAAAATTTATATTTATTCAGGTAACGACAAACACGTACATGATGTGGCTGTGTTTATACTTCAGCCAATTTTAGATGTCAACACTAGCAACTGCCAAACACAATGGTGCAACTTGACCTATCCTTTTCGAGGCTTTATGAAACTTTGATTGAAAATAGTATTGAAATGCTTTTTTAGGTTGAATTTTTGATTATGAATACTTTTTTAGCCATGACAATTTCACTACATTCTGGGCTAGACTGAACTTGTTTTCCTCTTACTGAAAAGTCACCTAATCTATTTGTTAAATAAAATCAATCTTCTTAAAGCTTTTGTGCGCAGGGCAGGAGTTGGTTAACATTTTATGGGGTATTAAGGACTCACATGTAGAGAGTCAGATGTAAAAACAAGAAGTGAGACCGTCCCATGTGGCATAGGGTTTTTTGGAACTACCTAGGAACACGATCTCAATAACACATCAGTTTTACCACAAATGAGGATAAGAACAAAAATGTGCGTTTAAAATACAACTTTTCTATGAGAAACACGTCGTATTTGCAGCAGATTTAATTTTCACTTCATAACGACATGTGGACTTAACAAAAGTATACGACGGGGTAGTTATAGTATTTCGTTTATACGGTATGGATTGGAAACAAAAATGTGGACACAAAGTTGTCAAGCATACATGCACGTCGAATGAGAGTGCAAATTATTTGGAGATATTAAGACATATTGGTCGTCAGTGTAGGGGGATAAAATGATGGTATTTGGATCAGTAAAATTATTTGATCGCACTGCTAGTTAAATACTCACCAAACCCCCTGATGAGTTCGGTGAAAACGCCAGGATCACTTTCTATTGTGCACCAGTCGCCGGCGGAAGCCATGTTGGTTCAAGGTCGCTCTACAGAGTTTCCGCGCAATGACGTCACTGCCGGTCTTCCCCAGCTATTCGTGGACGTTTTTTCCCACTACTGTTTTCTGCTGATAATCAACTAACATTCACGTTCTTTCACTTTTAGATGGCTGATCTAAAATGGTTGCAGTAAGCAAGAGGTTGTTTCATATTATTTTGTGTTTATAATGGAACTGTTGCCGTAGGTTTATCACTCGCGGCTGTCACCTTGATTAGTCAACCTCAAACCACATTTAAAAACGACTTTAAATTGTCACACTTGTTTATCATAGTGAAAACGAAATCAAAATCAATTAAGAACGTTTATTGTCTTAAAATCGCCATATAGTATGCCCCATAAAGTCTGCTAAATATTTCAAAGCCACCCTGTTCAAAGCCTAGACCCTACGGTATCATTTTTTAAAGCCTGTATGCTCAGCTGATCAGCCTGATCGTCTTTTTTCCCTCCAATATAGTAGGCCTACATGTAGACTGGTTTTGTATTTTTTCGTAGTTTTATGTGGTTTTTGAGTTGAACAGTCAAGGTGACAGTCGAGAATGGGAGAATGGCATTTTTAGTAGTGGACCAGTATAGATGGTACAGGGGCGGATCCAGGATTATTTGAAGGGGGGTCCGCGGATGCCAAGCCCCCCCCCCCCCCCCCCCCCAGAGGGGCCCTGAATTTTGTTTCCTTTTTTTTTTGGTATTTTAGAGGGCGAACGGTGCAATTTGGTATAAATCAGCTAGTCAAAATTCCTAGTCCAAGAGGGGAATATTTAGTGTGATTTTTTTTCAAAAACCGAAGGGGAGGGGGTCAGGAACACCCTGATCCCCCCACCCCCTCTAAATCCGCCACTGGGGTATAAGCCTATATGGCGATTTTAAGAAATTCGTTTTACATTATAGGCCTACTGGTAGCCTGCTAAATCATTTTCATTTTCAATGTGTGAGACTATATTGTGGTATTCTTAAGTCGTTTTATTTATACATGTAGTTTAGCTTCACTGATCGATTGAGTCATGCTGTGCCTACTTATATATGTCTGGGCAATATATGGATTTATTTTTTATGAAAACAGCTATTTCATTTCTCTCTCTCTCTCAAACTTGCTGGCCTACCTCTCTACATGTACCTGTGACTTCAAGCAAAACTCAAATGCAGGTACCGCACTCTACTTCTGACAACTGCATTTTAACTATAAAGGTAAAATTATCATGCAGAATATGGGCCTATTTGACGATCAATTATAATAAATTAATGTATAGACCTATACCTTATCAATGTTTTGGCTAAATTGATGCCTCTATGGGCCTATAAAGGGTCTACACATTGACAAATGCAACTTATTGCTTATCATTCGAGAGGGAAAGGGAGTGAAGTCAGCAGATCTACTATCGGGCTTTGTTTACCCAATGAAGGGGAGGGGGGACACGTGCCTTTTCTTGCGCCCATGGCTCTAGTGACTTGTCTTAAATGAGAACACGAGATGATTTCATGGCCTTTCTTATATTCAGGTATTTTAAGATAGCATATGTGGCATGGGGTTATAAATTGTGATGTGCAACTTCAAAATTGACCCCTAAATATTAAAATGCCAACGTGACATTTAGCATGCATGAGCAGCACTTATTTCCAAGACATCCTACGCACGGGACTTTTCCCGTTTCGCTTTTAGTTTCATCACAGTGACTTTGATCTAAGCCAGGCTCAATCATATCCATGGATTTTCCATTTTCCATTTCGAAACCTGGAAATTTTGCAGCTATTTTTGCATCCAGCCACAGCGCTAGTATATTTATATGTATGAGCCTTAGAACGAAACTCCTCAGTTGCAGAGACGAACTGCCTCATATCAGTGAAAAACGTATAAAATGTAAGTAAGCTTTTGCTATGGTACGCTCTATATAGAGTTCTGGTAGGGATGTAGCTACTACAGGGCTCTGTTACGAGGAACATCCTTGGAAGTGGGTAGCCATCAGGCATTGTGGGTGCATCAGAGGCGGGGGGGGGGGGGGGGGGGGGGGGGGGAGGATTTTTTTAGGAATGACCGGCTTCGGATTCGAAGCCCTTTGGCGTGGTATTCAAGGCCCGCTCAGGAGCTTCGATTTTTTTTTTTTTTTTTTAAGGCAAACCGTTGCTTTAGAACTATGATTCAGCTAAGATCAGCGTAGTTGAGATGTCACTGGAAATACGTTCTTTGGTGTGATTTATATATATATATATATATATATATATATATATATATATATATATATATATATATATATTTTTTTTTTTTTTTTTTTTTTTTTTTTTTCAGAAACCGAAAAGGGGGGGGGCAGGAACCTCCGAATTGAACCTTTTTGGGAAAGAACTTTTTCACCTTTCTTTTACAAAAATTATTAATACTCAAGTAAAGAGAGTTATAGGCTTACTGCTAGCACAGTGGTGAGTTTGACGTTAATTGTGCTAAAACATTTCAAAATTTTTTCAGTAAGTGGTCGTGAAATGGGAGGTATCTTCTCATGGAGCCGATGGGTGAATGGAGACAGAGATCAAAACACAACTCGGAACGCTGGGCCTAGCCCGTCAGAATATGAGGAAGCCGAATATAGAGGAACCGAACCATCGGCACCAAAATCGAAGAAATTAAAAGGTGATGGAAACGGCCCGCCCGAATACAGAGGTGGCGAGCCGTCGACATCAGAGTTAATACAAGGCACTGGAGCGGACTCGTCTGAAAGCAATAAAGCCTTGCAGAAAGTAAAAAACGGACTTTACAACGTCAAGGTGAGGTGATTTGAAATTAGGACATTTACTAATTAACAAAAGAAATGAATCTGTTGGTCCTTTTGCCAGTTAAACTATGTAATTGTATATATATAATAGTATACTGCATGTTGAAATTTACTTGAGAAATTGCGGTACGGCAGGAATGACAGATTGTCAGAAAGGGAAGTCCCCTCTGGTTAGTACAGAGTATGGTCACAAGTCTATTGGTCAGTAAATGGGGCGAATGATCATGACCAAGTGGCACTTATAATAAGTCACTGAAAATGGGCCATATGGTTCCATTCCTGTCACACCTCAGCATATGCAACGTATGCGAAATATGTACAATAAAAAAATTATTTGGTTCTTTATTACGTCATAGGTATCGAGGCATGATGCCACAGAGCTACAGAGAAAGCTGGAGGGGGAGTTGTTTAACAAGTGGGAGGAAGGCTGTGAAGTCATGGAAGCCAAAAGGATCCCAGTTGCCAACATTACGCCGTTCCTAGATCACATGCAGGATGCCTACGAAGGTACGTTCTAACTTTCTCTCTGTATTTCTTTTATAATGATTACATTTTATTAACCTTATTTCTAATTAAAGAGAAAGTATTTCAAACGCCATCTCGAGGGAGGACGACACCCGAAAACTTCGTTAATGAAAACAATATTTCTGGTAGAACCCCCCCCCCCCCCTCCGAGTTATAAAGTGGACGTCCTTCAACATTTATTTCTTGAGATTCAGTAAGTGCGTCTTCGCTAAGACTGTGCCGTTACTAGACTTCTATGAAACAGATAATAACATTTATTTCCATCATGTTACAGGAATAAATGATGAAATGCGAAATAAGATGAACGGAATCCACTGGGCAGAGGAATGGTCTTACAAGGTTATGGAGTTCAAGTATAATCAGAAAGACAACTCGGGGGCTCGCTACGGCATGGTGGCGTTCGGCAAGTCAGACGACAACCAGTTCGTGGACTGCATGTACGTGTTGTATAAGATGGACTTCAAGATCGCCCCGCAGAGAATTATTACGGAAAAGAAGCACAGTGCGGTGCTGGGTCTCTTCAAATGGACAACCACCAAGGAGAAGATCGTGGAACGAGAGGTCGGCGCCAAGTCCATCAAAATGCTTCAGAACTTCTTCCGCGTGAAAGCGTTACAGGGGTTCTACAAGGAAGGTCTTATAGATTGCATCAACTACGTACCATCACTTGAGGACGTGGATGAGAACGACGTACAGTAATCGCGGAAGATTCCTTTGGGAAACTTAACTGATTTCTCATGTCCAGGGTGGGACATCTAAAACGATAGACGGCGTGTAAAATAAGCTTAACGCAAAAAAAAAAAAAAAAAGAAAAAAAAACAGTTATTTACCCCTCTATTACTCAGATCGTCCTAGTCTGTTGTTAATTACGCAAGCCATTTAAAATACCTGTGGTTTTGTTTATTTAATTTTTCTTTATGAAGGTCGAATTGCCTTTTTGTGACGTACGTTGTTTTCACTTGAAATCCATACGATACTATAGTCCACAGGTGTACTAATTATGCTTGTGACTGTCTTTTATGAATCCAGATGTTTATCACTTAGTTAATTTCAAACGTGATTCATTATGTTCATCTTACTTAAAGTCTACTTTTTTATGAAGAAATTGATTTTAGAACGTAATTTTCATTCCAAATTAAGATATATTTTCATTCTCATGTATCTTATAAGCGCATAGATAATGTCTAAGAATGCTATAACACAAAGACAAATTAACTGGAAATCTCGTTATGGCTTCAATAAACCAGTTAACAAACAAGAAAACTCTCTGCAAATACTTGGAAAATATATTCAGCAGTGCAGGTTAGAAGTGACACTGCAATTGTGTTAATATAATTTTAACACTGTGCTTATCCCTAAATGAAGATGATCTCGGGTCATCTTGACCCAGAGAGTGCTCCCCTCCTTCTGTTTGGTTTGTGTACGCATGTTTCAGCACATTGCCAAATGCAACTTAATGCTCAATACCATTTGAGTGAGAAGGGGCGAGATCAACAGGTGCAACTTTCAGACTTGTTCAAGCAAAAAGAAATAAATCGAACAGTGTATGTTAGAATTAAACTTCGCAGCAACAATATTTTATTCGATGACACTAGATATCAAAGGGTTCGGTAGATACCCCGTCATCCAACACTTTGCTACAGAAGAAATAACTGAAGGCATCTCTTATTTGTACGTAAGAATACATAGTGTTGTGAAATAAACGCATCCCTCTTTTGATACCGCTACCACTCTGTTTGTTTACTAGTACATCCAGGTATTTTTCTTCGTTTATAACGTTACATTTTCTATTGAGCCCTTTCTTTCCAGCTTCATTTTAGTTTGGTGTCTTCCCCAACACAGTAGTACGTCTTACTACACAGACCGACGATACCGTCACCGACCCACTCGGCTTTGAACAACCCCGGCGGCGTTAGTCAAATATTCTCTGATCACCTTTTTGTGTCGTTAATTTCCTTGTAGGTGCCATCTTTGTTTTGGTGCACCGATGACCATGGAAATATCGTACAGCCTTCGCATTGATACACGGTCTGCGTCTCTCGGCAAAACCTACCCACTGGTGGCCGACGGCACTCGACGCGCTTTTTTGTACCGTTGAACTGATTCTGGATATCCTGACCCGTAGAGTGTGCATCCCAGTCTAACCACCTCGTGGCCTCTCGGCCGCGTGGACGAGAATATTGGCGTGTATATTCAGACTTCTTGCGTCTATGGATAAACGTGCCCGTTGGCATGGGTTGCACCAAACACCACAGGTACAGGGCAATGGTGTCGTACCCGATGATATCTTTGCAAAGGTCTAATTCTTCATGTGGTAGAGATGGAAGATGATGCTAGGACCGACCACGATAGCGTTTTACAGAAGGTAGTGAAAATGGCTGTGCTTATCGTCGAAAAGGGTAAAATGCGTCTCCTACGTTTCGAAAGAGGTATTTCAACCTTAAACCCGGTACGCTAATGTCGTTTTTAAACATGTCGATACCCCTTTCTTCGTAAATGGCGAACATTTTTGCCACCGCTTTCAGCATCGGTCAACGTTTTTGTTGTTGTACCCACATAATCATATACTGCCTGCCTGGGCCGAATCTCCCCAAACAACCGATAGACTTGCAAATTCTTTGCAAGTAATAAAAATACGTGATAAGGAAGGCGGCGTCTGCGTTTTGGACTAGACTGGCTTATAATGACGCGCAAGTCTGACTTTGACACTGGAAACATTATAAATAGTACCAACAACAGTCGCTGTAACCGTTTGCAACACTGCAACATGCCAGTTAGAAAAAATCTTACTTTATCAGAACAGTCTCCGAGTGGAACGAACTGAGTGACCAACAAGTTGCTGCAGAAACTGTGGAAGGCTTCAGATAAGACCTACAGCATGATTAAGTTTCCCATGCACTCTCTCTCTCTCTTTACATCTATTACATACCAGTAGTGGTTTTTTAGACGTATACCGACAGATACAAAGAGATTCACAAAACCAGTATCTACCCAAAAGATTAAATAAGGACTGAAAAGGAAGTCTGAAACTAAAAGTAATTAAATCGGCATATCGGGTGCCCAAGTGGTTTCCAACAAATTTATGCCGTTAGGTGACTGTGGTTTCTTTACACAAGGGCCTTTTTTGTGCAGTCGTCATGACAACTATCAGCGCAAACGAAAAACCTACAGACAAAATGTCTGTGAACAGGAACTGCTATCCCAGCAGGCATAGTTGCATTGGATCAACGTTGAAAACAGGTTGACACGTTGAATTGCCTTTGATCTACCTAAATTCAACGTAATATAAACGTTGATCCAGCCACATTGACTCAACGTTGTATTTTGGTCAATGACACAACCTTGCAGTTATGGATTGTAATTTAAAATATTAATTATTGAAAACGTGATACTTTGTTTATCAATACTGTAACTAAATTTATCAAAATAATAACAAAATGGTTTTAAAGTAAAAGTGACAGTTGTTTTGTGTCTTTAGTTAACTAGTGAATTTTCTTAACTTGTTATTCAGTAAAACATTCCAATAAACTGAATTGCTTGCAAGGTCAGCTAACACTAGGATGAATAAGTTGCTGTAAATATGATGGAATTAACAGTTCTTGATAACCTGTTATAGGTAGACAGGTTGAGTTGACTGTGACTTTGTTATATATCTTCACCTTGGAAATTGTAGCTTAAAGGCCATACATTTATACCCTACATATATTTAGCCATCAAACATGTCCTACTGCTAAACAAATCCAGGCAAATTTCCTGCAGGGTGGGGTTGATATAACATTGTTATCTGAGGTTGACACAACTTTCAAATCAAACGTTTAGTCAATGTCTTTTCAATGTTATGGTTCAATGTTGTTTCAACGTTAAAACAACATAATTTGCCCACTGGGATCATTCTTGGAGAAAACAACTTTCTCCGTCGTAAAATGTTGTAAACGTTCTGTACATAACGTTTCTGCAGATAGAATAAACTTCCAGAAAATTCCCATGGAAATAAAGGCCAATGAAATTTGCTGAATTGAACATTGAAGTTGAAGGCTGAAGATAACTTCTTGCTTAATCGTATCGTGCTTGCTAATAGAATGAATCAAGCGCACGATTGGATAAGGCCGTGACATGCATCTCATTTGAGACTACCACTCTCTACGGGAGAATTGAGCATGTGCAGAATGCGCATGTGCATAAATAAGCTCTGGTGACTGTTGTCGCCATAAATGTCGTTTGACTACTACTTCTTTATTTTCAGTGCTATACTTTTCCCTAAACGACTTTTCTTTCCTTTTAAGAAATCCGTCGCACGGCGTAGGTAAGGTAATTTTTGCAGTACTACTATTTTCAGTGCTGTACTGTTTCCTAAACGACTTCGCTTTTCTTCCAAGGGACTTTCCCCGTTTTATAGAGGGTTTTCACTGTGACTCATGAAATTTTTGCAGCTGTTTTGCGCATCAGTAAAATTTCCAGCCACAGCGCAAGTAGCTTATATATGTGAGTCTAGAACGGAGCCTATCAGTTGCAGAGCCTTGCGGTCTCCTATCAGTGTAAAAAATCACAGAAATGTAAGTAGACTTTTGCCAAGGCAGGATTCTGTCATGGTCGCAGCTAGGGTTGTAGCAAGAAGAATATCCTGGCTACACCCCTGCCCGTAGCAATAGTCCGAAGGTTCATTGGTCTGAATGTTCACTATAGAATCTTCGGACCAATGAACCCTTGATTAAAAAACTGATTGAAATATTTCCATTTTTTGTACCTCTGAACCTTCGGACTAATGAACCTTCGGACTATCGAGACGCCCGCGCTGTCACGATGAGAGAAAGTTTAGCATTTGGTATCCTATGTAATAAGATTTCTGTAAGGGATTTATTGTCCTTTTTAAATATTTATTTTGGGCTTTTTTCAATGTGTGGATTATTCTACACTATGTATCAATTAACTGAAAGATGGTGATTTAGTGCATGTTTAGGTTCATGTTAATGTAAATCATGGCTCGAAGAGGATAAGTAAGTAAATAAGGAAATAATATAGGTGTGAGGCAGTGCTGTGGGGTTGTTCTGTTGTGTCGCTAACCTTTCGCAGATATTATGCTGACATTTTATTGTATCTGATCTATTTATTGCAACATTAGATCAAGTGCTTAATGAACGTTACGATTTTCACGTCAAAACGTCGAATTTGCGTGTTTCATCGAAGAGGTAATGGCTGCCGTTCAACGGCCTCTTCCGTTTTAACCATGCATGTTTGGGGCACACAAGCCATATGACATGACCCAGCCTACCCGCATAATCATATACTGCCTGCCTGGGCCGAATCTCCCCAAACAACCGATAGACTTGCAAATTCTTTGCAAGTAATAAAAATACGTGATAAGGAAGGCGGCGTCTGCGTTTTGGACTAGACTGGCTTATAATGACGCGCAAGTCTGACTTTGACACTGGAAACATTATAAATAGTACCAACAACAGTCGCTGTAACCGTTTGCAACACTGCAACATGCCAGTTAGAAAAAATCTTACTTTATCAGAACAGTCTCCGAGTGGAACGAACTGAGTGACCAACAAGTTGCTGCAGAAACTGTGGAAGGCTTCAGATAAGACCTACAGCATGATTAAGTTTCCCATGCACTCTCTCTCTCTCTCTTTACATCTATTACATACCAGTAGTGGTTTTTTTAGACGTATACCGACAGATACAAAGAGATTCACAAAACCAGTATCTACCCAAAAGATTAAATAAGGACTGAAAAGGAAGTCTGAAACTAAAGTAATTAAATCGGCATATCGGGTGCCCAAGTGGTTTCCAACAAATTTATGCCGTTAGGTGACTGTGGTTTCTTTACACAAGGGCCTTTTTGTGCAGTCGTCATGACAACTATCAGCGCAAACGAAAAACCTAGAGACAAAATGTATGTGAACAGGAACTGCTATCATTCTTGGAGAAAACAACTTTCTCCGTCGTAAAATGTTGTAAACGTTCTGTACATAACGTTTCTGCAGATAGAATAAACTTCCAGAAAATTCCCATGGAAATAAAGGCCAATGAAATTTGCTGAATTGAACATTGAAGTTGAAGGCTGAAGATAACTTCTTGCTTAATCGTATCGTGCTTGCTAATAGAATGAATCAAGCGCACGATTGGATAAGGCCGTGACATGCATCTCATTTGAGACTACCACTCTCTACGGGAGAATTGAGCATGTGCAGAATGCGCATGTGCATAAATAAGCTCTGGTGACTGTTGTCGCCATAAATGTCGTTTGACTACTACTTCTTTATTTTCAGTGCTATACTTTTCCCTAAACGACTTTTCTTTCCTTTTAAGAAATCCGTCGCACGGCGTAGGTAAGGTAATTTTTGCAGTACTACTATTTTCAGTGCTGTACTGTTTCCTAAACGACTTCGCTTTTCTTCCAAGGGACTTTCCCCGTTTTATAGAGGGTTTTCACTGTGACTCATGAAATTTTTGCAGCTGTTTTGCGCATCAGTAAAATTTCCAGCCACAGCGCAAGTAGCTTATATATGTGAGTCTAGAACGGAGCCTATCAGTTGCAGAGCCTAACGGTCTCCTATCAGTGTAAAAAATCACAGAAATGTAAGTAGACTTTTGCCAAGGCAGGATTCTGTC